CAGAAAGTGCTGAAATGACCAAGTATTATATTTTTATGTATAATATCAACTCTAATGCAAAGTTTGTTTACACCAGATAATGATAAACATATCTACTTTACTGTAAGGGAGATGTATTTTTGTGTCAGATGGAGGGAATTTGACAACACATATGTTTAAAATTTATTTGAGGACATTTAAAAATATAATTTTAAAACCTGAATACACAGTACGCTCACAATTATTGTGCTTGTTTTAATGATTTAAGACGCATGAAACGCCCCCTAGTGTGATGAGTAAATAAAGATGTACGACTTTTCTACAATCTTATTAACAAAGTTAACTTAACTGCAAATAAACATTTAAAGCGTGACAAAACGACTTATCAATAGATGTTGATATCAATCTTGTATAACAAATCTGGTCCAGTATTCTATATACGGGTCATTATTATAGAACTATTTACATGTATGTGTAAAACACAATGCATTTAGACAAAAGCAACTTGGAAGAAAATACGTACAGGAAAATAGAATATTATTCCAAACTCAAATTCGATTAAATGAGGACAGAATATGATCCGAAGAAAGATTCACAAGAAGTCTTCTGAAAAGTACAAGGAGAATGAGACCAGATATTCCGGAAGAATACCCGTCCCGTAAATATTGTTCATTTCAAATAAATGATGTCACGTTCCCAAATGAGAACAAGGTAAACAACCACGGTACAACCAGATCATACAAACAATTATCAAACACGTCCGACGTTATATATTCAATATTGTCTGTCGACTAGAAGTGCACAAAAGAGACCGCTTTATATAGACATAATCAACTTTATTATCAATATTGATGTTGTTTATTCTATACAGAAATTGATTATTGTTTACATGAAGTAAAATTTGTTAAATGGTCTGTAAATATGTACAAAGATCTTTACACTAAAATCTACAAAGATAATGAGAATCCTGGCAATCGAGTAAAATCCTAATGATCAAGTTTCGTTGAACCAACAGAAAATGTTATCAAAACCTATCAAAATTTTATTTCTGAGCACAACTAAATCAGATAGTACTTAACCCTATCAGATTCCTTGACATGCTTTTAACGAACCAGATATTATTCATAAAAAATCATACATATTTTGTTTCTCTCAAAATCATCATTTCTTTTACTTTGCCCGAATATTATGTACATGTCTTAAAAATGATCATTGAACAAAAACGGATTTTCTTGGTGTTCCTATTCGCAAATAATCTAGAAATGTTTTCACATAATATTTAAAGTTGCCTTTGTAATTGACAGAACAACCTTTATAATTCTTGTTATCATTATACACTGCGTTCGTAACGATATGACGTCATGAATTAACGACCCCGTCGTAACGTCATCGTATCACACTTTGGTCTCCGCGAAATGAAGTTGGTTAGATATTATTTATGCCAATATTTTTCAAAGGTTTGATGATTTCTTTTACGAAATCTCAATAGAAAAAAAACCTTGAAATTTTGTATTTAGCAAGGAATACATGAATATATATGAAATATCAAAAAATGTTCGTTTTGTTGCTATGGTATCAGAACGACTGAGAGGCTGTTCCATTGCAGTTTTTAGGCCGACAAACTGAATGCTTTTGTTATTATTATATTTGCGAAAATTGGAACACAGAAAATTTCTTCCTTAATATCATATATGTTTAATTGTCTCTTTGGTTATGAAATACAGCATTAACAATAACGAGAGAGAAACTAATTGTCCAAATTTAGCTTGTAATATGTTTTGCCCTGATTATTAAGATATCAATCCAATGCGACAAAGATTGCACAATTAAAAATCAAATGCTTACTAAGTATTCATAGTATATGAAAACTGTACCTTTAAATAGTATGAAATGGTTACACGAAAAATCGTTTAAATTGTCTTATCACCTATGAAAATAGCAGTAAATGATCAGTTCCCCTTTTATCAATATTTGTCGCAATGTTATACCTTTCCTTTTCCTGAAATCATAGTAAAAAAATACCACGTTGTTTGTTTCATGACACTAAAGGGAATGCAGATTTACTACATCAAGCATGCTAGTTTTATTTGATAATTATCCCTTTAGTTGCAACTAGAGACCTATTTACTTTTGACAATCGCACGAGATTTATTGATTTATTTAGCAGTGCCGGTCAAAGACAAAAATGTTTGTCACGGGCGTGTCGTCCATTTGTACGAAATGCCACTTCCTCACCATTTTGCATTTAAGATGATACCATGAACGCCATCTTGATATCTTGAAATATCTTAAAATAAAAGGGCCATACCATGCTTAAATAAATCGTATTAATAGGAATACAAATATGAAAAAGTAACACTACTTATTTAATCAAAACGGCACACAGAGAACACTCTATCGTGTTATTGTTATACAGACTCACGAGGCTGAAATAAATTGGTTGAAAAAAAAACAAAGAGAGATTAAAGGGTGATAAATCTTTTTAAAAAAAAGCTGGTCAAAATGTCACCAAAAAAACCCCAAAAAAAACAAAAAAAAAACAAAAAACAAAAAACAGAACTACTTGTTCTGGTGATTAAGTGTTTAAGTCTCATTCCATAAATACATTATTTACAGTTTACCTTTCAATAAGATCATAGACACATCTCTTACAACTGATCCTCTTTATCAATGTCTCATATCGATATTCATTTTCAGAAAGGTCAGTGACGTTAAGAGCATAAACATATTTATTATATCACGAGACTTATGGATAACACGCTATGGAAACATTTCCGAAAATAATTCTAAATCATTTAAAACTCCTTTCAAAGCTCAAAAATATTTGAACTAACGAAATACTGGTTTACAATATAAAACACGGATATATCATGACCACAGCCGCCAGCGACAGAGGATATTTACAACATTATCATTAAAATTGCAAACACTTGACAATCATGATGGGAACATTTCCGCTATTTGTGTTTCACAAGACAACAAACAATTACAAGTTACATTTATTTCCGGTCTGTAACAAACACGGCTTGAAAGAAATCATATTTACCTTATGTACACCATATAAATTCAAAATTGAATAAAAGAATAAATTACATCATGTGTTATTTTTCTTCTCAACTTGATAATGCTAGGCTATTGAGTTTAGAAACATGATTAAAGCAAATACAGTGAAAATATCAGTAGCATCACTATCGAACGATAAACACTTCAGGATATTTTGGGTTTCTTCTTGAATACTACAAACCACTCAGATTTCCCGGAGGAATTAATTCAGTTAATCCATTCAGATAAATATTACACGAACACTAGCACAGCAAAATTGTCAACCTTCCGATACCTAACACAGCAAAATTGTCAACCTTCCGATTCCTAACACAGCAAAATTGTCAACCTTCCGACACCTAACACAGCAAAATTGTCAACCTTCCGATTCCTAACACAGCAAAATTGTCAACCTTGCGACACCTAACACAGCAAAATTGTCAACCTTCCGATTCCTAACACAGCAAAATTGTCAACCTTCCGACACCTAACACAACAAAATTGTCAACCTTCCGATACCTAACACAGCATAATTGTCAACCTTCCGATACCTAACACAGCAAAATTGTCAACCTTCCGATTCCTAACACAGCAAAATTGTCAACCTTCCGATACCTAACACAGCAGAATTGTCAACCTTCCGATACCTAACACAGCAAAATTGTCAACCTTCCGACACCTAACACAGCAAAATTGTCAACCTTCCGATTCTAAACACAGCAAAATTGTCAACCTTCCGATTCTAAACACAGCAAAATTGTCAACCTTCCGACACCTAACACAGCAAAATTGTCAACCTTCCGATTCCTAACACAGCAAAATTGTCAACCTTCCGACACCTAACACAACAAAATTGTCAACCTTCCGATACCTAACACAGCAGAATTGTCAACCTTCCGATTCCAAACACAGCAAAATTGTCAACCTTCCGATTCCAAACACAGCAAAATTGTCAACCTTCCGACACCTAAAACAGCAAAATTGTCAACCTTCCGATTCCTAAACACAGCAAAATTGTCAACCTTCCGACACCTAACACAGCAAATCTGCCAACCTTCCGATACCTAGCACAGCAAAATTGTCAACCTTCCGATACCTAACACAGCAAATCTGTCAACCTTCCGATTCCTAACACAGCAAAATTGTCAACCTTCCGATACCTAACACAGCAAAATTGTCAACCCTCCGACACATGTTCACTTAAAGACAACAAGCGTCGCAACATTCTTCCGGAATTAAAAAAAAACTATTAGTACCATTATAAACGCTAAAACGTATGAATATGTACACAATTTCATGACCAGAAATATATGCCGCCCTATTCATGGGCCAGTCTATAGGATAGCTGTACAGTCACTTTAATATTATATTCGAACTCCAATGTTAGACATTTTGTGATCTCGTGTATATTGGCTGAATGGGTCATGGATCCATTGTCAATGAACAGTCCTGTCCAGGTTCCAGTTCATTCAGGTCTCTTACTAAGACATGATGGAGAGCTTACCTAAAAAGAATTTGAATGAATACATTAATAATTTTTATAGGTTATATATACCTAATTTAACTGTTATTGGGTTTTAAGCGCGTCGGAATTTGGAACGATGAGGTTTTCCTGTGAAAAGGTATTCTTCAGCGAACAAAACCATATAATCGTTTTAGTTTTCAAAATTATCAAATAAGTTTGAAATTTAGAACAAAGAAAAACCGACTACATATGTTTCAGAGTTAGTTTACTATCTTCTAAGGTGACATTCCAGAGTGATCTGTTACAAGTAGTATTAAAAGTTATATAAATCATTATGGACATTTCTCAAGCTGTTGATATAATCCTATGGCTGGCTATTAATATGGAATCGTTGGCAGAAGCGATATCTTAGAAATGTTGAAGAAGAAATATTTTTCTCTTTCAAATTACATTTCTAATCAATCGAGATCACAATTAACACAAGTGCATAAAACACAAACAAATGAAACAATACTTACACGTATTCAATTTGTGTTTCACAGACTTTTCCAGTTACCATATCCTTTGCCTGTAACGAAATGCATGTTTCACCGAAGATGAGAGATTGTTCAATCTCCACCAGCCCTTTCCAGTTGGCAGTAAAGTTCGTACGTAAGACACCTAACACGGCGCACTCGTCATCGTCAACATACACTGGATCGGACTTGGTCGATATATACACCGTACAGTCTATTGTGCCCGAGCTGGAGGCAAACTGTCTATAAACATATGATATTCTTCGAGCTGTCGGGATCCTATCTCCCTTTTCAATATATTTATAAAACACATCTTTGCATCGAATAACCCCGTCAATGACGACCAGCTTGTCCAGTGCATGTCTTGAATTGTCAAACTTTGGCCAGTGTTGAATGCCATATGTATATTTCACTTCACTTATCGGTGTCTTCAGAATGCCACCATAGTAAATCGCACCCTTGAGAACGAGACAATCAGTATCAACTGACACTATGATGCGCTTTTCGGGAAACTTGTTCCTGATGGCACGTTGCACAATTTCACATTTTGAGAATTCACCTATCATCAGTATATATTCAAGTTCCTTGGACTGCTCATTTTGAAGAATCTGTTTCATTGATCTTTCAATGGCGGTGATGGTCTTTTCAAATAGTTGATGGTATCTTTCACTACTGACACGCAGTTTGTGTGTAGTAATCTTCACATCGTCAAGAAATGGTTTTTTTTGCGCTAATGACGCTGGTATTTTCATATTCACACTACTGTTGGTTTGTAGTGAACACATCTTCATTTCAAAACAATCGATTATTTCGTCTATATCCCCCTTTTCTAATTGTGCGAAACGTTCCTCCCCAACGGCCTGCTTCAGGAGTTTCAAAAAATCATCATTGACACTGTCACCTCCTTCGCACTGCAGCAGCTGTCTGAGAAACCCGTTATGTTGATGACAGGATATGTTGCTAGTCTTACCTGTTTATTGTACAAACATATCAATATCGCATATTCAAGATGTCCATTTTGATAAACGATATTCGATATGTAACATATTGCAATAAGAATGATTTAAAGAGAGAGGAAAAACGAAAAAGAGCACATTCTCAATGTAAGTATAAAGGACGTTGGAAACAAGTAAAATGCTTTTTCATACAAAGTATACTTTTTCTTTAATATTTTAAGAAAACGCCGACGGCGTCTTTCAAGGAATGAAAATATTTTAAATTGTCTTCCGGTGAACGATTGGATGATGACCGTTTTCTAATATAATGTATAACATCACATATACTATGTAGCTAACTGCATGAGATATGTTTTCAGAAACCAAGAAACACCATATTGATAATTTTCATTTTACTGTAATTGACCTCATTATTATTAGCTGTATATAACAATTTTTCTAGCAGAGAAATGCATTTCATTAATATCATTATCATTAATATCCACCAAATTTGACAAGATGTGCAGTGGACCGTGCTAGCAGGGTTTTTTTGCAAACACTTTTCGATTGCGAGAGGTATGAAACATGCTGTGAAAACAACATAGATAATAATCACATTTCAACAGGATCTTAATTAAAACTGTTAATTAAAATCAAGTGAAACGAGAGTAAAATATAAACGAAAGATTTACATGACCCCTGAAGAAATACGGGGAGAATAAGATCAGGTGTTCCGGAAGGGTAAAGCCCTATACCTAGCGCATGAGAATTTAACCTGCCCTGTTTGCCATCTTGCTTTCCTGTACCAGATTTAGATTAGATATTTCCTCTTGTTTCAGACCACTTAACCTCTGCCACTTTTTTGGCAATTAGTTGAACGTTTCTCTTTGTGCAGAAATCTTTGGTTTCTGTTTCTTGACTGATACATACCCGACTCTTACAAAATGGTAGTTACTACTGCTCGTTCAGCATTGTGATAGCGTTATGGCTGCCTGTGAGCATAATGCGATGTAATATATCATGGTTGTTGTCAATACATTTCAGTGTGGTAGATCTGGAGTGTTGGCATCAGTTTCGCACAATCACAAATGGACTTATATGAACATAACGTAGCTTCCCACAAACAAACAAGACTTACATGGCGAGTATCGTTGATGATGCAGACCTTACTCTTCCAGAACACCTGGTTATATTCTCCTTGTATATTTTTAGTAATCATGTAAATCTTTCTTTTGTCATGTTTTCCCTAGTTTCATAAAATATGAGTTTGATTATGCTTACATCGACATGTTTATATTTTGTTGTTGTTGTTTGATTGTTTGCCAAACACATGCTCTCGCATACACAGGGAATCCTTCCTTAAATAACCGTAATTGTTGGTAGGACGTTTAGCAACAGAAAAGCAATCCAAGTAGGTAATGTCACGTTCCCAAATGAGATCAAGATAAATACCAACGGAGCCAACAAGCAAACTAAGGAGCATCAAACACGTCGAGATTCAATCGAACAAGGTCAGTTTTTTATGGGAAGGCATTATGTATCATACTTATACACATCTATTTGTTAATGCAATTAAAAGAAGAAAACGAGAACAACCAATATGATTAACATACGGGTGTTGTCCATGGTTACATAACTATTCGATCTGACCTACTGTTAACTTTAAATGTAATTTTGGATGCAATGTTTCTTATGTAACTAATGTATAGTATTTTATGTTATGAATTAAAATTTATCGAGAGTATCTACTGTGAATCTTAATTTGGCGCAATCCATTTCTTGGCAAAGAATAGAAGTAATTTTGGTAAAGTTTATTTCATCGAGAGAGCATGCCAAGTTGACATTTATCAAACTTATTCAGGAATTACAAGTACTATAATTCCAATAGTCTCCCATTCTTGTTAAAACTAAAATCACTCAAACACAATATAAAGTTGGATTATCTTTTTCTAATGTTGTAGCATAACTTCACTTGGTCCTTTCATATATTCTATTCATACATTTTCTCCCGTTATCATAGAGGAAAATTTGTTGCAAAACGCATTACATATTATGTTACGACTTTATTGAACATAAATGTTTACCTCGTAAGTCGAGGACAATATACGCAGCACCGGACTCGGCAGCCTTGTAAAAGGATATTTCGTCATGAGTTTCTCCTGCGCAGTAACCTAAAGCAGCGACCACCGGCTCAAGGACAACTATGCATCTGTTATTTTGTATACCAGCCTGAAAACCGATTCGTCAACATGGTGGAATAAACTTTCTCGAGAGCATTATATTACCTGAACATTTGAAACTGTTGTTCCTTCTGATTTGTGATTCCGTGTTATTGGTTTATCAATTTTTTGTTGTTCGAAATTTTACTAATACCCTTTTTTTCTATCAAACAAATCTTTTCAATATAGGTCCACACAGTCGTCTTCACTTAACAATAGTTAGGTAACGCATTTTGACTGTAGTAGGGATCGTTAGATGTCTCAAAACGTCCCCTGACATCGCAGATAAAGCTAACTGAAGTAGGAAACAATTTTACTCCACAACTATGCCTATATACACTAGTACCGGGTAATCAGTTTGATCGACACTTAATTGAACTACTGGGTTACGTAAATGGACGATCTTTCCGGTAGTATCACGTTTTATAACGCGAGAGGTTCGAGTCTAATCAATTATGTTTTAACTCACGATTTTTTCTTTAAGAATATTTAAAAGCTTTCAAGCTGCCCGGCCAGCTGTTCTATCTAAGTACGAAACCGGAAGTAGTATAGTTCGTCAGACGAATGTCCAAGGAGACCGGAAGTGAGAGAGAATGTCGAGAACGTGAACTGGAACGAGGATGATGATGAACAGGTTGAAAGAACGCTAGAGGACAATATCCAAAACTTGTTAAATATTTGTAGTAATGTTGATTCTAGTGAAGGCAGCATAAATAACACCTTTACAGAGAATTATCTAACGAGTGAAATGAATAATTAATTGACAGCTGTCCTTCGGTTGAAATTTAGACTTGTTCCTGTTAATGTACGCAGATGACATGGCAATATTCTTAAAGACGCCAGAACGCTTACAGAATATGCTAAATTCTTAAGAAACATAATGGGATTTGAATGTCAGTACAAGTAAAACAAAAATTCAAGTTTTCCGAAATGGTTGCATTGAAATGGTGGCAATTAATGACGAGACAGGAACTATGACGGTTGTCAATTAGAAATTGTAAGTGAACTCAACTATTTGGGCATGTTACTAGATCATTATGGAGTTTTTAGCACGACTAACAAAACATCATCGAGAAAGGACGAAAAGTTGTTTTGCAGTTATAGACGTGTGTCGTAAAAATAATTTCGATATTGAAACCCAATTATCGATCTTTGATACATACGTTAATAGCATTCCAACTTATTGATCCGAAATGTGGGGCTTTCATCAAGCAACCGAGATTGAAAAATATTCCACGATGTTTCATAAAAGATAATTTGAATTCGGATAAATGCGTGTAATAATATGGTTAATTTCGAACAATAGAAATTAAGAATATATAAGTATTGGATGAAATTAAAAAAGACGAAATTTGTGAAAATCATTTTATGAAGATATGTTTGAAAAGAATGACAAATGGGTTTTAAACATCAGACTAGGTTTAGGCGAAACAGAAAGCAATGTAGACACACAGTATAATGTAATCAGAGAAAGACTTTTTGATATAATTAGACAGGACTGTAAAGACTGAAAAGAGTATATTTTTGTTTGGATGCCATCTTGAAATTTCCTTTAATGAACAGCTATCTGGAAAAATGTAACTGGAAATACAAATTGCTTGAAGGGTTGTAAACGAAGCTTTTTACGTTTACCAAAAGACTAGTAAGCAACTCTTTGTGACGTAGATTCCACTTAGTTTCTGCTATAGTGAAGGGAAATAATGTTTTGTATATGTTTACAAGATAACAGTAGCCCAACAGTTTTGATTTTTCGAGACTGGAATTATACTCAGTAAACCTTATCTCTGCACCATTGCAGACGAGTTAGAAATAAGAGGACTAGGAAAATAGGTTTGAAACGCGTATTGCTATCATCTAGATAGGTGGCCTGCCTAAAGTCCTTTCTTTTTAGTAAATTATTTTCAATATTAGGAGTTCAATTTGTGATAAAATAATTTATTAAAGAATTCACTTTCATTTATTTGGAATATTTTATTTTTTTGCACACATTTCTTTTTCGAAATCAATTAAAACTGTGAGCCAATGGTTGACTAATACCCCCTCCCCCCCCCCAAGCACAAGTACAGTTTTATAGTAATGACACTTTAATTTGAATAAATATTGACTGGTAACCGTGGCAATATTTTGCTGCAAAGAGTCTACGCATGGTTCCCAAAGCTGAATCCAGTAAAAACGAGTATTTAAATTTAGTACAGTGTATTTTGTCCATTGATATCTATCATTTCATGTGAATACTGACGACACAAAATATGCGAGCCCATTCTCGCTTTATTTTTGTTTCGAAAAGTGAGCTTAATTTCATGACGGTGTGTAATGGGCATTGATGGGACTGCCAGTTTAGACAAAAAGTGGCAGGGTCATCCTTTAAAAATACCAGGCTGCAGATGCCCCTGATAGTTACAATTTATATAGGAATGTTTTAAATGTCATATACCCGAAGGGGAAATTCGCAGGACTGGCTTAAAAGTAAAATAAAAGGAAAATTACGATCTTTCCAAACGAAATATTTCGCCAACAGACGGAGTTTCAATGAATGAATGAACTAATAAGGTATAGATAGAGGTTACTCTTGATTCTAAACACGAAATTTACGTAACGACGACATTCCTCGTAGTAAAATGTAAACATTACCTCTGACCCCATTGAATCTATTTCTGCCATTGATACTGACTGGATCCAAGTGGTCACGTGATATACCCATATGCATAGTAATGAAGAGAATACTGTGGTGAACGAGTGACAACACACCGAAATTAGTTAATGACAAATGCTGGCTATGGAATAACACATGAGTAATTTCTGCTCCTTTCATTCAAAAAGAAAATCTAAAATTCATGCCGTTATACATTTTGTTGTTTCGTGGAAAAAACATTAGCGAAAATACGCGGGAAACTCTCTTTTAGCTTTATCAAGTAATGATCAATTGTTTCCGTAAACCTCTCGCACAAAGTATGTGCTACTACTTACCTGTTGTGCTGCCTGTCGTACTAACTGTTTCCCGTCACTGTCCCATCTGGCAGGGATAGTCAGTACGTTCACAATTTCTGAATCAATAATGACGCACCTCTCTCCTACTCTTCTCTCTAATAGTTCTTTCATGAATCGTATAGAATGGACAAGAATATCGAATAGTGGGAACATTTTACCAGTCTCATCTTTTACCATTGCGTGCTTGTGAAATTTCTGCAAAAAAGAGATGAACACTTTTTAATCCAATTATTTGCATGTTAATCATGCCGAGATCCCGCTCAAAAAGATTAATCACTTAAATAAAATCCTTTTCGAAGAATGGTTTATTTTTCCATGAAACATTTATAGAAAAAAAAGAGAAAAGAAAGCTAGTGAAACAGCCTGGTTAGGGCAAGAGAGTGGTGACTGAAATGCCACTGAGCGAAAAACATAATAAAGAGCTGATGGTTCTTTTGTAAGTCTTCACATTTTCATATCCATTTTCTTTTGAATTGGTAAAAAACAGATCTTCACTTTGATATTGTGCAAGTTCCGGAAGTAGTAATATGTGTGTTGGTCCTTGGCTGCCTCCGTAATATCAGCATAGTTTTCCTCTGCCTTACATCCAAAGGAGTGAAAGCTTTTGTCTGGATTCAGGAGAAGAGCAGTCCGAAAATTCCAGCACTTTTTAGAATCACTGATTGCCACAACTGCCTCTTGAGGATTGGTAAACGACGAAACACCACAACACCAGTGCGTATCTCCTATATTTATCGCTGCTGACAACACAGGCGGAGTAAACTTATCCATGTTTCTGTGAATATAGTAAAACAGATTAACTTCATAAAATAAAACTATTTCACTATAGAGAAGTCCCTCCATTCTGCTTATATAAACAGTCTTACTATGCACAACACTTGGGTATTACATACTTACGTCATATAAGATGTAGCGGTATTTTCCCCAGTATACAGTTGTATCGATGTTCGTTTTAAATGTGTTTGTAACGTATTAATGTTCGTCTTAGTTGTCACTATCACTCTGAAGTTTTCTTTTTTTATTATTTTTTTTTACATTTCATGTCTTAATGTGATATCGACTGTAAATATGTGAGTAAATATTTCATTAGATCTGTTACAAAGTCATATATTAACATCATAGTGTTGTATGTCAAAGTAGTAAAATACAGTTTAATTGTTTAAGATATGCCAAATGAATCCAATAGCTGTAAGTACAAAAGCACTGAGATACTAAGTCAAAGGGAAATTGAATATTGAAAAGATACAATTGTAGGGAAAGAAAAACTAACAAAACCTATATATATTTCATCTATACTTCACCTACGACTTGAGAAAAAAATCCCAACATTTCTAGTTATCTCTTTTCGTTACAGTTTAAAGGTTAGGATAAGATTTTTAACCACTATCTTAAGAATGCTTTGTTATAATAGTAAATAATTTTGAACTTTGTGTGAGAGCAAATTCATATGACATTAACTAACATGTTTTTGTTTGTCTCCAGAAAGATGTACATGTACATGTCCATAATGTCTGACTGTGTAACTGGTAGATTTATATACATTCATTAATACCATTTATATTGCTAGCTTGTTACATTGTTTTATAAGTATTCCCGCTAAGTAAAACAATCAACGATATAATATATAAAGATAAAAAGACTCGTGGATATTATACATCATGTTATAAGATTTGTATATCAGTATGTTTGCATAGAGATTACACGACAAGTGGTTGTGGTGTGAGGTATCAGCTATCTTTAATTACTTATCAAAAGTTACAAAAACACTAGCGAGTTTAGAGTAAAACAGATACCATATACCATCACCACAGGTTTGTTTGACCTGTTTCATGGAAATATTATAATATCATAACACATTATAACTAGAAATTGATTGGTTTGTTAAGATAGACAGCCTATAAGTAATGGATGATTATGATAACAACGTCATGTGTTATTAAAAGAGGTGTGGTAGGTAAAAATGGTTTCCATCTACGGGTGTACCATGGTGTACCACAAGGTTCAATCTTAGGCCCGTGACTATTTTTGACATTTATAAATGATTTATCATTATCCGTTGATACAAATACCGAAATGCATGCTGACGATTCCAGTTTCCATTATGCCAGTAAATCCTTAGAAGATATACAAAATATTTTGCAGACAGATTTAGAAAATGTAACAAATTGGTATACTGAAAACAAAATGTATGATATTGTTACTTCAAAACAGAAACTCTCCATGACTACAGATTGTAAACTTCGCCTGAAACTTGGGGACACTGAATTAGAACAAGTGGAAAATGAAAAAAAAACTTTTAGGTGTACATCTTGATTATTGTTTGTCAGGGAAAAGTCATGTTGACAAAGCAGTGTCTAAAATTAGAAAAATGCTTAGGTTTGTTAAGGCGTATACGTTCCTATCTTCCCATTCAAGGTAGAATGAAGTTTTACAACTCATGTATTTTTCCCCATTTTATTTATTGCTGTACTGTATGGTCTGGATATGATGCAAATCATATGGGTAAATTATATAAAGCCCAGAAATAGGCAGCAAGAGTTATACTTGATGTGCCATATGATACACCTTCCTCAGATATGTTTTCTGTTTTAAAATGGATTCCAATTGAAAAATATTTTAAATTCAAGAGAATATGTATGTTTTACAAATATATTCATGGACTGGTGTCAGATTTCTTAAGCCACAATATAAAACTTACTAATGATGAACACAGAAGATTACCAGGTTATCCGTGGCAAATAATGTTATTGTTCCTAAGCACAGAACTACATTTTACTCCAAAAAATTTATATCTGGTGATCAGGACTGGAATAGTCTACCTAGTCTGTTAAAAGACATTCAAACTTTTAATTCTTTTAGAGAACAACTAGTTCATTACTTTTGGAATTCTTAACTGTTGTTTTAATGCTAATTTTCCTTTTTTAATCTATGCTATACTAGCTAATATCCTGGTAATTTTTACTTTTGTTATGTTAGTATATATGTATATACGGCTTAAAGCCATTTAATTGACAAATCAAATTAGCACAAATATGTGTTTGTGTTATCTGTGATAATATTAATTAATACTGACTGTGATATGTTATAATGTATTTCACTATCATAATTTTGTATGTATTTTAGTATCTGATTGTGATATCATGTTTTACTAACGAATGTAATATTTTACTAACTTGAGGACCATGTGGCTTTGGCTAAACATGTATTATCCTCTTTAAATAAAGTCTATTATTATTGTAACACTTAGACTTAATATCTTCTTCGCTGAAAATATATACTTGGCAGTCAGTGTTGAAATTCTATTCCTTACGTGATAATTAAGAAATTAACTAAATGATGTGAAGATGACTTCAATTCTATGAACCATGAACATATAAAAGAAGATTACATTCACAAAGTCGATATGAACACACAATCACTACTTAGTTCACACAATGTTTATGTCTATCAAAGGTGTCATAAAAGGTTTATACAGTACAGATTATATGATATTTTATGTATTTGTATTCTGCGAATTTTGACAGTTATCTTAAATCAATGTAACATTACTGTTGGGCTTAGGTGCAGATATTGCTTGTGACAACATGGTCACCTTTCCTCGACGTTCTTAATAACCCGAAGTATTCTTCTGAATATACACATGTAATTACCGTTGTTCTAAAATCATCAGATATATAAAAATCGATAAATTTATTGAATTATGGAACTAGTGCACCTCCCTATCAAAATTTAAACTTTTCTTTCGATGACTTTTGGACTTTCTTCAGTCGTCTCTCAGGCTTCAGAATTATGACTTGAATTCATTGTTTGACTCTTCTATATATAACTATATTTTCTAACTTTAATGTGATATTCACTTGTGTGTCTGTTATACAATCTTTCCGGGATCATTTTTACTAGCTATGATTCGAGATAATTCAACATTAGTGTTTTTAAGATAGGAAGGGGTATTTTGTCCAAACATGCATAACCCGGAAGTTATGAGTGTTTATACTCGCTGCTTGAAAAGTCGTTCAAACTACGAATTTGATTTTATCCAGACGTCCAATCTACACGAGACAAAAGCAAAAATGACCTCAGAATACTACTACAGAACAATCAGTACTATACAGAACTACAACCCGTCTTTATACTGATGAAATATTTATAAACTTACTTGGGTTTCTTCCGGGTATCCGTGTGTAAAAAAAATACCTATATAATAACCGATCTTAGTTAGAACAGTCAACAAGAAATATAAAACTGATATTGGATATGCATATGTGTAAAACAGCACTAAAAATACGAGTTCCATAACCTGTAATTCATATTTATGAATAATTGTCTTGTTATCAATATATTTTTAAATTCCAGAATACTACCAATCGGCAAACGACAAGTATTCACTTCCGGACAATGTGACCTACATTAATTCAATGGAGCCTAGATTTATGATTATGTTGATATCGTGATATTTTCTTTTATTTGTTTTTTCAAACAGTGCAACCTACAAAAGTTTATAACTTAACGTGAGGGTACTTCGACCAAAGCATTGACAAATTATAAAGATTTACAGGAAATAAGGACGCAATGTCACATCAAAACAATGAGTATTGAATATGAAAATTCGTCGACTCCTTTTTATTATTTATTTACTTAGTTTAAGTTTTCATAATTGTTCTTAAATACTTCCATTGAAAAGAAATAACGTTGTAGGCGTATTCAAGATATTTTATAACGGTACAGAGTTATAAGTATTACCACTAATCAATGGACAGCTTTTATTTTACAAAAACGAACAAAACTTCAGTAAGAGTTCACTGTTGTTTGCTATAGTTTTTTTATGCTTAAAGATAAATAGAAACATGATTAAATCTGCAACAACTATGTTCTGAAACTAAAACTTTTGAGTGTATATCTGAGAACTTAGTTCCATAATATTGGAGTGTTTTCGTACGAGTATATTTCAGTTATGTAATAAAATTTGAGTTATGTCCCTTTGACTGTTACGTTGTTTTTCTAACCTTCAATGTGGAAAAGATTGTTGTGTTTGTCCATCATTCAATCCGTTTGACTACTAAATTGTCAATCATGTATAACATCATTTTGTCGTTAACTCAAGGAAGGCATGACAACATTTTGTTATTAACCCAGTATTATCATAACATCTTATTTTCGTCACTTCAGGGTCAACATAACATAATTTTGTCGTCAACTCAAGACCAACATGTCGTCACACAGAGGTTATCATGTCATAATTTACCGTTAACTGAAGGTTAAAATGTCATCATTTACCATCAACTGAAGGTTAAAATGTCATCATTTACCGTCAACTGAAGGTTAAAATATCATCATTTACCATCAACTGAAGGTTAAAATGTCATCATTTATCGTCAGATGAAGGTGAAAATGTCATCATTTACCGTCAGTTCAAGGTTAACACAACACAATTTTGTCGTCAAGTCAAGGTTAACAGGTCGTTCACTCAAGGTTAACACGACCATTTTTTTCAATGTTATTTAAAGTCAACTTCTGATATAAACTGAGGTCAAGTTTCGATAATTCAACGTTAACATTAGAATAAACATAATTGTGATGTTGGAATGGTATCTAGGGTTTAGCTGATACAAGATATTTGTATATTATCTACAATGTCTATGTTGACATCATTTCAACGTTACTTTTCCTTCCATTTGACATAATACCTATTGTAAACACAAATAGATGAAAAATACAAAAAACTTTTATTTCAGTCACTCATATATTCCAAATGGTTGTGTTGAAATTGTGATAACAAAACCATGAATTACAGCAAGTACTATCTGTCATCAAAATACGAGACACTCCAAGCGATCGGTGCAGAAACATGAATTACAGCAAGTACTATCTGTCATCAAAATACGAGACACTCCAAGCGATCGGTGCAGAAACATGAATTACAGCAAGTACTGTCTGTCATCAAAATACGAGACACTCTAAGCGATCGGTGCAGAAACATGAATTACAGCAAGTACTGTCTGTCATCAAAATACGAGACACTCCAAGCGATCGGTGCAGAAACATGAATTACAGCAAGTATCGAATGTAATTAAAACAGGAGACGCTCCAATCGATCGTTACAAAAACATAAATTACAGCAAGTTTTGTCTGTCATTAAATCACAAGACGCTCCAATCGATCGTTACAAAAACATAAATTACAGCAAGTTTTGCCTGTCATTAAATCACAAGACGCTCCAATCGATCGTTCGGAACATAAATTACAGCAAGTATTTTCTTTAATTAAAACATGAGAAGCTACATTCGATCGTTCGGAACATAAATTACATCAAGCATTGTCTGTCATTAAATTGCAAGACGCTCCCATCGATCATCAAAAATATCATAAATTACAGCAAGTATTGTCTGTCATTAAATCACAAGACGCTCCAATCGATCGTTACAAAACATGAATTACAGCAAGTTTTGTCCGTCATTAAAAGACAAGACGCTCCTATCGATTGTTACAAAAATATTTAAAAAGTAAAGAAACGCTCAATGACCTAACCAAGAAATCTGGTCTTTAACAGAAATCATCCTCTGTAACGATATGTTCCCGGTTATGCATGCATTGTTTCCTTGTTGAATTTCATATTAATGACTGGAATGCATCTCACAAAACATTTTCTTTTCCAATTTGATAACAATTATATATTCAATCAATTCTTCGATCTCTTAACTGTCTAGATAACGGTAGTCATTTGTTTTTCTTTTTCGATATGAATTTACAGCGAAATGAATTAACATTAGCAAATTACTCTCATCTGCTAATATTCCAGTTCACTAATGGATTAGGTTGATGAAACTTTTGGCTATATTTAGGTGTTTCTGCTGAAGTTCTTACTGTATTTTATTTCCAAGCGTTCGGATTTCTGTATTTTGGTTTGCTTTTAAAACTGCTCTGCTGTGGTTTAATCATTTCTTTACGGCCCTTTTCTTCTCTGTCGTTACTGGATTTTACAGAATCTCTTTTGGCTGCATCTTTCGTACTAATTTTAGTCCTCTTTTTAATTCCTGGTGGGTCTCTTGAGGGCGATAACTTTGCATTCTTTTGTCTCTTAGATTTCAGATTGACATTTACATCGACGGTTTTCTGTTCTGGTGCAAGTGTAAATTCTTCCTCCTTGTCTTTTTCTGGTAGATACTCCAAAGCATCTTTGTACTCTTCGGTGTCTGAATTCTCCTCTCGGTCATTAACGTTATTTGTACTCGCAGACTTTCCTTGGGATTTTGACTTCGCGCCTCCCTCTTTATCGAGCATGACATCTTTAGAATCAACCTTAATGGAGTAATTAAGGCTATCGCCGGGGACATTTTGTTCATCTGCATCACGTAAACGTTGAATGTTGATTTCTGTTTCAACCGGAAGGTCATTTACGGTAGTGGCATGATCTGTTGATTCCACAAAATCTTCTTCTGAGGAAGGATTAACCGGTTTCTGAACCCTGTCTTTGTCAGTTTTTATTTCATTAGTTTTCGACATTTCATCGTTGTTTTTCTCAGATGCATCGTCATTGTAAATCATGACTGTTTGTGTCTGTAAATCGTGGATGACATCAACATCTTCCGTGATGTAAGAATTTCGCTCTTTTGCAGAATGATTCATGGCAGTATTGTCTATAATCCCATTAGAAATGTTGCCGCATTCATCAGTAGATATGATACCCGGAACATCTGTTATTTGTCCCTTGTGATCATTTGTGATTGTATCGTGAATGGTATCCTTGTCTTTAGACATATCCTTCTTATCCTGTGAGAAATCTTCAGTACCTACAGATTTTAATGCGTCATTGTTCGTATCTTTTATCTCACTTTTGTCTATGATTTCCTCTGTTCTGAAAGGTTCATCTGTTGATATTACAGAAACTGATTCCAAAGAAGGACCACGAGGCCTCCGGTTGGGAACAATGTTGTCAGATATTACCTCATTATTATCCTTTGTACTGTCTTCATGCTCAGTTGATTTGGATGTCGGTACAATATTGTTCCAGTTTTTCATATCATCCGACTCATCAGCGTTATTTTCAGAGTCGTTAGGAACAACAAATATTGTTTTGGCTTCATCTACAGACACCGCTGCATCTTGTTCCAAAGAGGGTATTGTATCCTGATTTTGACACATTGCCTCAGCTGTTTCCATTTTTCTATCCAGAGCAGAATTTAGAAATTGCAATGCTGTTTTGTCCAAATCTTCGTTTTCTACTTCATCAGTGTTTTCTTTTCCTGATATGTAGCCATTCTGTTTCGGTTCCATTGAGGTTTTGCCAATAACTGCGTTTTCTGTAATATCTTTACTTTTCTCTTGCTTCGTGATTTCTTTACTTGACAACGGGGCACTTCGATCCAGGGGAATGTCATTTTTAATCGGATACAATTGGTTCACTTCAGCTTTCTCGTTTTTCTTATCGTAATTCTGTAACACTGGTGACGATGGGTTTATGCGTTCTTTTTCTTTCTTGTCGATTGACGACGTGTCTGGAATCATTAACGACGGTGTCAGTTCCAATGGTTCATTAGTTGCAATTTCAAAATTGCTACCAGACTTCAGGTCAGTGGACGCCATTTGATCGGTATCTATTGTGCCTGTGATGTCTTTTCCTGATGTAGAAGGAGTAATGTTAATTCCAGAGATTTCATCTGTTGATATTGAAGCTACAAGTTCCACAGTGGGATTAATATTTTCATGATTATGATCCTTGTCTGCATTTATGTTTTCTTCATTATCCTGTGACACATAGCTTGCATCAACAGCTTCCGGAACTACGTTATCTATATCTTTGTTTTCCACTACTCCTGATGTTTCATTAGTTGATATCACAGGATTGTGATTTTCATTTTCAGTTTGATTGAAAACAAGGTCGTGAGATAACACTTCCTCGTTTTCCTTTGTGATGTTGGTATTCTCTAATGAATCGGATATAATGTTGCATTCTTCTCCATTGGAAACCTCAACTATATCTGATTCGTGTAAAGTTTCTTCATTGTTATCGCTTTTCACATCAACAGACTCATCGACGTCTTTTTCGGAGTCGCCTGGAAGAATTGTAAGAGATTTAGCTGCATCTTCAACATGTTCCTTTGTTGTATTATGTATATCCTGGTTGTTAGTTTTGTCCTCATCTGCTTCCTCATTTATGTGCTGTGATGCATAGGATTTTTCGAAATCTTCCGTTTCCGCAAACTCTGTGTTTTCCTTTTCTCCCAAGATTCCATTTGCTGACATCACATTATCTAATTCGAACGACTCATCCTTGAGACTCTTGTTGAGAACATTGTCGTTGACTATTTCTCTTTTGGTACCATCTGTCATATCCGCATCCTGTATCGTCTCCAATAAAGTTTTATCAAGGCCCGCATTTTCTGTGATATTCCCTGTTTCCTCTGGTCCTGTGTTTTCGCTATTTGTCATCTGAACACTTTGATCCAGCGCGGTATCATCTGTAAAGCTGTTTGAAATATTTTCATCCGTTTTTTCATCCTTGTTATCGTTATTCGCTTGCTCCGTTGTAATCGTAGTGTTCATGTCAGACTTCATATCAGCGGACGCCACTTCATCTATCTCCATTGTGCCTGTGATGTCTTCTCCCGGGGAAATCGGAGCAACATTGAGTCTAGGTCCTTCATTTGTTGTTGCCAAAGCTGAAATTTCCAACACAGGATTAACTCTATCATGATTATTCTCCTTATCTTCAATTTTGTCTACTGTGTTTTCCTGTGAGACATCGCCGATATCAACATCATCCGGAACTACTTTGTCTATGTCTTTGTTTTCGGTGTTATCTATGTTTTCCACTTCTCCGGATGTTTCATTAGTTGATATCACAGAAGCGGATTCCACAGAAAAAATCGGTAGGTTCTGGTTGAAAACAAGGTCGTGAGATAACACTTCCTCGTTTTCCTTTCTGATGTCGGTATTCTCTGATGAATCGGATATAATGTTGCATTCCTCTCCAGTGGAAACGTCAACTATATCTGATTCGTGTAAAGTTTCTTCATTGTTATCGCTTATCACATCAACAGACTCATCGACGTCTTTTTCGGAGTCGCTTTGAAGAATTGTAAGAGATTTGGCTTCATCTTCAGGTGCTGAATCAACTTTTTCCTCTGTTGTAATTTGTATATTCTGGTTGTAAGTTGTGTCCTCAGCTGCTTCCTCATTTATGTGCTGTGATGCATAGGATTTTTCTAAATCTTCCGTTTCCGCAAACTCTGTGTTTTCCTTTTCTCCCGAGATTCCATTTGCTGACATCACATTATCTAATTCGAACGACTCATCCTTGAGACTCTTGTTGAGAACATTGTCGTTGACTATTTCTCTTTTGGTACCATCTGTCATATCCACATCCTGTATCGTCTCCAATAAAGTTTTATCAAGGCCCACATTTTCTGTGATATTCCCTGTTTCCTCTGGTCCTGTGCTTTCGCTATTTGTCATCAGAACACTTTGATCCAGCGCGGTATCAACTGTAAAGTTATTCGAACTATTTTCATCCATTTTTTCATCCTTGTCATCGTTATTTACTAGATCCGTTGTTGATGAGCCGATTTGTTCTTTTCCAGATAACTCGTTTCCGTCGATTAAGTATGCTTCTGGTATCGTCAACGACGGCGCTAGTTCAAATTTCCCATCGCTTGTAACCACAGTATTCATGTCAGACTTCAGATCAGCGGACACCATTTGATCGATCTCTATTGTGCCTGAATCAACATTGATTCCAGAAGCTTTATCTGTAGATATCGGAACTGCAAGTCCCAAAGTAAGATTCGTTATTTCAGGGTTGTGATCTTCGTTTTCAATTTGGCCCTCATTTTTTTCTTGGGACACATTGTTACTTTCAACTGGATCCAATACTTCTTTATCCATATCTTTGTTTTCGGTGTTATCTTTGTTTCCTACTTCTCCGGACGTTTCACTAGTTGATATCACAGAAGCGGATTCCACATAAAAATCCGGTAGGCTTTGGTTGAAAACAAGGTGGTGGGATAAAACTTCTTCGTTTTCCTTTGTGATGTCGACATTCTCTGATGAATCGGATATGATTTTGCATTCTTCTCCAGGGGAAACCTCAACCACATCTGATTCGTGTATAGTTTCTTCAATGGTATCGCTTTTCTCATCAACAGACTCATCGATGTCTTTTTCGGAGTCGCCTGGAAGAATGGTAAGAGATTTGGCTGCATGTTCAGGTACTGAATCAACTTGTTCCTTTGTGGTATTATCTGTATCCTGGTTGTTAGTTTTGTCCTCAACTGCTTCCTCATTTATGTGCTGTGATGCATTCGTCGGACTGAATGAGTGCCGAGTGGATTTTTCTAAATCTTCCGTTTCCGCAAACTCTGTGTTTTCCTTTTCTCCCGAGATTCCATTTGCTGACATCACATTATCTAATTCAAATGAATCATCCTTGAGACTCTTGTTGAGAACGTTGTCGTTGATTATTTCTTTTTGGGTACCATCTGTCATTTCTCCATCCTGTATCGTCTCCAATAAAGTTTTATCAAGGCCCGCATTTTCTGTGATATTCCCTGTTTCCTCTGGTCCTGTGCTTTCGTTACTTGTCATAAGAACACTTTGATCCAGCGCGGTATCAACTGTAAAGTTATTCAAACTATTTTCATCGGTTTTTTCATCCTTTTTATCGTAATCCACTCGCTCCGTAGTCGATGAGCTGATTTTTTCTTTTCCAGATAACTCGTTTCTGTCGATTAAGTTTGCTTCTGGTATCGTCAACGACGGCGCTAGTTCCAATTTCTCATCGCTTATAATCGCAGCCTTCATGTCAGGCTTCAGATCAGCGGACGCCATTTGATCGATCACTATTTTGCCTGTGCTGTCTTCTCCCAGGGAATTCGCAGCAACGTTGAGTCTAGGTCCTTCATTTGTTGTTGCCAAAGCTGAAATTTCCAACGTGGGATTCCCTCCATCGTGATTATTCTCCTTATCTTCAGTTGTGTCTTCTTTATTATCCTGTGAGACATCGCTGATATGAAAATCATCCGGAACTACTTTGTCTGTATCTTCGTTTTCGGTGTTATCTATGTTTTCCACTTCTCCGGACGTTTCACTAGTTGATATCACAGAAGCGGATTCCACAGAAAAATTCGGTAGGTTCTGGTTGAAAACAAGGTCGTGAGATAACACTTCCTCGTTTTCCTTTGTGATGTCGGCATTCTCTAATGAATCGGATATAATTTTGCATTCTTCTCCAGGGGAAACCTCAACTATATCTGATTCGTGTATGGTTTCTTCATTGTTATCGCTTTTCATATCAACAGACTCATCGACGTCTTTTTCGGAGTCGCTTGGAGGTATGGTAAGAGATTTGGCCGCATCTTCAGGTACTGAATCAATTTGTTTAAGTGTTGTATCATGTGTATCTTTACTGTGAGCATTGTCCTCAACTGCTTCATCGTTTTTGTGCTGTGTTACATCAGTGAGAGGTAAAGGCTGCAATGTTGTTGAGTTAAAACCGTTCGATATCACAGTACCTAGATCCAAAGAAGCACAATGCTGACTGGTGCGTAGAATGTTGTCTTTCATTATTTCCTTTTCGGTACCATTTGTCATATCCGCATCCTGTATCGTCTCCAATGACGTTTTGTCAAGGCCCACATTTGCTGTGATATTTCCTGTTTCCTCTGGTCCTGTGCTTTCGCTATTTGTCATCTGAACACTTTGATCCAGCGCGATATCAACAGTAAAGTTATTCAAACTATTTTCATCGGTTTTTTCATCCTTGTCATCGTTATTCCCTTTCTCCGTTGTTGATGAGCTGATTTGCTTTTTTTCAGATAACTCGTTTCTGTCGATTAAGTATGCCTCTGGTATCGTCAACGATGGTGCTAGTTCCAATTTCCCATCGCTTGTAATCGCAGTGTTCATGTAAGGCTTCATATCAGAGGACGCCATTTCATCGATTTCTACTGTGCCTGTGTTGTCTTCTCCCGGGATATTCGCAGCAACATTGAGTATAGGTCCTTCATTTGTTGTTGCCAAAGCTGTTATTTCCAACGCAGGATTCATTCTACCATGATTATTCTCTTTATTTTCAGTTGTGTCTACTGTATTATCCTGTGAAACATCGCTGATATGAAAATCATCCGGTACTGCTTTATCTGTATCTTCGTTTTCGGTGTTATCTATGTTTTCAACTTCTCCGGACGTTTCATTAGTTAATGTCACAGAAGCGGATTCCACGGAAAAATCCGATAGGCTTTGTTCGAAAACAAGGTCGTGAGATAACACTTCCTCGTTTTCCTTTGTGATGTCGGCATTCTCTAATGAATCGGATATAATTTTGCATTCTTCTCCAGGGGAAACCTCAGCTATATCTGATTCGTGTATAGTGTCTTCATTGTTATCGCTTTTCACATCAACAGACTTATCGATGTCTTTTTCGGAGTGGTTTGGAAGATTGGTAAGAGATTTAGCTGCATGTTCAGATGCTAAATCAACTTGCTCCGCATCCTGTATCGTCTCCAATGACGTTTTGTCAAGGCCCACATTTTCTGTGATATTTCCTGTTTCCTCTGGTCCTGTGCTTTCCCTATTTGTCATCAGAACACTTTGATCCAGCGCGATATCAACAGTAAAGTTATTTGAAATATTTTCATCGGTTTTGTCATCCTTGTCATCGTTATTCCCTTTCTCCGTTGTTAATGAGCTGATTTGTTCTTTTTCAGATAACTCATTTCTAACGATTAAGTATGCTTCTGGTATCGTCAACGATGGTGCTAGTTCCAATTTCTCATCGCTTGAAATTGCAACGTTCATGTTAGACTTCAGATCACCGGAGCCAATGAGATCGATCTCTATTGTGTCTGTGATGTCTTTTCCTGTTGATGCTGAAGCTGCGAGTTCCATAGTAGGATTCATTCTCTCATGACTACTATCTTCAACGTCAGTTCTGCCCACTTTATCATCCTCTGACACATCGCTACTATCAATAGGATCCAATACTTCCTTGTCTTCGTTTTCAGTTTTACCTATGTCTTCAACTTTTCCATATGGTTCATTTGTTGATGTCACAGAAGCAGACTCCACAAAAGAATCCAGTAGGTCTTCTTTGGGAACAATATCGTTTGATATTATCTCCTCGTTTTCCTTTGTGATTTGGTCATTCTTTATTGATTCTATTGATTCGGATATGACTTTAAATTGTTCTCCTGCAGAAACATCAATCACAGCTGATTCGAATGTGGTTCCATTATTGTTATCGTTTGTCACATTAACAGATTCAACGACACCTTTTTTAGAGTCACCAGGAAGAAGGGTTAGTGATCCGGCTGTATCTTCAGATACCGAAATAACTTGTTCAAGTGTTATATTGTATGTGTCTTTATTGTGAGCCTTGTCCTCAGCTGCTTCATCTCTTCTGTGCTGTGGTACATCGGTGAGAGACAAAGGCTGCAATGTTTCAAAACCTTCCGTTTCTACAAAATCTGGGTTTTCGTCTGAGATTAGATCGTTTGATCTCACAGTATCTAGATCCAAAGAAGCACCATGTAGACTCGTGTATAGTATGATGTCATTCTCTATTTTCGATTTGCTACCATATGTCGTGACACCATTCTGTATCGTCTCCAATGAAGTTTTGTCAAGGCCCGCATTTTCCGTGATATTCCCTGATTTCTCTGGTTCTATATTTTCGCTATTTGTCTTCAGAACACTCTGATCCAGCGCGGTATCAACTGTGAAATAACTTATATTATTGTCGTCAGCTGTTTCCTCCGTTTTATCGTTATCCTCTTTCTCCGTTGTTGATGAGCTGATTTGTTCTGTTTTAGAAACCTCGTTGCTGTCGATTAAGGATGCCTTCGGTATTATCATCTGCGATAGTAGTTCTAGATTCTCATCTCTTGTACTTGCAATATTGATGTCAGAAGTCAAATCAGCAGACGTAACCTGATCGATCCCTATATTTCCAGTGATGTCTTCTCTCGAAGATGTTGGAGCAACAGTAGCTCTGGAGGCTTCATCTGTTGATGCCGAAACAACGAGTTCCGCTGTAGAATTCATTCCCTCGATATTGTGATCTTTATCTTCAGTTCTTTCTCTATAATCCCCTGACACATCGCTGCTATCAACAGGCTCCAATACTTCTTTGTCGATATCTTTGTTTTCTGTGTTGTCTATGTTTTCCACTTTTCCACCTGATTCATCAGTTAATGTCACAGAAACGGAATCTGGTAGGTCTTGTTTAATTACAATGTCGTTGGATAACATTTCCGCGATTTTGCCAAGGCCCGCGCTTTCTGCGATATCCACTGTTTCATCTGGCCCTATATTTTCACTATTTGTCTTCGGAACATTTTGATCCAGCTTTAAAACTATTTGAAATATTTTCATCGGCTGTGTCATTTTTATTGTTGTTTACCTGTTGCTCAATTGTAAATGAGTTTATTTGTTCTTTTTCAGCTAAATCGTTTCTCTTGATGAAAGACGCCTCCGGTATTATCAATGGCGATGCTAGTTCCAATTTCTCATCGCTTGTAACTGATATATTGATGTCAGATTTCAGATCAGTGGACGCCATCTGATCGATCTCTGGTTTGCCTGAGGTAACATCAATTCCAGAAGCTTCATCTCTTGGTGCCAACGCTACGAGTTCCAAAATAGGATTTATGCTATCATGAGTATGATTTTCATCTTTAGTTCTGCCTTCTTTATTATCCTGTGACACATCGCTACTATCAACATGAACCAGTACGTCTTTGTCCATGTCTTTGTTTTCCATATTTTTAGTGTTTTGCTCGTTACCAGATGCTGCTGAAGTTGATATTTCCTTTTCTCCTTGTAATGATAAACATCCGGCGAACCTATCATTTTCAGGAGTAAGTTCAACTGATGCTGATGCAATCAGTTCCGAAGTGGAATCTGATAAATCTTGGTGAAAAATATTTCCATCATTAGTCTCATCTTTGCTCTCGTCCTTTATTTCGACGGGAACAATATGTGACGGAGAAAAAGTCTCGTTCGTTTCATTTTCAGTATAAGTATTAATGTCTTCGATGTCTTCATTATTGCTGCTATCTCCTGTCAGTCCGTTGAGTTTCAAGTGATCCTCTGGTTTTCCGAATTCTTCCCTTGGAGTTGTTTCATCGTCATGTACGGAAACGTAAACCACCTGAGACATTGCAGGCGTTATTTTGTCTTCTACGATTTCATTTTTTATATCATTATGGTCACTAACAAGCTTCATTTCTTCTTCGTTATTGTCCATAAGACCTATCTTTTTACTTTCTTCTTTTTTTGACAACGTCTTTTCTTCTAACAAAGATGACCCAGAAATGTCTCCTTCATCACTTTTGCCATCGTAAATCAGGTCTCTAGGTGTGTCATCTCCATCTTCGCCTTTGTCTGTGATACCATCTGTATTCATATGTGTCGACCCGGCATCGATATTTTCAGTAGAATCATTGAGTTCCTTCGCAGCTGACGTTTCCTTTTGACACACAGAGGCCATCATAATCAGTGACAAATCGAGTTCCTTCTGGATCGAGCTTATAGCTTCGCCTGTTGCATTTTTGTCGTCTTTTATCATATCATTGATCTCGGATTGTTCTGCACTCATTGTTTCTTCCGCGTCTGCTTTCTGTTCCGTAATCATTTCGTCCTTCGGTATGACAGACATCGATGACGGGTCGGATTCACATTGAATAGGAACATTTCCTTGTTCATCATCTTTGGGTGTCATTTGTGTCAATACTTCTGCATCCATTTCTATGTCAGCAACAGTGTCCTTAGTTTCTTTCTCGTTAGCGTCAAGCTTTTTAACAGAGGCAAGCAGTAACAAGCTAGGATCAGGTGAACTTCGAATTGAATCGGTATCATCTGTGTTTCTGTCATTTTTCTCATCTAGCGATGTGTTTTGGGCGTTACTGTCTGGTGTGACAATGTCATCTGAAAAAGGTAACTCTGTTGTTTCCTTTTCGGTAGACATCTCTGCAACTGAAGCTGAAGTATTCATTTCCAGTGTCGGATCTGTTAGACTTTCTTGTTTTCCTCCGTCACTAGGAGGAGACGGCTGTGTAACAACATCCACTTCTACTAAATCATTTCCTTCCGTTTCCTTGGAATGATCCGTCTTCGATCCTGCGATGGCTGCAATCATAACTTGATCTTGTGTACTAGTATTGTCAATTTTCTCATCCCTTTCGTTTAAGTATTCTGAATCCTCCACGTTATCCTGTTCTGATGACTCGGATTTGTCGTCAACAATGGAATCACTTTTCTTTATTGCACACGTTTCTCCGTTAGTAACAGAGGCCAATATTACAACAGGCCGGTCGGATGTACTTTCAATGGAAACTGAATCTTCATCGTTTTCCTCTTTTCTAGTGTCTTTTGGATCTTCGGGGGTCATTAGTGTATGATTTGTGACTTCTACGTCTGTGCCGGTAACAGAATCGTTTGTTTCTTTCACAGCTGTTTCATTTTCTGAAGCCGAAGATGCAACTATCAGGGGAGGGCCATTGATAATAGAATGAGAGTTACCTACACTATCGGAACTGATTTCGTTAGAGATGTCATCCTCGCTATTGTCTGTGATATTATCTGTATTCATATGTGGCGACACGGCATCGCTCTTTTCGGTAGAATCTTTGAGTTCCTGTTCTGTTGATGTTTCACTTTGACACATAGAAGCCATCACAATCAGTGACGCATCGAGTTCCTTCTGGTTCGAGATGACATCTTCGTTCACTGCTTCTTCCGCGTCTGATTTCCGTTCCGTAATCATTTCGTCCTTCGGTATGACAGACATCGATGACGGTTCGGATTCACATTGAATGGAACCACTTCCTTGTTCATCATCTTTGGGTGTCATTTGTGTCAATACTTCTGCATCCATTTCTATGTCAGCAACAGTGACCTTAGTTTCCTTTTCGTTAGCGTCAAGCTTTTTAACAGAGGCAAGCAGTAACAAGCTTGGATCAGGTGAACTTCGAATTGAATCGGTATCATGTGTGTTTCTGTCGTTGTTCTCCTCTAACGATGAGTGTTGGACTTTACCGTCTGGTGTGACAATGTCATCTGAAAAAGGTAACTCTGTTGTTTCGTTTTCGGTAGACATCTCTGCAACTGAAGCTGAAGTATTCATTTCCAGTGTTGGATCAGTTAGACTTTCATGTTTTCCTTCGTCACTAGGAGACGGCTGTGTAACAACATCCACTTGATCATTTTCTACTAAACCATTTCCTTCCGTTTCCTTGGATGAATCCGTCTTCGATCCTGCGATGGCTGCAATCATAACTTGATTTTGTGTACTGGTATTGTCAATTTTCTCATCCCTTTCGTTTAAGTATTCTGATTCATCCACTTTATCCTGTTCTGATGACTCGGATTTGTCGTCAACAATGGCATCACTTTTCTTTATTGCACACGTTTCTCCGTTAGTAACAGAGGCCACAATCACAACAGGTTGGTCGGATGTACTTTCAATGGAAACTGAATCTTCATCGTTTTCCTCTTTTCTAGTGTCTTTTTGATCTTCTTGGGCCATTTGTGTGTGATTTGTGATTTCTTCGTCTGTGCCGGTAACAGAATCGTTGGTTACTTTCACAGCTGCTTCATTTTCTGACGCAGAACATACAACTACCAGGGGAGGACCATTGATACTAGAATGAGAGTCACCTACACCATCGTGACTGATTTCGTTAGAGATATCCTCCTCGCCATTGTCTGTGATATTATCTGTATTCATATGTGTCGACACGGCATCGCTCTTTTCGGTAGAATCTTTGAGTTCCTGTACTGTTGATGTTTCACTTTGACACATAGAAGCCATCACAATCAGTGACGCATCGAGTTCCCTATGGTTCGAGCTAATATCTTCGTTCACTGCTTCTTCCGCGTCTGATTTCTGTTCCGTAATCATTTCGTCCTTCGGTATGACAGACATCAATGACGGGTCGGATTCACATTGAATGGAAACATTTCCCTGTTCATCATCTTTGGGTGTCATTTGTGTCAATAATTCTGCATCCATTTCTATGTCAGCAACAGTGTCCTTAGTTTCCTTTTCGTTAGCGTCAAGCTTTTTAACAGAGGCAAGCAGTAACAAGCTAGGATCAGGTGAACTTCGAATTGAATCGGTATCGACTGTGTTTCTGTCATTGTTCTCCTCTAACGATGTGTTTTGGGCGTTACCGTCTGGTGTGATAATGTCATCTGACAAAGGTAACTCTGTTGTTTCGTTTTCGGTAGACATCTCTGCAACTGAAGCTGAAGTATTCATTTCCAGTGTCTGATCAGTTAGACTTTCATGTTTTCCTTCGTCACTAGGAGACGGCTGTGTAACAACATCCACTTGATCATTTTCTACTAAACCATTTCCTTCCGTTTCCTTGGATGAATCCGTCTTCGATCCTGCGATGGCTGCAATCATAACTTGATTTTGTGTACTAGTATTGTCAATTTTCTCATCCCTTTCGTTTAAGTATTCTGATTCCTCCACTTTATCCTGTTCTGATGACTCGGATTTGTCGTCAACAATGGCATCACTTTTCTTTATTGCACACGTTTCTCCGTTAGTAACAGAGGCCACAATCACAACAGGTTGGTCGGATGTACTTTCAATGGAAACTGAATCTTCATCGTTTTCCTCTTTTCTAGTGTCTTTTTGATCTTCTTGGGCCATTTGTGTGTGATTTGTGATTTCTTCGTCTGTGCCGGTAACAGAATCGTTGGTTACTTTCACAGCTGCTTCATTTTCTGACGCAGAACATACAACTACCAGGGGAGGACCATTGATACTAGAATGAGAGTCACCTACACCATCGTGACTGATTTCGTTAGAGATATCCTCCTCGCCATTGTCTGTGATATTATCTGTATTCATATGTGTCGACACGGCATCGCTCTTTTCGGTAGAATCTTTGAGTTCCTGTACTGTTGATGTTTCACTTTGACACATAGAAGCCATCACAATCAGTGACGCATCGAGTTCCTTCTGGTTCGAGATGACATCTTCGTTCACTGCTTCTTCCGCGTCTGATTTCCGTTCCGTAATCATTTCGTCCTTCGGTATGACAGACATCGATGACGGGTCGGATTCACATTGAATGGAACCACTTCCTTGTTCATCATCTTTGGGTGTCATTTGTGTCAATACTTCTGCATCCATTTCTATGTCAGCAACAGTGTCCTTAGTTTCCTTTTCGTTAGCGTCAAGCTTTTTAACAGAGGCAAGCAGTAACAAGCTAGGATCCGGTGAACTACGAATTGAATCGGTATCGACTGTGTTTCTGTCGTTGTTCTCCTCTAACGATGTGTTTTGGGCTTTACCGTCTGGTGTGACAATGTCATCTGACAAAGGTAACTCTGTTGTTTCGTTTTCGGTAGACATCTCTGCAACTGAAGCTGAAGTATTCATTTCCAGTGTCTGATCAGTTAGACTTTCATGTTTTCCTTCGTCACTAGGAGACGGCTGTGTAACAACATCCACTTGATCATTTTCTACTAAACCATTTCCTTCCGTTTCCTTGGATGAATCCGTCTTCGATCCTGCGATGACTGCAATCATAACTTGATCTTGTGTACTACTATTGTCAATTTTCTCATCCCCTTCGTTCAAGTCTTCTGACTCCTCCACTTTATCCTGTTCTGATGACTTGTATTTGTCTTCAACAATGGCATCACTTTTCTTTATTGCACACGTTTCTCCGTTAGTAACAGAGGCCACAATCACAACAGGTTGGTCGGATGTACTTTCAATGGAAACTGAATCTTCACCGTTTTCCTCTTTTCTAGTGTCTTTTTGATCTTCGGGGGCCATTTGTGTATGATTTGTGACTTCTACGTCTGTGTCAGTAACAGATTCTTTGGTTTCCTTCACAGCTGCTTCTTGTTTTGAAGCAGAAGATACAACTATCAGGCTAGGGCCATTAATACTAGAATGAGAGTTTCCAACATCAGTTGTTTGTTCTTTTTCATCGACGTTAGATTTTGTTGACAATGTCTCTAAGTCATTCTCACTTAGGTAGTCAATTGTTGTATTGTCTTTGATATATTGGTCCGGTGCTGGGGTCACAATAATCAAACCATTAGAATTGTCTCTTTCCTCATTTCCCTGATTCGAAGTGTCCTCGGAGTTTCCATCGTTCGATGCACCTGTCTCCATGACCGCCATTTCTGTATCAACATTTGTCCCGTCCTCGTCGTCATCAGGTTCGACCTTCAACTTCTTGTGAATTCTTTGAAGAAATATACACGAGGTGATGCCGCTTAAGCACTGTATGATAAAGAACAGAAAAAAAAGATGTGTTTCAATAAGTTCTGATGTATTGTACGTCTGAGCTTTACTGAAATGTAAATATCTATCTAAGTGTTAAAATATTAAATACCTGTCTCATCTTTTCCATAGTGCTGCAAACAGATATTTCTATCATCACGTGATCAGCAAGTGATATTATCTACTGTATTTATAAAACTTTTTTTCAAAAATGTAACTAAAATGGGAAAAATAATGACGTCGAAAACAAAATTTATGAAGAAACAAAAACCTCACAGAAAAATATATTCTCTTTGTTGCAAGCTTCTGGTTTCTTTTTTAATTCAAGAATCTTAATAATATCTTGGCCGGTGGCCAGAAGATGCTTTGTCACTTTTAAACGGAAATTAATATCTTAATGTACATAATAATGTACTAGATCCAATTATCACATTTCATTTGATAATTACAAACCAGCCACCTACCTCTATTACAGCAATGGCCACGAGGACAGAAACCCATATCGGAACGTGGTCATTCAGCCAGTTTTGCATCTGAGTCAGACAGTCCGCCTGAAACAAAAATGGTGTTCTATTAAACAACATGCACTTAACCAATAGCTCCAGGTTAAGGATGTTTATTTTTACTTAATTTTAATGCTGATGGTATAAAAGCGTGATTTAATTAATTGGATTCATTGAGCATTTTATGAAAAGAAACGTGTCGCTTGAATTCCTCCTGACGTTGAATAATTCTACCTATCATGATAATTCCGGCGAGTTGGGATATACAGTATGTGTATAAGTCGACAGCTCTGTCAAATTTCTGTCTGAAAAAAACACAACAGTCGAAAGAACAGTTAATCTAGGATACAAAAAATGAAAAAATAGATAAAAGTTGGAAAATCAGTCTACCGTGAAGAGATTGTCGACTGTTTTTTCGATGATGCCTGTGACGTCATATACTACAAAGCAGCTAGAAGGGTACGATTCCACGTCTGTTCCGTACTCTGTGTAGTTTTCTATACCGCAGCACTCCAACTATAATCCAGCCGTAAAAAGATAACAGATCATTCCACATTGTTTCAACTAAAGTATAACCAATAGCAACATAAAGTTGACGTCAAATCACCATGATACAACTGTTGTGTAACAATTAGCAAAAAAGAGGGACAACACACCACTTTGATACAACTTTCATGTAAGAATTAGCCAAACAGAGGTGACAACACAGCACCTTGTTTAAACTTTTATGTAACAATTAGCAAAAAATAATTGACAACACATCACCTTGATACAACTGTAATGTTAGAATTAGCTTAAACAAAGTGACATCGCATCACCCTAATACAACTGTTATGTAACCATTAGCTAAAAGCGATATTACATCACATTAAAATACAACTTTTATGTAACAATTAGACAAATAAAGGTGACCCCACATCACCGTAAGGAAATTGAAATAAAGCAACATATTGATACCGGACTGGACTTACTATGTAGTGTTGTATAAGTGATGGTATACACATGGAGATCATAAGTATATGATAACTTAAATGTCATTAAATCATGTAAAGTCAATATACCAGGACTGACTTACCTCACTCTGAATCTTATACTGTGTGTCTGTATTCAGCCCGTCCCAAGACTCCACTATGACGCTAGGGATCTATTGAATAGTGGAAAAGCAAAAATAGAGGAAAGCAAAAATAACTATTCTATATAAAATACGGACAAAAGTTGCAACAATAAAAACAATGATTGGAACGTTCCTGTGCAAGGCTTCGCTCATTAACTGCAAACATTTTGGTTACTTATTCAAAAAATATTATCAGTGATCATTCATTTTGGTGGGGGTTTATTTTCGTGGATACCCTTAATCAACGAGTTTATATGATCACGAACAGCTGATTAGTATAAAGTATATATTGAGTTATATATATCCACGAACGTTTCTTTTTTCAAAAAGAGGGAAATTTAAGCCCGACGAAAAGATATGATTTTACAGTACTTTTGTTTAATATAGTAACTAATAGTTTAGCATGCATAGCAAGTCCCGATTTGATTTTTTACAATGTATTCGTTAATGATTGCGAAGGCAAATAAAATGTAACAAAATAATGCCTTTGAAATCGGTCATAGTTTCAACTTCTCAATCCCAATACCACTATTTTCTGCTTGCTCTTATCTAAAATTAATAACGAGATTCCCTAACAACTTAATAACAAATTATTTACGATTTTTCGGTATATCAGCTATCTTAAGCCAGCTTTAGTCGAAATTAGTTCCGTTCTTGTTGAATTTCCGATACAGTATGGAAAAGACCTACTAGTCACGGCTAGTATTGAACATTAAATCTTATTACCTGCGATTTTTCGGCATAAATAAAAAATATTAGTCCGAGTTCCAGGAACAGTAGGGTCAACATGAATCCGACATACTGAAAATGTAGGTATGGAAATGTTTACATACTAGACAGCATAGGGAAAAGAAATAATAGCATACTAGATATCGAGATAATAACATACCAGATAACACAGGGTACCGAGATAATAACATACTAGATAACACAGGGTACAGATATAATAACATACTAGATAACACAGGGTACCGAAATAATATCATACTAGTTAACACAGGGTACCGAAATAATAACATACTAGATAACACAGGGTACCGAAATAATATCATACTAGTTAACACAGGGTACCGAGATAATAACATACTAGATAACACAGGGTACCGAGATAATAACATACTAGTTAACAATGGGTACCGAAATAATAACATACCAGATAACACAGGGTACCGAAATAATAACATACTAGATAACACAGGGTACCGAAATAATAACATACTAGATAACACAGGGTACCGAGATAATAACATACTAGATAACACAGGGTACCGAGATAATAACATACTAGTTAACACAGGGTACCGATATAATAACATACTAAATAACACAGGGTACCGAAATAATAACATACCAGTTAACACAGGGTACCGAAATAATAACATACCAGTTAACACAGGGTACCGAAATAATAACATACTAGTTAACAATGGGTACCGAAATAATAACATACCGGATAACACAGGGTACCGAAATAATAAAATACTAGATTACACAGGGTACCGAAATAATAAAACACTACATTACACAGGGTACCGAAATAATAACATAACAGATAACACAGGGTACCGAAATAATAACATACTAGTTAACACAGGGTACCGAAATAATAACATACTAGATAACACAGGGTACCGAGAGAATAACATACTAGTTAACACAGGGTACCGAAATAATAAAATACTAGATTACACAGGGTGCCGAAATAATAACATACTAGATAACACAGGGTACCGAAATAATAACATACTAGTTAACAATGGGTACCGAAATAATAACATACTAGATAACACAGGGTACCGAGATACTATCATACTAGATAATACAGGGTACCGAGATAATAACATACCAGATAACACAGGGTACCGATATAATAACATACTAGTTAACAATGGGTACCGAAATAATAACATATCAGATAACACAGGGTACCGAAATAATAACATACTAGTTAACAATGGGTACCGAAATAATAACATACTAGATAACACAGGGTACCGATATAATAACATACTAGTTAACAATGGGTACCGAAATAATAACATACCAGATAACACAGGGTACCGAAATAATAACATATTAGTTAACAATGGGTACCGAAATAATAGCATACTATATAACACAGGGTACCGAAATAATAACATACTAGATAACAAAGGGTACCGAAATAATAAAATACTAGATAACACAGGGTACCGAGATAATAAAATACTAGATAACACAGGGTACCGAGATAATAAAATACCAGATAACACAGGGTACCGAGATAATAAAATACTAGATAACACAGGGTACCGAGATAATAACATACCAGATAACACAGGGTACCGAGATAATAACATACTAGATTACACGGGGTACCGAAATAATAACATACCAGATAACACAGGGTACCGAGATAATAACATACCAGATAACACAGGGTACCGAGATAATAACATACTAGATTACACAGGGTACCGAGATAATAACATACTAGATTACACGGGGTACCGAAATAATAAAGTACCAGATAACACAGGGTACCGATATAATGACATACTAGATAACACAGGGTACCGAAATAATATCATACTAGATAACACAGGGTACCGAAATAATATCATACTAGAAAACACAGGGTACCGAAATAATAAAGTACTAGATAACAAAGGGTACCGATATAATAACATACTAGATAACACAGGGTACCGATATAATAACATACCAGATAACACAGGGTACCGATATAATAACATACTAGATAACACAGGGTACCGAAATAATAAAGTACTAGATAACAAAGGGTACCGATATAATAAAATACTAGATTACACAGGGTACCGAAATAATAACATACCAGATAACACAGGGTACCGAAATAATAAAATACTAGATTACACAGGGTACCGAAATAATAACATACCAGATAACACAGGGTACCGAAATAATAACATACTAGATAACACAGGGTACCGAAATAATAACATACTAGATAACACAGGGTACCGAAATAATAACATACTAGATAACACAGGGTACCGAAATAATAACATACCAGATAACACAGGGTACCGAAATAATATCATTCTAGTTAACACAGGGTACCGAAATAATAAAATACTAGATTACACAGGGTACCGAAATAATAAAATACTAGATTACACAGGGTACCGAAATAATAAAATACTACATTACACAGGGTACCGAAATAATAACATACCAGATAACACAGGGTACCGAAATAATAACATACTAGTTAACACAGGGTACCGATATAATAACATACCAGATAACACAGGGTACCGAGAAAATAACATACTAGTTAACACAGGGTACCGAAATAATAACATACTAGATAACACGGGGTACCGATATAATAACATACTAGATAACACAGGGTACCGAAATAATAACATACCAGATAACACAGGGTACCGAGAAAATAACATACTAGTTAACACAGGGTACCGAAATAATAACATACTAGATAACACAGGGTACCGAAATAATAACATACTAGTTAACACAGGGTACCGAAATAATAAAATACTAGATTACACAGGGTACCGAAATAATAAAATACTAGATTACACAGGGTACCGAAATAATAACATACTAGATAACACAGGGTACCGAGATAATAACATACTAGATAACAAAGGGTACCGAAATAATAAAATACTAGATAACACTGGTTTCGTAGATAATGTCATCCTAGATATCTCAGGGTACCGAAATAATAAAATACTAGATAACACAGGGTACCGAGATAATGACATACTAGATAACACAGGGTACCGAAATAATAAAATACTAGATAACACAGGGTACCGAAATAATACAATACTAGATAACAAAGGGTACCGAAATAATAACATACTAGTTAACAATGGGTACCGAAATAATAGCATACTATATAACACAGGGTACCGAAATAATAACATACTAGATAACACAGGGTACCGAAATAATAACATACTAGATTACACAGGGTACCGAAATAATATCATACTAGTTAACACAGGGTACCGAAATAATAACATACTAGATAACACAGGGTACCGATATAATAACATACTAGTTAACAATAGGTACCGAAATAGTAGCATACTATATAACACAGGGTACCGAAATAATAACATACTAGATAACACAGGGTACCGATATAATAACATACTAGTTAACAATGGGTACCGAAATAATAGCATACTATATAACACAGGGTACCGAAATAATAGCATACTAGATAACACAGGGTACCGAAATAATAACATACTAGTTAACAATGGGTACCGAAATAATAGCATACTATATAACACAGGGTACCGAGATAATAACATACTAGATTACACAGGGTACCGAAATAATAAAATACTAGATTACACAGGGTACCGAAATAATAAAATACTACATTACACAGGGTACCGAAATAATAACATACCAGATAACACAGGGTACCGAAATAATAACATACTAGTTAACACAGGGTACCGATATAATAACATACCAGATAACACAGGGTACCGAGAAAATAACATACTAGTTAACACAGGGTACCGAAATAATAACATACTAGATAACACGGGGTACCGATATAATAACATACTAGATAACACAGGGTACCGAAATAATAACATACTAGATAACACAGGGTACCGAGAAAATAACATACTAGTTAACACAGGGTACCGAAATAATAACATACTAGATAACACAGGGTACCGAAATAATAACATACTAGTTAACACAGGGTACCGAAATAATAAAATACTAGATTACACAGGGTACCGAAATAATAAAATACTAGATTACACATGGTACCGAAATAATAAAATACTAGATAACACAGGGTACCGAGATAATAACATACTAGATAACAAAGGGTACCGAAATAATAAAATACTAGATAACACAGGGTACCGAGATAATAACATACTAGATAACACAGGGTACCGAAATAATAACATACTAGATAACAATGGGTACCGAAATAATAACATATTAGTTAACACAGGGTACCGAAATAATAAAATACTAGATTACACAGGGTACCGAAATAATAACATACCAGATAACACAGGGTACCGAGATAATAACATACTAGATTACACGGGGTACCGAAATAATAACATACCAGATAACACAGGGTACTGAGATAATAACATACTAGTTAACAATGGGTACCGAAATAATAGCATACTATATAACACAGGGTACCGAGATAATAACATACTAGATAACACAGGGTACCGAAATAATAACATACCAGATAACACAGGGTACCGAAATAATATCATACTAGTTAACAATGGGTACCGAAATAATAACATACTAGATAACAAAGGGTACCGAAATAATAAAATACTAGATAACACAGGGTACCGAGATAATAAAATACTAGATAACACAGGGTACCGAGATAATAACATACCAGATAACACAGGGTACCGAGATAATAACATACTAGATAACACAGGGTACCGAAATAATATCATACTAGATAACACAGGGTACCGAGATAATAACATACTAGATAACACAGGGTACCGAAATAATAAAATACTTGATAACACAGGGTACCGAAATAATAAAGTACTAGATAACACAGGGTACCGAAATAATATCATACTAGATAAGAAAGGGTACCGAGATAATAACATACTAGATAACACAGGGTACCGATATAATAACATACTAGATAACACAGGGTACCGAGATAATAACATACTAGATAACAAAGGGTACCGATATAATAACATACTAGATTACACAGGGTACCGAGATAATAACATACTAGATAACACAGGGTACCGAAATAATATCATACTAGATAACACAGGGTACCGAGATAATAACATACTAGATAACACAGGGTACCGAAATAATAAAATACTTGATAACACAGGGTACCGAAATAATAAAGTACTAGATAACACAGGGTACCGAAATAATATCATACTAGATAACAAAGGGTACCGAGATAATAACATACTAGATAACACAGGGTACCGAGATAATAACATACTAGATAACACAGGGTACCGATATAATAACATACTAGATTACACAGGGTACCGAAATAATAACATACTAGATAACAATGGGTACCGAGATAATAACATACCAGATAACACAGGGTACCGAGATAATAACATACTAGATAACACAGGGTACCGAGATAATAACATACTAGATAACACAGGGTACCGAAATAATAAAGTACTAGATAACAAAGGGTACCGATATAATAAAATACTAGATTACACAGGGTACCGAAATAATAAAATACTAGATAACACAGGGTACCGAGATAATAACATACTAGATAACACAGGGTACCGAAATAATAACATACTAGATAACACAGGGTACCGAGATAATAACATACTAGTTAACACAGGGTACCGAAATAATAACATACCAGATAACACAGGGTACCGAGATAATAACATACTAGATTACACGGGGTACCGAAATAATAAAATACTAGATAACACAGGGTACCGAGATAATAAAATACTAGATAACACAGGGTACCGAGATAATAACATACCAGATAACACAGGGTACCGAAATAATAAAATACTAGATAACACAGGGTACCGAAATAATAACATACCAGATAACACAGGGTACCGAAATAATAAAATACTAGATTACACAGGGTACCGAAATAATAAAATACTAGATAACACAGGGTACCGAAATAATAACATACTAGATTACACAGGGTACCGAAATAATAACATACTAGATAACACAGGGTACCGAAATAATAACATACTAGATAACACAGGGTACCGAGATAATAACATACTAGATTACACGGGGTACCGAAATAATAACATACTAGATAACACAGGGTAACGAAATAATAACATACCAGATAACACAGGGTACCGAAATAATAAAATACTAGATAACACAGGGTACCGATATAATAACATACTAGATAACACAGGGTAACGAAATAACCTACTAGACAAAACATGGTATAGATTGTACAAAAGACACACAAATGAATAGCACCTTATCACGGATAATGATATAAATAGTAACACATACTATGTCTATAATATAGCACATTCACAGGAATAATCACAGTAACATAACACATACATAGGCATAACATAACGCATGCCACTGTGCCTATAACATAACACATACACAGGCATAACATAACGCATGCCTATAACATAACACATACACAGGCATAACATAACGCATGCCACTGTGCCTATAACATAACACATACACAGGCATAACATAACGCATGCCACTGTGCCTATAACATAACACATACACAGGCATAACATAACGCATGCCACTGTGCCTATAACATAACACATACACAGGCATAACCAGGCTAACACAACGCACAACGCATGCCACTGTGCCTATAACATAACACATACACAGGCATAACATAACGCATGCCACTGTGCCTATAACATAACATCAGTGAGAGGCATATCATTACGCATGCCACTGTGCCTATAACATAACACATACACAGGCATAATATAACACATTCCACTGTGCATATAACATAACACATACACAGGCATAACATAACGCATGCCACTGTGCCTATAACATAACACATACACAGGCATAACATAACGCATGCCACTGTGCCTATAACATAACACATACACAGGCATAACATAACGCATGCCACTGTGCCTTTAACATAACACATACACAGGCATAACATAAGACATGGTACATGTAAATCACATAACACATTCACAGGATGCCGTATATATAACATAACATAAACACTTAGTACCCAATATTTTATATCATGAACTCATGGTATTATGATTTAACAATGACGATTTCTGTAGAAATTGATCGTAAATTCAATTCAAATCAACAGAAAAAATCCCAAAAAAGAGAAAAAAAGTTTCAGAGCATATATTTTAGCTGCTGTTTCTACTATGGACTCTAGTTTGTTTTATTTTAATTCCGTGGAATGGCTGTGTTTATATAGGAACAATCTGGGATAACCGTGAAACTCGTGCTTCAAGTTAAGTCTAGATATTCAAAATGATCTACTTTTCACTTAAATCATTGATTTTCCCATACAGTGCATTTGTGAATGCCTTTCTTGGGTATGCTCATATAATGATTACCCCCCAAATTGTAATATCAAACAGGTACCGTTCTCAAACAATATTACACAACAGGATATATCATTTCCACTCACCGTTTTTAGTATACATAGTCCCTTACAGAAACCAGCAGCACAGCCTATTCCTCCTATTTGTAGCACAATTATAATGGGTTAGCAAAATGATGGAAATGTATTGCTAATCAAATGATGAAAAGAATCCATGTTATAGACAGTGAAAAATTCTACACAATTCGCCATTGAATGAGGTAACTTTATTCTAGTGTGTTATCCTGCTGTTAAATTTCAATTTTTTACATAAAAAGGATGTCAATATTGATGTTGTTTCAGTATAAGTGTTAAGAAAACATTTAAATATGAAAATATGTGTGTCAGACTGTATCACACTTACCTATAACGAGTATCACAATCCCAAGGCAAAAGCTGGTCAAAGTTACTACCTGCAATTAAACAACATATACCGTCAAAATTATCCACTAACCCAATGTAAAAATATACCATCGGTTGTGTGTAATTATATAAGGGATAAACTAGTACACAGGTTCGGATTCTTATCAATCAATCAATCGTAAAGGAAACAAATAAAAATGTAAAGTTTCTATTTCTGAAACGTTATAAAGTTGTAATTGTTTAAATCTGAGTGGAGAGTTTCTCAACCCTTCGGATAAAACCTAGATATCTGATACAACAGTACAGCGTAACAGAAAAATGTACACCCACAGAATGTCAGTCATATATATATCACAATTTAACATGAATTGTCCAATTAAATATTAACTAAGTAAGCAAAGTCTAAAAAATCAAAGGTGGCCAGTTGTATTTAATGGTAAGTAAGTAAGCAAAGACTAAACTAATCAAATGAGGTCAGTCGTAAACTGGGAAAGGGAAATCCCAAAGGGAAAAATCTTCCAAGCATCTTTCGAGTTGTGACCTATGTTAATAGAAGAGCACGTCAGAGCCTTGGGTTTCACCACTCTTTTTATCATCGGACAAAGCATCCTTATCCTACATACATGAATGGTAAAAAGCCTTGTAGTACATCGTGATTCTGTGGTAGCCAGAAGTTTTTGTTTTTTGAGAATTTTAATATACGAAATAATGTTATTATAAGTTATATTAACAGCAACAGATTAAGAAATGTACATACGTTACCATACAGAAAAATTGCATTAACAAAAACTATTCACCACACGACACTTATCGTAAACTTCAATCTTATGTAAAATGGAAAACAATATTATAACTCATATATAATATAAAATGTATGATATTGTTAATATATATTATATGTTTATATAATGATGTATATATGTGTGCCATATATGAATTCATTGGCATTAGGAATAAAATATACATCTAAAAAGCGATCACAGCATTATCCAACATATATATATATATATATTTGTAAAGACAGACCGGTTGCCTGGGGTAATATACTTACATGTGTACCAGATATGAATTCATTAGCATTAGGAATGGTAGCCAGGGTCCAGGTCACAAACCCAACAAGTCCTAGACCTAGACACTGTAACGAACAAGAAATCAAAATCACGAGTTCACAGTATTACCCAACATACTTTCAAAACAGAGCCATCTCATTTATTTTGTCAGTTTTGAGATATGGACTTCAAATTTTGAACAAAACTTTCGTAGTAGAAGTTCTAGATAAATTTTGATCTTGGATATGACTGTACATTAATGGGTCTGAGACTGAAGCTGTTGAGTCAGTTGTGATATAATCTCTAAAATTCTTCACCTATTTATTAAATGTTTATCCATTCATTATTTTTGTAACTTGTTGCTGTTTTCAATTAATTACACACATACACAATTAAAAACAAATTTGTGTAAAAGCCATATACTTACCAGAAATAAGAAATTAAAAATCAGAAAGAGAACTTGTCTCGATGAACATTTAGCCATTTTGTGAACGATGAATTCCGCGTGAAGGTCACAGAAGACAGCACGTTTTATTTCCCATTATCGAATCGTCTTCCAAGAGAGAAAAAAGCTAAAAAGTGTATTTCCGTAATAGATAGATGTAGACCTTTGTTTCTGTCGTACCTAGGCTTCACGGTTTTATATAGTGATGGGGACTTTAGTTTATATTTAGTGTTTTAATAGGTAAAACAAACATAGCGGGCGGGTACCAGAGAGTCAGAACCGTTAATTAGGGAGATAATGTAGCGATGGACTGTTGGATTAATGGGGTCGGTATATATAAACGGCAGTATCTATTGGTGATAGTTAGTCATCTTCATTGTATGTTTACACGCTTAAAATAATATATATATATATTTTAATACAACAACTTAAATACTTACAATTTCGACAATTAATAAAATATCTACATATAAGCGTTATATACTAGTTTACAACATATTATTACTAAGTTTATGTTTTCTTATGATAAAAATTATTGTACTTAAATTAATATGCCTTCATAGGATAAAAAAATAGATTTTAACAATACGATACAAGTATGGTTAAATTGTACACGACAAGTGTACTGGTGATGTCTATACATGATAAGGAAGGCTGATACGATATATATAACTATAATAGTCTTTACAGCTGAGTTATAACAGCGTAAAATGCAGGAATTTCAGTTATTAGAAGAAAGTCTGAAACAAATATTGAAACAATTAAAAGTCGTGTAAGATTCTGAAAATGTTAATATGTAACTATATTTACTTCAGTCATGTAAAAATCCAATTTTAAAATAGGGTTAGCGAAACTTTTAGATATAGGTTAGCGGAACACTTAGAAAAAGGGTTAGCGGAACACTTCGAAATAGGAATAGCGACACACTTAGAAATAGGGTTAGCGGAACACTTAGAAATAGGGATAGCGGAACACTTCGAAATAGGAATAGCGACACACTTAGAAATAGGGTAGGCGGAAGACTTAGAAATAGGGATAGCGGAACACTTAGAAATAGGGATAGCGGAAGACTTAGAAATAGGGTAGGCGGAACACTTCGAAATAGGGTTAGCTGAACACTTCGAAATGGGGAAATAGCGTTAGCACACTTAGAAATAGGGTAGGCGGAACACTTAGAAATAGGGATAGCGGAAGACTTAGAAATAGGGATAGCGGAACACTTAGAAATAGGGATAGCGGAAGACTTAGAAATAGGGTAGGCGGAACACTTCGAAATAGGGTTAGCTGAACACTTCGAAATAGGGATAGCGACACACTTAGAAATAGGGTTAGCGGAACACTTAGAAATAGGGTAGGCGGAACACTTAGAAATAGGGATAGCGGAACACTTAGAAATAGGGATAGCGGAACACTTAGAAATAGGGATAGCGGAAGAGGACACACTTAGAAATAGGGTTAGCGGAACACTTAGAAATAGGGACGACACACTTAGAAATAGGAATAGCGGAACACTTCGAAATAGGGATAGCGACACACTTAGAAATAGGGTTAGCGGAACACTTGGAAATAGGGATAGCGGAACACTTAGAAATAGGGTAGGCGGAACACTTAGAAATAGGGATAGCGGAACACTTAGAAATAGGGTTAGCGGAACACTTAGAAATAGGGATAGCGGAACACTTAGAAATAGGGATAGCGGAACACTTAGAAATAGGGTTAGCGAACACTTAGGGGATAGCGGAACACTTAGAAATAGGGATAGCGGAACACTTAGAAATAGGTATAGCGGAACACTTAGAAATAGGGATAGCGACACACTTAGATAGCGGAACACTTAGAAATAGGGTTAGCGGAACACTTCGAAATAAGGATAGCGACACACTTCGAAATAAGGATAGCGACACACTTCGAAATAAGGATAGCGACACACTTAGAAATAGGGTAGGCGGAACACTTCGAAATGAGGATAGCGACACACTTAGAAATAGGGTTAGCGGAACACTTCGAAATAAGGATAGCGACACACTCAGAAATAGGGTAGGCGGACACTTAGAAATAGGATAGCGACACACTTAGAAATAGGAATAGCGGAACACTTCGAAATAAGGATAGCGACACACAGAAATAGGGATAGCGGAACACTTAGAAATAGGGTATAGCGGAACACTTAGAAATAAGGATAGCACACACTTAGAAAAAGGGTTAGCGGAACACTTCGAAATAGGAATAGCGACACACTTAGAAATAGGGATAGCGGAAGACTAAGAAATAGGGATAGCGGAACACTTAGAAATAGGGATAGCGGAACACTTAGAAATAGTGATAGCGGAACACTTAAAAATAGGGTTAGCGGAACACTTAGAAATAGGGTAGGCGGAACACTTAGAAATAGGGATAGCGGAACACTTAGAAATAGGGATAGCGACACACTTAGAAATAGGGTTAGCGGAACACTTAGAAATAGGGTAGGCGGAACACTTAGAAATAGGGATAGCGGAACACTTAGAAATAGGGATAGCGGAACACTTAGAAATAGGGATAGCGACACACTTAGAAATAGGGTTAGCGGAACACTTAGAAATGAGGATAGCGACACACTTAGAAATAGGTAGGCGGAACACTTAGAAATAGGGATAGCGACACACTTAGAAATAGGGTTAGCGGAACACTTAGAAATAGGGTAGGCGGAAGACTTAGAAATAGGGTTAGCGGAACACTTCGAAATAAGGATAGCGACACACTTAGAAATAGGGTAGGTGGAACACTTCGAAATGAGGATAGCGACACACTTAGAAATAGGGTTAGCGGAACACTTCGAAATGAGGATAGCGACACACTTAGAAATAGGGTAGGCGGAACACTTCGAAATAAGGATAGCGACACACTTAGAAATAGGGTTAGCGGAACACTTGGAAATAGGGATAGCAGAACACTTAGAAATAGGGTAGGCGGAACACTTCGAAATAGGGTTAGCTGAACACTTCGAAATGGGGATAGCGCCACACTTAGAAATAGGGTTAGCGGAACACTTAGAAAAAGGGTTAGCGGAACACTTCGAAATAGGAATAGCGACACACTTAGAAATAAGGAACACTTAGAAATAGTGATAGCGGAACACTTAAAAATAGGGTTAGCGGAACACTTAGAAATAGGGATAGCGACACACTTAGAAATAGGGATAGCGACACACTTAGAAATAGGGTTAGCGGAACACTTCGAAATAAGGATAGCGACACACTTAGAAATAGGGTAGGCGGAACACTTCGAAATGAGGATAGCGACACACTTAGAAATAGGGTTAGCGGAACACTTCGAAATGAGGATAGCGACACACCTAGAAATAGGGTAGGCGGAACACTTCGAAATAAGGATAGCGACACACTTAGAAATAGGGTAGGCGGAACACTTCGAAATAAGGATAGCGACACACTTAGAAATAGGAATAGCGGAACACTTAGAAATAAGGATAGCGACACACTTAGAAATAGGGTTAGCGGAACACTTCGAAATGAAGATAGCGACACACTTAGAAATAGGGTAGGCGGAACACTTCGAAATAAGGATAGCGACACACTCAGAAATAGGAATAGCGGAACACTTAGAAATAAGGATAGCGACACACTTAGAAATAGGGATAGCGGAACACTTAGAAATAGGGTAGGCGGAACACTTAGAAATAGGGATAGCGGAACACTTAGAAATAGGGTTAGCGGAACACTTAGAAATAGTGATAGCGGAACACTTAAAAATAGGGTTAGCGGAACACTTAGAAATAGGGATAGCGACACACTTAGAAATAGGGTTAGCGGAACACTTCGAAATAAGGATAGCGACACACTCAGAAATAGGAATAGCGGAACACTTAGAAATAAGGATAGCGACACACTTAGAAATAGGGATAGCGGAACACTTAGAAATAGAAATAGGGATAGCGGAACACTTAGAAATAGGGTAAGCGGAACACTTCGAAATGAGGATAGCGACACACTTAGAAATAGGGTAGGCGGAACACTTCGAAATAAGGATAGCGACACACTTCGAAATAAGGATAGCGACACACTTCGAAATAGGGTAGCGGAACACAAGGATAGCGACACACTTAGAAATAGGGTAGCGGAACACTTAGAAATAGGGATAGCGGAACACTTAGAAATAAGGATAGCGACACACTTAGAAATAGGGATAGCGGAACACTTAGAAATAAGGATACGAACACTTAGAAATAGGGATAGCGGAACACTTAGAAACACTAAATAGCGACACACTTAGAAATAGGGTAGCGGAACACTTAGAAATAAGGATAGCGACACACTTAGAAATAGGGTTAGCGGAACACTTAGAAATAGGGATAGGCGGAACACTTAGAAATAGGGATAGCGGAACACTTAGAAATAGGGATAGCGAACACGTAAAATAGGGTTAGCGACACACTTAGAAATAGGGATAGGCGGAACACTTAGAAATAGGGATAGCGGAACACTTAGAAATAGGGATAGCGGAACACTTAGAAATAGGGATAGCGACACACTTAGAAATAGGGTTAGCGGAACACTTCGAAATGAGGATAGCGACACACTTAGAAATAGGGTTAGCGGAACACTTCGAAATAAGGATAGCGACACACTTAGAAATAGGTATAGCGGAACACTTCGAAATGAGGATAGCGACACACTTAGAAATAGGGTAGGCGGAACACTTCGAAATAAGGATAGCGACACACTTAGAAATAGGGATAGCGGAACACTTAGAAATAGGGTAGGCGGAACACTTAGAAATAAGGATAGCGACACACTTAGAAATAGGGTAGGCGGAACACTTCGAAATGAGGATAGCGACACACTTAGAAATAGGGATAGCGGAACGCTTCGAAATAAGGATAGCGTCACACTTAGAAATAGGGATAGCGGAACACTTAGAAATAGGGTAAGCGGAACACTTCGAAATAAGGATAGCGACACACTTAGAAATAGGGATAGCGGAACACTTAGAAATAAGGATAGCGACACACTTAGAAATAGGGATAGCGACACACTTAGAAATAGGGATAGCGGAACACTTCGAAATAAGGATAGCGACACACTTAGAAATAGGGATAGGCGGAAGACTTAGAAATAGGGATAGCGGAACACTTAGAAATAGGGATAGCGGAAGACTTAGAAATAGGGTAGGCGGAACACTTAGAAATAGGGATAGCGGAACACTTAGAAATAGGGATAGCGACACACGTAGAAATAGGGTTAGCGGAACACTTAGAAATAGGGTAGGCGGAACACTTAGAAATAGGGATAGCGGAACACTTAGAAATAGGGATAGCGGAAGACTTAGAAATAGGGATAGCGACACACTTATAAATAGGGTTAGCGGAACACTTAGAAATAGGGTAGGCGGAAGACTTAGAAATAGGGTTAGCGGAACACTTCGAAATGAGGATAACGACACACTTAGAATTAGGGTTAGCGGAACACTTAGAAATAGGGTAGGCGGAAGACTTAGAAATAGGGTTAGCGGAACACTTCGAAATAAGGATAGCGACACACTTAGAAATAGGGATAGCGGAACACTTAGAAATAGGGTTAGCGGAAAACTTCGAAATAAGGATAGCGACACACTTAGAAATAGGGTAGGCGGAACACTTAGAAATAGGGATAGCGGAACACTTAGAAATAGGGATAGCGACACACGTAGAAATAGGGTTAGCGGAACACTTAGAAATAGGGTAGGCGGAACACTTAGAAATAGGGATAGCGGAACACTTAGAAATAGGGATAGCGGAAGACTTAGAAATAGGGATAGCAACACACTTATAAATAGGGTTAGCGGAACACTTAGAAATAGGGTAGGCGGAAGACTTAGAAATAGGTTTAGCGGAACACTTCGAAATGAGGATAGCGACACACTTAGAAATAGGGTTAGCGGAACACTTCGAAATAAGGATAGCGACACACTTAGAAATAGGAATAGCGGAACACTTAGAAATAAGGATAGCGACACACTTAGAAATAGGGATAGCGGAACACTTAGAAATAGGGTAAGCGGAACACTTCGAAATAAGGATAGCGACACACTTAGAAATAGGGTAGGCGGAACACTTCGAAATGAGGATAGCGACACACTTAGAAATAGGGTTAGCGGAACGCTTCGAAATAAGGATAGCGTCACACTTAGAAATAGGGTAGGCGGAACACTTCGAAATAAGGATAGCGACACACTTAGAAATAGGGATAGCGGAACACTTAGAAATAGGGTTAGCGGAACACTTCGAAATAAGGATAGCGACACACTTAGAAATAGGGATAGCGGAACACTTAGAAATAAGGATAGCGACACACTTAGAAATAGGGATGGCGGAACACTTAGAAATAGGGTTAGCAGAACACTTCGAAATAAGGATAGCGACACACTTCGAAATAAGGATAGCGACACACTTCGAAATAAGGATAGCGACACACTTAGAAATAGGGATAGCGGAACACTTAGAAATAGGGTTAGCGGAACACTTCGAAATAAGGATAGCGACACACTTAGAAATAGGGATAGCGGAACACTTAGAAATAAGGATAGCGACACACTTAGAAATAGGGATAGCGGAACACTTAGAAATAGGGTTAGCGGAAGACTTAGAAATAGGGTAGGCGGAACACTTAGAAATAGGGATAGCGGAACACTTAGAAATAGGGATAGCGACACACGTAGAAATAGGGTTAGCGGAACACTTAGAAATAGGGTAGGCGGAACACTTAGAAATAGGGATAGCGGAACACTTAGAAATAGGGATAGCGGAAGACTTAGAAATAGTGATAGCGACACACTTATAAATAGGGTTAGCGGAACACTTAGAAATAGGGTAGGCGGAAGACTTAGAAATAGGGTTAGCGGAACACTTCGAAATGAGGATAACGACACACTTAGAAATAGGGTTAGCGGAACACTTAGAAATAAGGATAGCGACACACTTAGAAATAGGGATAGCGGAACACTTAGAAATAAGGATAGCGACACACTTAGAAATAGGGATAGCGGAACACTTAGAAATAGGGTTAGCGGAACACTTCGAAATAAGGATAGCGACACACTTAGAAATAGGGTTAGCAGAACACTTCGAAATAAGGATAGCGTCACACTTAGAAATAGGGTAGGCGGAACACTTCGAAATAAGGATAGCGACACACTTAGAATTAGGGATAGCGGAACACTTAGAAATAGAGTTAGCGGAACACTTCGAAATAAGGATAGCGACACACTTAGTAATAGGGATAGCGGAACACTTCGAAATGAGGATAGCGACACACTTAGAAATAGGGTAGGCGGAACACTTAGAAAACAAGCAATGTAAAAATGATATTTAGATAAACATCAGGACGGCTTTTCTCTTCACAAATATTAAACAGACATTGAGAGTTTGTATAGGTGTGTGAAGGTATTGTTACAATATAGAGGTAGTTTGACTTGCTGCTACTGAGATTGTGCTGTTATTTGTTATTCGTGTGTGGAGGGGGTGTTGTTCTTTGTAACAGGTATGAGTTTGAATACAAGTGTGTGTGTGTGTGTGTGTGTGTGTGTGTGTGTGTGTGTGTGTGTGTGTGTGTGTGTGTGTGTGTGTGTGTGTGTGTGTGTGTGTGTGTGTGTGTGTGAGGGTGTGTGTGTGAGGGTGTGTTTGTGTGTGAGGGTGTGTGTGTGTGTGTCTGTCTTGTTCTAGAGCTTGGGCGAGGATATCCTTGTACATCTACATATTTGTATACTATTTATAGAGGGGGATATTGCATGTACTTAACCGTCCTATATACTTATAACGTGTTAGCGACTCACCACGCTATATAGATTTTCACTTGATCTATTTGTTTAATTATCAGCTGCCATCCACAGTAAAACATCTGACTAGAAAACCCGTTTAGGTCCATTTCCTTTTTAAATTACTTGGATTGACTAAGGTTTACATGGTGGGTGTCGTCGATGCAGCAGAAGACGCTTTCTCTTCCGGAACACCCGTTCCTATTCTACCTGTACTTTTTTAGGAGTTTGTAAATCTTTCTTTTGTTCATATTTTACTCTAGTTTTAATGTTTTTGAGTTTGAGTTTTGTAGACATGTTGGTATTTTCTTACTTTTTTATTAACAAGATAAAAGATAAAACAATTGCTCGCTACACAAAACAATAATATCAACTTTTTTTTATGAATATATGGAACATAGGTTCATGATTTCTATTGATGTTGCTACTGTTAATTGGTACACCAACATGTTGTATCATATAACAGTATCATTTTACTTCTTGATATAACACAAGTTACTAGATAATCCTGGGACTAAATCATATGAGCATGTCCAGAAATTTCAAATTGGTAGCATGCCTGTTTTACGTTTAAATACCACAGCTCTGTTTAATATCTGTTTGTTGGGACTTCAATTTAAAGTTACATTTTAAACAGATATTAACAAATTGTAATGTCAGTAGATATTTGTACCAAAACAAAAACTCAATCACCTGTTCATGCATTTATTAAACAGTAATCATATACATCTAAAGATACATACATTTTTTCAAAGTGGTTAGTAAAGTAATTACTTTTTGTCCATTTGATTTATTTACACTTTTTACTCATAGTGTTTCAGCGTATAAATGTGTCTTAACAGCCAACTTGTCGTGGCCAAAACAAAGATTGAATAATCTTATTATATAGTTACAGTAGTTTTTCATATCCAACATTTATCACTCGGATTAAAAAATATTGCACAAAAACATTATTGTTCCACCTACCACCTTTATCTACTCCACGTTTGACCAGCGTGTTATGTCCTTCCGCAATGACCTCTCGCAACAGTTCATGTTCTAATTATTTTGACAATAGAAAGAAGTGATTATTTATAATGACAAGTTCTTGTGGAGTAATAATGAATATAATGCTAACAATATATATTTTCTCTTCAACGAAAAGTTCTTTTTTATGAAGTTGATCAACATAACAAAACTGGGGTAGAAATTGTGTCATATCTGTTATTTTCTTTTTATAAAATACATGTCTTCCTCATACAGGAGAAGCTAGAATCACAGACGTGCCCTTGTCATCAGGTAGTACCAAAGTTTAATGGATAACGTTACCAGGCCCTTAGCACCGCAGACAAGTCCAAGAAGGACGAAACAACCTTATGAGGCACTTTCATTTATCATTTGGTGCCAAAAATTCTAAATTGGCATTAAGAGTTGTCATTAAGTTTTTGTACAATTTTGTAGCGATGCTACCGTCTCTATTATATTGCCAGCTATTTCTACATCACTTCAAGGGATATTCCACACAAGTTAGGATTTCATGGGATACTTTGGAAGAAAACTGTACAAAATCATCTTCTGATATTTTTATGGAAATTTATCAATTAAATAAACATGTGATATCTAAGTTTCGGAAAGTCTACATTTATCCAGCTAGAGCGAGTTACAAATGGCCTGATGCGTCATAACATCTTTGCGTTTTATAATTATTTGCGTAAATTATATGATCACCTGATAAATAAGCCTAATGAAGTAATAAAACTGTAACCCCAGCAGAATTTTAATGAACAGCATACACCATTATGTACGAACCCAATATTCTGAACAAAATCTATGATCCAGTGACCTCTAAGTTCCGGATTTCTCGACGTGCTAAATGAAAACGGTTTGGCTGGGTGTATTCCCATCAATTACGCCTGTCCAAACTGACCACAGGAGATATATTTTGAAGCTAACATTAGTTTTAAAAGTCATTAAAATGAGTGCTTAAAAGTCAGATATTTTGTATGTTAGGAGGAATATCCCTTTAATCATGTTCATAATTGCCAGAGCAAATGAAGTAGATTTGTTTAAAGTTGGTATTCCATAATCTAATATTGATGATTCACTCTTCCGTAAAATCAAAATGGCTAAGTTAGTCTGTGTTTTGATTTGAAATGACTTTCTATTTTTCTTCTAGCTGCTAGAAGTTTTTGTTGTCAAGGTAATGGTGTCTACTTCTTCGGTTTCACTGCCAGCATTCAATTCCCTTCCAGCATATGTGTCTTTATTTAATTGACCAGCTGTGCTGTGATTCGAGATGTTGTCGTCGTCTTCGTTGTCATTGCTGCCTGCCTTTACTTCCTCTGTTGTCGTTTGGTCTAGCGTTATGACGTCACAGTCGTCTTGCACAGACATGGTCGCTTGTGTTATTGCAGTCGTATCCTCCGTAGTTACAGATCCGGCCAGAATCACGGTCTGATTGAGGCTGCAGTGATTAGAAACATTATCGTCTCTGTTATCGTCACTATCTTTTTTAACATCCCCAGTCGTCGTTTGGTCCAGGGTTATGACGTCACAGTCGTCTTGCACAGACATGGTCGCTTGTGTTATTGCAGTCGTATCCTCCGTAATTACAGATCCGGCTAGAACCACTGTCTGATTGGGGCTACTGTGATTAGAAACATTATCGTCCCTGTTATCGTCACTATCTTCTTTAACATCCTCATTCGTCGTTTGGTCTAGGGTTGCAGTCGTACCCTCCGTAGTTACAGATCCGGCTAGAACCACGGTCTGATTGGGGCTACTGTGATTAGAAACATTATCGTCTCTTTTATCGTCACTATCTTCTCTAACATCCTCAGTTGTCGTTTGGTCCAGGGTTATGACGTCACAGTCGTCTTGCACAGACGTGGCCGGTGTTTCTGTTGTAGCAGTATCTTCTTTAACAACAGACCCTATCAGTATCATAGACTGATCCGGTCCATTGTGATTAGAAACGATATCTTCTTTTTTATTTTGACAATCATCCGTTACGTCGCTGGGGCCCGTTTGTGTAAGTATAATCGTTTCCACCTCATCATCACAGTCCTTCCTTTCTTCTTTCACATGTGTTTCTTTATTGGTAACAGATGCCACTAGTAACAACGACGAGCCTTCTATACTACGATGCGAAATTGTTTCAATATTATCGCCATCAGTGACATCATTGTCAGTCTTCGTTGATGATGTATCGCCAATATCCTGGTTGAGGTAGTCAATGTTACTATTGTCTTTTATGTCACGTTGCGAGGCAGATGTCACAATAAGCAAATTGGACGAATTCATTTTGTTGTCGTGTTCTTCATTTTCGGTATCAATGGATCCCTGGTCTTTTGAGGACCCTTCTTCCATGGCTGCCATTTCCATGTCTGCACTTTTACTCTCTTCATCGGGTTTGACTTTTATCTTCTTTTGAACTCTTTGAAGAAATATACAGGATGTGAGACCACCTAAGAACTGTTTCAAAAGAAAATAGAGTATATTCATACATGTTTGTTACAATATAGTATCGGAGATACGCTGATAGGCTTTATTTGCATTTATTATTACGTAATTTACCTAAATTCCCCAATGTTTAAATTACCAAAATTATCAATTATCATATTATGAAAAAATTAAACATTAATTTGGTAAATGTGTCCTAAATCTGCAATCGGAGCCTATGAAATTTGACAGGATATTGTCAAAGAAATTCGTCATCTATTTACATCATACATTAATTTTGCAGATAAAATAATGATGATATTGCTACCTACCTCTATCACAGCAATGCCCAGAATGACAGATGCCCAAATTGGGACATGGGTATTCAACCAGTTCTGCATTTGAGTCAGGCAGTTCATCTGTGTATTACAAAGCGTTCTTTCAAAAGGCGGAAATAATTGATAGTTTGAAATGAAATACACGGACCTATTCATGCTGCATTTAATGCGTTACAGTCTATCTACAGGACAGACATGTTTTCATTAACATTCCATGGATGTCTGTCCTATCACAATAAGAATAGCGAATTAATTATCATGGATCACAAACGAGTACGATAATTCCTCCTGTGTATATACATTATCCTCATAGTGACGAGACGATTGACAGGACACAAATGATGTTTGACAAAATGATGCCACGATACAATAAAACAGTACAGATAAACTAGTCTACTTTATCATTGCAAACTATTCTATATAAGCAAATAATATTTAATAAACATAATCACTATTAAGTACTTCATTTCTTAATTCTGGTTCAATAATAAATATCAGTATTAAACTAAACATTCTGCAACACTTAGCGCTGAAAATGCTTTCCTTGGTATGATACTGTGCGGAGAACTCCAGAAAAAGTGGGTTAGGCTGTATAGATATCAGAAATACCAAAGCTATGTCCGACATAATTCTCAAGCTTTAGTTTTACTCCTTTGAATTATCCTCGTGCAAAGAAGCCTGAGCCAGATATAAATAATAACGGAAACATCCGAGAAATCGCTAAACTTACGGTAAACAGATTATCTACTGTTCTTTCAATTATGCCCGTGACGTCATACACGACAAAACAGCTAGAGGGATAGGATTCCACATCCGTTCCGTACTCAGTGTAGTTTTGGATACCACAACACTTCAACTGTAATCAAGACACATAAATCTAATTTAGTTTTGTATAACTGTAGTGCAGCACTTCATATCGACAATATAGAACGTGACCTTATACCTCTAATACAGTGATAAATAACGACAATATAGAGGGCGACCTGAACTATAGTGTAGCAATACCTAACAATATAGTAGGTGACAGTATACCTCTAGTGTAGTGATAAATAACAATATAGTAGGTGACAGTATACCTCTAATACAGTGATAAATAACGACAATATAGAGGGCGACCTGAACTATAGTGTAGCAATACCTAACAATATAGTAGGTGACAGTATACCTCTAATACAGTGATAAATAACGACAATATAGAGGGCGACCTGAACTATAGTGTAGCAATACCTAACAATATAGTAGGTGACAGTATACCTCTAGTGTAGCAATACCTAACAATATAGTAGGTGACAGTATACCTCTAGTGTAGCAATACCTAACAATATAGTAGGTGACAGTATACCTCTAGTGTAGCAATACCTAACAATATAGTAGGTGACAGTATACCTCTAGTGTAGCAATACCTAACAATATAGTAGGTGACAGTATACCTCTAGTGTAGCAATACCTAACAATATAGTAGGTGACAGTATACCTCTAGTGTAGCAATACCTAACAATATAGTAGGTGACAGTATACCTCTAGTGTAGCAATAAATGTCGATAATATAGTACACAACCTTAACTATATTGTAACCACGGATACAGTACACAACGATGTAATTATAGGGGAACGATGCATAACGACAATATATTACATGAGTTTATAAGTGCATTGAAGCAAAACGTATCATGATTATAAGACTAAACCTAATCTGTAGGTATTCCAACAATTCTACTACACAGAAATCTCCTCTACCTCTGTTTGTATCCTATACCGAGTGTCAGTGTTTAGTCCGTCCCAGGAGTCTATCATCACGCTTGGTATCTGTAAACAGAGGAAAAAGTACCCAAAGAATCTAAACTCTGTAGCTTAATTTACTTTTAAACAAATACCAACAATCTATCACTTCTATTTATGATTTTGTTTTGTGTTTTTCTTTTTATTTCATTCAGTTGTTGTATAACCCATGATTGGATTCTAGACTTAAACATAGAGTGACATACATTTGGTGTGATAACACTCGTCCAGTTTTTTAACACTACATTTCCTAGCAAGGGGCGATATCTCGTAATATAATTGATATATTTATATATGATATGATAGTTCCATGTCCAGAAAGATATCTGTGACTTTTACATTTTTATACATAACCCGTTAATTGTTGCATTTGTTATTTAACATTACACCCAGAATAATCATCAATGCATGCATAGCATATTTACTCGTGATTGTAATGCATTTTATATCTACCTGTGATTTCTCCGAGTATATGAAAAACACAAGTCCCAGTTCCAGAAATAGCAAGGTAATCATAAATCCAACATACTACAAATACACAACAAAAAAGGAAATAAGATTTAGAAAATACTGTAAATATATAGGATACCAGTGTAAAACATACTACAGACAGAGGTAGTCAAATATAGAAAATACTGCAAATATATAGGTAACCAGTGTAAAACATACCACAAACAGAGGTAGTCAAATATAGAAAATACTGCAAATATATAGGTAACCAGTGTAAAACATACCACAAACAGAGGTAGTCAAATATAGAAAATACTGCAAATATATAGGTAACCAGTGTAAAACATACCACAAACAGAGGTAGTCAAATATAGAAAATACTGCAAATATATAGGTAACCAGTGTAAAACATACTACAGACAGAGGTAGTCAAATATAAAAAATACTGTAAATATAGGTTACCAGTGTAAAACACTACAAACAGAGGAAGTCAAATATAGAAAATACTGCAAATATATAGGTAACCAGTGTAAAACATACTACAGACAGAGGTAGTCAAATATAGAAAATACTGTAAATATAGGTTACCAGTGTAAAACACTACAAACAGAGGAAGTCAAATATAGAAAATACTGCAAATATATAGGTAACCAGTGTAAAACATACTACAGACAGAGGTAGTCAAATACAGAAAATACTGTAAATATAGGTTACCAGTGTCAAACATACTACAGACAGAGGTAGTCAAATATAGAAAATAATGCAAATATATAGGTAACCAGTGTAAAACACAACAAACAGAGGTAGTCAAATATAGAAAATACTGTAAATATAGGTTACCAGTGTAAAACATACCACAAACAGAGGTAGTCAAATATAGAAAATACTGTAAATATATAGGATACCAGTGTAAAACACTACAAACAGAGGAAGTCAAATATAGAAAATACTGTAAATATATAGGATACCAGTGTAAAACACTACAAACAGAGGAAGTCAAATATAGAAAATACTGTAAATATATAGGATATCAGTGTAAAACACTACAAACAGAGGAAGTCAAATATAGAAAATACCGTAAATATAGGATACCAGTGTAAAACACTACAAACAGAGGTAGTCAAATATAGAAATTACTGTAAATATAGGTTACCAGTGTAAAACATACTACAGACAGAGGTAGTCAAATATAGAAAATACTGTAAATATATAGGTAACCAGTGTAAAACATACCACAAACAGAGGTAGTCAAATATAGAAAATACTGCAAATATATAGGTAACCAGTGTAAAACACAACAAACAGGGGTAGTCAAATATAGAAATTACTGTAAATATATAGGTAACCAGTGTAAAACATACTACAGACAGAGGAAGTCAAATATAGAAAATACTGTAAATATAGGTTACCAGTGTAAAACACACCAAACAGAGGAAGTCAAATATAGAAAATACTGTAAATATATAGGTAACCAGTGTAAAACACTACAAACAGAGGAAGTCAAATATAGAAAATACTGTAAATATATAGGTAACCAGTGTAAAACACAACAAACAGAGGAAGTCAAATATAGAAAATACTGCAAATATATAGGTAACCAGTGTAAAACATATCACAAACAGAGGTAGTCAAATATAGAAAATACTGTAAATATATTGGTAACCAGTGTAAAACATATCACAAACAGAGGTAGTCAAATATAGAAAATACTGCAAATATATAGGTAACCAGTGTAAAACACTACAAACAGAGGAAGTCAAATATAGAAAATACTGTAAATATATAGGATACCAGTGTAAAACATACCACAAACAGAGGTAGTCAAATATAGAAAATACTGTAAATATATAGGATACCAGTGTAAAACATACTACAGACAGAGGTAGTCAAATATAGAAATTACTGTAAATATATAGGATACCAGTGTAAAACACTACAAACAGAGGATGTCAAATTTAGAAAATACTGTAAATATAGGTTACCAGTGTAAAACATACCACAAACAGAGGTAGTCAAATATAGAAAATACTGTAAATATATAGGATACCAGTGTAAAACATACCACAAACAGAGGTAGTCAAATATAGAAAATACTGTAAATATATAGGATACCAGTGTAAAACATACCACAAACAGAGGTAGTCAAATATAGAAAATACTGTAAATATATAGGATACCAGTGTAAAACATACCACAAACAGAGGTAGTCAAATATAGAAAATACTGTAAATATATAGGATACCAGTGTAAAACATACCACAAACAGAGGTAGTCAAATATAGAAAATACTGTAAATATATAGGATACCAGTGTAAAACATACCACAAACAGAGGAAGTCAAATATAGAAATTACTGTAAATATAGGTAACCAGTGTAAAACACTACAAACAGAGGTAGTCAAATATAGAAAATACTGTAAATATAGGTTACCAGTGTAAAACATACCACAAATATAGATTATCAAATAAAACGATATTACAAACTTTGGATACTAAACATATAACATGCTAAAAACACTGGATACCAAATAGAAAACGTTCTACATACAGAGACCACGAAACATAAAATATACTACAAGCACAGGGAAGCAAAATGTAAAAAGTGAAAAAATACAATCGCACGTAAATCATTATAACTGAACATGTATAGGTAATACATTTCGTGTTTAAATGAAATGTGAATTAAATGTTATACAATACATAAAGAGGACGGACTTGATGCACCATTTCCATCCAACCATGTTGTTTAAGGTATACATGTATACTTGAGACATTCGCTATACTCACCGTTTTCAGAATACATAATCCCTTACAGAAACCAGCCGCACAACCAATTCCTCCTGTAATCAAATGAAATAAATGTATATGTTAATATTTGGAAATTCTTACAGAACGTCAAAATGCTTCCGATCATTCTTGACCATTCTCTCCTTTCTCTCTCTTATCTTTTAATCTTTATCTTTTAGTGTTAGTTTGAATAAAGCCTCTTTATTACCTTTTTAATCGGGATGTAAAATACTACCTTACAAGGTTCTTTTTCGAGCAAACCTTCAGAGAAACAAGTTTATCATTAAGAAAATAGATTGCAAAATAAAGCTAAACAACACAATAGCTGTATTGTTGAATAACATCAGGCATTACTGAAGTGAATAAAAGTATCTTTATGCTCACCTATAACAAGGATCACAAAACCAAGACAGAAGCTGGTCAAAGTAACGACCTACAACAAATTAACTTCATTGATTGATTCATGTAAAATGTTGTTAATGCTACTGTGTTAACTATTATAGAGACACCGTCATACTTTCGTAATGGTGTTAAAGGACACGCGTAAATAATAACACATTAGAGGATACCAAAAAAGTTGATTTTATATGAAATTAATAGAACAATTATATTTATTCTGATTTACTGAGCCTTTGGCAAGAACAAACTGTGAAAAGTTTCATATTCATCATGTCGTGACATAACTTGAATACGTTGATAAGAATTCATCAAAACAATATTTTAATAGACTGATATGGTATATGATTTAGCGATATTCGTATCCCATATCTCTTTCTTTGTCACAACATATATGATGCCAAGAACTTATGAACGTTGTTGTCAAACCGACTGTCTACCGCTAGCATTGCAGCCATCATTTAAATAAAATGATTGTATGATTTGAAAAGATTAATTGATTTCTCTGGATAATCATCATTATTGTTCAAATTAAGATTTTGTTGTTAGGTGAGACTGTACAAAAAATAGAAGAATATACCAGAATTTGAACATAGTAATCATCAAAACTCAAATTCAATAAAACTGAAGAAAAGAAAGATTTAAACGGAGAATCATAAATAAGATAGACTTAATAGTAACCTGATTCTGTTTAGAAATAATATTCGTTAAAATTTATGCTACATAGAATAGGTAAACTTTCTACATTTGCAAATATGCCGTTTTTATATTTATTAAATAGCAGTGTTGTATAACAAAAAATAACATTTATAGCATCAAAAGCACAAAAGGACAAAGTGATAGGACTACAATGGGTAATTTTCAGAAAGACATAAAATAAAACTAGAGGCAGATCGAATATGGATGTTTTTTCATCTAGGTTAACTTTTCCTAGTGAACTGAAGACATCCGATATTATTTTCCATCAAGATGAGGAGGGTATGTAGATGTTATACTTATAAGTAATCGTGTAACGTAGACCATAAGGTACTAGCTACAGTGTGAACTTACGTGTGTACCAGATCCACAGACTTAAGAAATGGTATAAATAAAAACAAACATTCACGGCATCATCCAACATATATATGTATTGACAGACTTCCTGATATGATATACTTACATGTGTGCCAGATATGAATTCATTGGCATTAGGAATGGTAGCTAGGGTCCAGGTCACAAACCCAACAAGTCCTAGACCTAGACACTGTAACAGACAAGCAAGAAATCAAAATCAAGAATCCACGGCATCACCCATAATGTATGTAATTTCAAAAGAGAGCTCAACCTTTTTACTCATTTAGATTCCCATCAGGTATAACATTTATTTTTAAATTAAAAACATTGATTATGATATAACAATCATTTTTGTAATCACTTAATGTGGTAAAGATAAACACGTGGACTGAATTATACATGACATAAAAGGTTTTAATTCTAAACAAACCACTTACCAAGAAAATGAAATTAAATATCACAAACGCGATTTGTCTAGATGAACACTTAGCCATCGCTTGTGTAAATAAATCTCCGGTGATCACAGAATCCAAAAATGTGCTAATCTTCTTTTGATTTACATCACTGTTCCGTTAGGAGTTAAAATTGAAATTCAATAGTTAAATAACACAACAACAGACGAAATTCGTCCGTTTACATCATATAAAGGTATCTCTAGTTTGTGTAGTGTAGAGGATGATGACAGATACTGGGGTTTTAATGATTAGATCAAACATTGCGAGCGGGAACCAAATTCCCTACCAGGGTAATTAGGGAGCTAATAGGGGAGAGACTAGGGGATTAATCAGGACCTTTAAAGGCGGTATCCCATAGTGACCAGACTTAGTCACGTCCATTGTGTATATTTACATGTGCATTATTATTTGGACCGATAAACAGACAATATATATATAATACATGTATATTTTGTGTACAGTAATCATGCACGGAGAGGGATGATAACAATTCTAACAAAACAGAATTTTTTACCAGGTTTAAAAAATAGATGTCAACATTTCTGCTTAGGCGGTAGGACAGAAACATAACAAAAATGTATTTACATAGTGATGTGGTGTAAATCTACCCTTGCCTACCCATTAACATAGTGATGTAAATCTACACTTGCCTATCCATTAACATGGCGATGTGTTGTAAACATACACTTGCCCATCCCTAAACATGGTGATATGATGTACATCTACATTTGCCCGTCCATTAACATGGTGATGTGATGTAAACATACATTCGCCCATCCATTAACATTATGATATACTGTACATATATTTACGGATTATACATTTATCTATTTACTTGCACATGAATGAACTCATTTTTATTAAATTTATATACATCTCAACCTAGAATATAATAAGCAGTGTACTATTGGTTTTATATTGGTTTCCCTTCCATCTATGTATATGCTCTGTATAAAACATTCTTTTAAAGTCCTTACATTATTGATATTCAGATGAAAGTTGTGTGTTTATATATATATATATATATCTCGTACATTGTTGTTCCATATCATTGAATCACTAAAATTCCCGCAATAAGTATCAAATAACCATATCACAGTTCCTTTAACAGTATTGGAAAGAACGACAAGGCGGTATTATCAAACATATTTCTCTTAATCTGGACAAGTGTTCACACCGTTCAACTGGAGGTTATCCTATCTAACCTTGTCATACCTATTGGGGCGACAGGTGAGGGAGAGTTCCTCTGTCAGAACAACAGAATGACAGCAGCCAGGAGGGGACACAAGATTATATTAAGCTTTTGCTGAATCTTCAAAAAATCTTATTCTCAAATCTATCTTTGTATATTTTTTTGTGTTTAATATTTTAATATACACTTTGATCTTGAGTACGTTTTCTGGATCACAATAAACAGCCTTTATACAGTTGATTTATATGTCTGGCACCTGTACCGCAAATGCTATGAACGGGTTCCTTTAAAATATATACTTAAGTTATGAGTTTGAATCAAGAATTAGTAAATGTTCTAATTGAGTGAACATAAAAGGATAGGCGCTAGATGTAGAAGGCATTTGACTCGAACTCCATTATAGGTTGTTAGAGGAACCAGTGGGTGACTTTTGTTAGGATATATACCTTGCCAGAAAACATATCCTAAAGTGTATCATATTTACAAGTGTTGGGTAGACTTAACACTTATTTTTAATCATTGCATACATCTCCCGTCTGAAAGTACATGTAGTGGAGGCAGTGTTAACCGGCAATTCTTAGGAAACGCTAAGTGTGCATGTACGTAAAGTACTCTAATTGAATAAGGATAATTCATTCTAACGACTTATAGCATGTGCTTTCAAGCGATGTTTCTATTCATCTAGATTACATCTTGAAAATGAATTAAGTACCACGTAACGCTAGTTTGTGACATTGTACGCTACAGTAACATATATGTTAAAATGATCGCGTGGTCATGGTCATTTTAATGTTTACACAACTCTTACGATGACCATGTTACCAAATTGGATTTGAACACAAGATATTCCTTTTAGTCTGAATTTTGTTGTCCCTTATCGAGCAATTTCTTAATTACGATAATAACCTAGTTATATAATTACCTCAACTATAACGTCTCCTACACCGTCTTATTTTTTTACTTTAAGCTCTGAATTCACGCTACATTCCACTTTTGCTTCATTTATATTTCACCCAATATATTGTTTAATAATTTACTCATAACACTGTTCCATAGATATTAAATGATTTGCTTTCGATTAAACATTATGTAGGTTGATTTCTATGTCCGGTAGACATCAGTACATACTATTTGTGTTATCATGGTAACCCCAGCTCAGAGACTGCAGCTTGTCATTTGTTGTACATATCTTATAAACAAAAAACAACAGAGAAAAGAAATGTTGTCAAATGGTCATTTATCAAATGACAGGAACATTTCAAATAAATCCATAATATCAATCAATGTTGTTATATAATATATAGATCTGAATGACATTAACTTCAGTCTATATGTACAACAAAAAGATGGGGTACAAATTATCGGCACCGATGAGGGGCGCAAGATACATATGCATGGAGGGATACATGATATGTAGAAAAATGCACCTCATCAACCCATCCAAAGGCTCTGAACTGTTGTAGTTATCTTAGCCTAGAGACAGTGTTGAATATGAATATACATATCAACAAAGAACCACGATAAAAAACAGGAAATGAAAACAAATTGAATGACAAATAAAAAAGAGCAGACAAATCTCGAGATCAATCCAACAAAGGTATAAGACCAAGCCAGTTGGTCTGAACGTAAAAAAAATATATCTTGGACAAACGAATAAGACATAAAGAATAAGACGAAAAAGCATAATTCGTATACAGTCCGAACGAGGCTGGAGCAAAACGAAAATACGATAACTAATGATTGAGAAAGATTGGGTAGAGACCCGTCAAGAGTTCGATTCTATTAAAGTACAAAAGATCTACTTTCATATTCTATTTTGAAGGAATTTCCCGATTTCACAATAGACAATAAAATAAACTGAATTGCCAGTGAACTATTGTTCTTGTAATAACGAAATTGTCAAAAATTGGCTCAACCTAAATCCCCATCTTAACTGGCAATACGTTTTCAACACGTACATAATAAGTATTGGCTAAAAAACTAAGTCAGCACAGTTAACTTTAACAAAGTGATAGGACTTCCTGATAAAGACAATTCCACCATTACAATTTGTATCCCTTCCTGTTTGTAAAACACTTGGTTATAAATACTGAAATAACCGCTGTGTTGTCTTCATGTAAACATTAATTTTACCACATTATTTTATAATTCCAACGTTCCATTAAAGATGAAGCAAACGGAAATTCTTTTTTTAAGAAGGACACGTGAAGTAAAATGATTGATCTTTATCAGTATTTCCCTACCGTAACAATAAAAACCGTGTAATGTCGTAACTAGTAATATTATTGGAAGGGTTACAGGTAAATATGTGAGAGGGTTTAGAGGAATGCATTGACTTTTATAATTTTGTAGGGTAGATTGTGATTAAATGTTTGGATTCATTGAGAATAACTCTGATATAACTTAATATCATCCTTCTGATAACCGAACTAGGTCAATATAACACAAAACCGAGAAACGTTGTGTTTATACATCTATTTAACGTAACGTTTTATAAATATGTATCAACATGATGATTGGTACAGCATAATATGGCTGGGAACTTCTTTATAAAAGTATTACTCTTTATCATAAACAAATCTGATTAATTTACAGTACACTTAGATAGCTTAAACATCAAATCTGTTACGGACATTTATCTTCTCTTTAAGTGAGAATTGAAAAAAATAAACCGGCAGTCTATTGAAATACGACAGACTCTACCTGTTCTGTGTTCATAGACCGTGACGGTAGGGGTAAATACAGGTTAGGTGGCGAAACTTCATCGCTTGTGCACTTAAATCAGTTTTATTTGTAGAAATTCGACTTTAAGATAAACCAGGAAGTGAACGACAACAACGGGTGGACAACAACATGGCGGAAAGGACTGCTTTTGTTAAGGTAGGTTTACAAATAGTCTACAGATGAGTTATTGATATACAAGGAGGATTTCATATGTGTATTGACATAGTCTTCTGATAGCTGTCAGGAGTAATCACTACCAAAACAACATTAGAAAGTCCCTTTCAACTGATGTAAGCATCCAAAGTATTAACTGAAATACTGAGGCGTATATAACTGTGTGTTAGTGTCCAGGAGATCATGTAAAAGCAGCGATATTGTAAATCTGCAACAAAGATGATCGTGACAAAGTCTTATAATTTTATCTAGCACAGAGACGTTAGGCAGGGGTGCAGACGTGATAGGTATGATTTGGTAAGGTCACTCGGATATATCCAGCAGGCAAACTGATGATTACTTCGTGTTGATTATATACTAGGCGATGAAAAGTGTCTGGGGTGAGACAGGTATTAAATATATTTACAGAGTATTTGATGAAAAGTTTCGTGAGAAACTGCTAGAAGCACGGAGGACACACTATATAGTGTGACTTGTTAAACACAATCAATGCATATATGGGATGTTTATTGGAAAAGGTACAGTGCTCTCTGAATCAGTTTTCTTATCATTTGTATGATGTCGGATTCATTGATGCGTGACTTTCTGGCAGCTTATCACAAATATCAATCATTTGATGTGATGTTGTGAGCAACAATATTTATGATATTGCGTTTTTTCCAAAATGGCTAAATTCATGGTAAGGAGTCGACGAGAATGTTATAGATGGTGTATAACATTCTCAAAAAGTGTTACTTAAAAATTAACATTGTGGCATGTTCGAAAACACAGGGGTTCCGCTTTCGATTTTCTCAGTACTTATGGAATATATTTCCGCAATTTGGAAACCAGGATTAAAGCAGTTAGACTGGGTCAAGACATTACAAACTGATAATTACAAATTACAAACACAAGAGTTAAATGCATGTAAAAGTCATTCAGGTTTATTATTAGATTTAGGAATGGCACGTTATTAACTGTTCTATTCGAAGAAACCCTTATTTCGGAAAGTTTTTTTTTAATAAAATGGAGACTTGTAATTCCTGGGCCAGAGGTATTCGTGAACAAACTGTATTATCTGTGTATGGGAGACCTGAGAAAACTATGAGGTATCTAGTATCATACATTTATCCCACACTGTGGACACGAATACCGCCGAACACCTTGTTAGTGGCGAGGGTCTGTTCAGGTTACGTTTAACAGATAGATCCTTGTACAACGATGCAAGACTTGTATCTTTAGTAGCTAATGCCTGCAACAGAAATTACGTCCCTTGAAGTTGACATGAACTTTTTAATATAAAAAATGGTACATGTATTTTATGGTAGATTCATGCTATTTCGTTCCATGTCAACGCTTCTGTCACCTACTCATAAGTATTGTTTTAAATAATGGCAGAGCTCTGATTGAGCAATACTTATTTATACTGTAAACGTTTGTAACGTTTCCTTGAGATTCACTCCTGACAAAATTTTAAGGATTAGTGTCGGTTTACAATAAGTAGACATAGTTTCACGTCATCGCGTGCTGTCGAATCCTTGCCACAAGTTATAGGGATTGTATAAGAATGGCTGAAAATGTCTTCATGATAAATGTAAAGTACTTCATCTGTGCTGATTTGCTCAATTTCAGCCAGGCTTCCGTCCCTATCAGAAGCATCAGGATGACCGACCACAGTCCCCTAATTACCCAAAACAGGTGGGTGTTAAATAGAACGACAATTAAAGGTGATATTTCTCAATGTGATCTCAACATACATCTAAAAACTATCTACTCACAGCTATTAATATATTTTTACTGACTTACTGATATTAATGTTGTGGTTAATTTATTTGTGGAAATACACGTAATATAATCCAGTTTACTGTAGCGTTGTATACAAGAATTCTTTTCAGTAGAAAAATAGAGGATCGTGTGTCAAGAGAGAAAGAGGTGATGGTATCGACGCTTATTGTGGTAGTGTGGGGTGAAATTTCAGAACTTTTTTATATGAAGTATTGTGTAACCATTGTTGGGCTATCTTTGAGTCAGTGGAATGTCATAAGCTATTATAAGGATAATATTCACCCGGCGTCGCAACTCACAGAACCATCTGTATTCGAACTAGAAATAAATACACTTATCTTAATTTGTGCAAGGCTTTAACCAGCTCTAGGTTTACAATAAAATCAGGAAAAAATTAAAGGATGTAAATTTTTCCTTCAACACACTAAGATTGACTAAATGTAATCATATTTATTTGAAAGCCTACTCTCCTGAATACTTGTCTTCCTCGTTGGCTTGGTGACGTTGTTTTGTATCAAATCTCTCCTTTTGTGGTAACCAGCTGGGCGATTGAGCTTGTTATTATTATTGCATGAAGATGTTTCTTTATATTTAACATGTTCATGGTTTCATAATCAAGAGATAAACTCCATAACAACTGCGTATTTTTCAGTTCATCAGGTATTGTAACTGAATGAAGAATTGCAGAAAATAAAATGGTGTAACTATTTTGTAAATGTCTGATACATCTATGGCGCTGTATCAATTTTGATGTCGGTGAATTCCATCAATTTAACCAAGGTTTTTGAATTTGATGTCAATTTTTTTCAGCCAACAGTTACGTTTCGAGTCCTACCAAACGGTGAGATCCAACGTGATCAGTCAGACGCTCAGCAGAACCGAGAAGTGGCGAGCCCTTCGAAACCACAGATTTACCAGCAAGATCGCGACACAAGAGAAAAACGTGTCATGCGCGCGCAAGGTTCAGAACCAAAGCAAGATCAGTCACAGGTGTGTAAATGTATATTCGACTTCATATTGCCTCGCTATTACCTATTTTGTAATTAGACGACGAAACATCACAAATCGGGCATATATTTTGTGATATTGACCTTATGTGCTGTTGTAATCAATTTGTTGATGTTATATTGTTGCGTATGCACGAGTTAAAGGAGACTAGAACATGGTTTTATCGATTTAGACGTTTTTCTAATGACGAATGAAGACCAACGCATCAAGGTTTCACTTTGTTAAAATTTCTAGAGCTTGATACCGAACATAGTAATATCGAGGTACCAACAGAATCTGAATTTGAATTCGAATGCGATGAAACTAGGGCAAAATATGGCTTATAGTAAGATCCCTACGGAGATTCTTGGATAGCACAAGGATATAAAGATCAGGTGCTGTGGAGGGCTTAGCGTCTTCTGCTTCATCTACGGCACCCGTCATGTAAATCTTGGTCAATTCAACTAAGCTATGTCACATGTCCAAGTTAGCAGAAGGTAGTGTAAACTACTTTTCGCCTTTTCAAATCACAACTTTGAAAACATTAAATAACTAGACACCAGCCAATGAAAATGATAATATTATATCATACATCCTTTACTTAACTTCTTTAATTCTAATTCATTCTTGTTACTTATGATTGTAGAGACCAGCCGTGTATCGTGTCCTCGCGGACGGAACAACCATTCGAGAACAGCCGGATGTCCAACAGAATGACAGAATGTATACACAACAAACAAAAGCCGTAGAATATGAAGGAAGGGAACCAGCTAGACCTCTGTCAAATGTCAGTGATTCAGATTGTATTTTTGTACATTTTTGTCAGCACTCTTACGGCTTAATTCCTTGAAAGGATTTCGGTGAAATTCCACATAATTACAAAAGTCCATAATATCTAGGACAAGTTTGAGTTTGATGGTTTTATCGCCAAGGACAATGTCACTGCTACTATTTTTAGAAATGCTTCGTAAATACTCGTGCAGCTTCCACATTGTTAGAATAATTGTCGATTTTCTGCCGTCTTTATTACAAATCACTTCTTGTTGAATCGAGAGGGGATTTCAGCATTTACTTTGCCTCATGTCAAATTTATTTTAGGTGGTTCAGATTTTTAAAATTCCCTTTGGTTCCTTCGATTATTTGTCACTCGTTAGACATCCAAAACATTAAATCACGTGTATGTGTTTTCCGTACATTCTGCTGTGATTATTCTGCTAAACTCTTGTTGATCGATTCCGTGATCATTTACAAGGATATATACAAATTAATTACACCTGATCTAATAACATAGATAATAAGATGTGATAAGTGTGTTTCTATCTCTCCATTCTGTTTAGGACTCTGCATCCAAATAGGAATGTTTAATTCCTTTGTGCATTAATATTCTCTAAAAAAATTGTTTCAAAATAAGAGGCAATGATAACGAGCCATGATTTTCTCGATTTATTTTATCACAAAACTGTAATTACAGAATTATGTTCATGGGTGTGATAGCAAAAAGGTTGTGCAACGTGCACGTACTATCTGAAATGTATCACATTCTACATTATGTATATTATCATCAAATGTTAAATTTCACTCTCTGTTCACACAGACGTCTGTTGGCGATCGTGTCCTTACTAACGGTAAAACACATCGTGCATTGTCAAACGTCCCAGAGGACGGCAGAAACTTTAGACAAGCTACTCTGGTTACAGAGGGCAATAACAACACGGATCCATCAAAATCCCACGTGTTCTCGTATGGTCGGGATAACAGAGAAAAGCAACATCCAAAACAAGCTAAGAAACGGGATAAGGTAAGCGGTCGTATGTATGACTATATGTGCCTTAGTATACAGGAAATTTACTCAGCATGAGGACAGCTGTTGATGCTAGATATAAATGATGTCTAAAGACGTATGGGTTATTCTGTCAATTATAGAGACTCCTGGCTATCTCATGGTCGGTTTCAAAGACATGATCAGCTGCAAATAAGTGATACTTTGAATCACTCCACACATTTTTCAAAGATTTGTTTTTAGGAGATACCTAGAGTTCATGTAGGTTGTTGCCAGGTTTAGCACTTACCCTCAGATATACAGAATAAAATATACCATTTCTTTTGTCATCGTAAATAATGTCGTATACCTGTACCGTTTTTTCCTTCCTAAACAATGATAATCGTACTATTTGTAGGATGATCCGGTAGACAGTCCCGATAAGCCGAAGTCAAGCACGAGTATAGTTGAAGGTGGAATTCATAAGTGGGCAATGTTTAGACTTTGGGTTAACCGTGAAATCTCACAAGAAGTGCTTAAAGAAAGGCTTCCCAGCAAAGAATTTAAAAAACGATTAGAACTCCCTATGGACAGCATGGTCACCTCCGTACTTCTAGATCCGGCGAGTGACACAAATGGAAAACGACTCCAGAAGGAGTATGGTGTCCGACCAAACGGAAATAGCTTTCTTCCTGAAAACATATTCTTTGTCTTTGGAATACCGAGAGCAAAGACATCGATTGATGCGAATGTTTCTGAGTTTATTGAGACCATGTCCAATGCCGTTTCAAGATCAGAACATGACGCTTTGTCAACAAAAGACGACACCGAATACAATGGCAGCAACATTGGGTCAAAAAACGAATTAGGAAAGAGCCGGAAAGTGGAACCGGAAGAAGAAGAGAAAAAGCCACCAGACCAATATGATAAACAGAAAGGCGAGACAAATGCTGACGAAAGATACAAAAGATGGCATGCCAATGATTTGAAGAAAAGTCGCGGTATAAATGCTGATGGAACGGAAGACAAATGGAAAGGCTGGAAGGAAGAACAAGACAGCAAAGCGAAGGAAACAGAAAACCTCGGTAAAAGTAGGCATTGGAATTCGGAGAACTACCGAATGTATCAGCAACATGATATAAGGAAGAAACTCACAGAGACCTATCGGACGTGGGATGATGATGACGATCGAAATACTCCAATTAAAGGCAAAGGTGACATTAGCAAGAGTTCAATGGAAGAAATTACCGACTTTGCAAAGTACCATGTTGACGACTATGCTATGCCAAATAAGAAAAGGAAAGACGATCAAATAGAGGACCTATCAAAAACAGCCGGCGAAAACGTCTATACAACGCATGTGAACAAATGATGAAACAATTAAAATACTTACTCGTTTAAAGTGACATAAGTCATACAGATAGCCCCATATGTCCATATTAATTCATTTAAGATCTTCACATCTCTGTTAACATATACCAATGGCATTAAAGCTACATAACAAAACCCCAGTATCAAAGGGAACGTTTTAAAACCGTCAGCAGAGTGAGCTCATTCTTCAAACGTTGTTTTTTTTTGAGCTTATCATATCTGTGTTATAATGTTAGTAAGGATTTTATCATTATTATTTTGTTTTGTTAAAGATTAAATATACGTAATAAGACGTCAGCTATGAGACTGCTTTTCATGTTTAATATTATTTAGATAACCTGTATGTGTTTTGATGTTTTGGCTATTGATTATCAACTGCCAAAGCCTTGACTTACGTAACGATAGGTGAAGAACCGGAGTGTATGGTTCGACACTCTCTACCTATGGTTGTTTGCGTTCATCGGGAAGCTGGAAAATGAACCGGTTTATGCTGACATGATTGTGTCCAGGTCAAGACACGTTATCCTAATTACTCTATATGTCATGCGTCGAGCCTCCCGCATGTTTTTCAGTGAAGTAACCACCAGCTGCTTCAAGGTGACCTGCCTCAAAATGACCCTGGCTGTAAACCCAGCAAACATTTTAATTATGAATTCTTCATAATGATAAACTGTGTAAGCAAGAAGTATGAATTTTGGTATGTGTTTATAACTTTATCATAGTACACCAGAAAACTCCATAACACTCGATGTATTTGATTACGTTTTAAATAATGATTTATGTTAGTTAACTTAGATATTCTAGAACTCCAAATCCGAATATATTATACATAAGAAATAACATTTGTTTTGTAGTATGATGTTGTCTTTGTGAAAGCCGAGTGCATAACCCCCGCATCAAGCGACCACCCGAACAACGTGTATGTATTTAAATTGTGCATACAATGTTTTAAATGTGTATTAAACATACCATCGATACAAATTATGTGTCTTTTCTTTAAATTTGACAACAATATTTCACCACATGTTTTTGTCAAAGATTTCATTCAGGGGCGTGGAAATTTATCAATTGACGATCAGATGTGTAAAATGAACACCGTACATAATATATGTACTTTCAACACAGACACAAATACCTCAGTATTTTAAGTATACTGTGAAATTACATACAGGATGGCTACAAGTGTAAAAAAAAACAACAAGAAACATTAGATATGTTAACTAAATTTTAATTCAAACTCAACATTGATGAAATTGTGACAATATATGAGCAACCAAAAGACGTACACTGAAACTCCTGAAAAAGTACGAGGACATAAGTTCATATATACCGGAAGATATTAACGTTTTTTGTTGCATCGACAAAACCCGCTATGTAAACACTGTGGGTTGAACAGAAGATGCAGAATAGGGAAATCGAAAACAACTCCTTTAACACAACCTTAGTGGAATGTGTGCTCTGAAAATGTACGTTTTGTTGTTCCAAATATTCTACTTTGAACATGACTTATGATGCACTATCAGAAATGTGAATACCATATCAGCGTATCTGGATGTAGGTCTTCTACAAAGAGGCGGATATGTGTGACAGTGGAGACTTCATTCTATAGAGGAGGGATATGTGTGACAGTGGAGACTTCTATAGAGGAGGGATATGTGTGACAGTGGAGACTTCTATAGAGGAGGGATATGTGTGACAGTGGAGACTTCTATAGAGGAGGGATATGTGTGAAAGTGGAGACTTCTATAGCGGAGGGATATATGTGACAATGGGGACTTCCTTCTATAGAGGAAGGATATGTGTGACAGTGGAGACATCTATAGAGGAGGGATATGTGTGACAGTGGAGACTTCCTTCTATAGTAGAGGGATATGTGTGACAGTGGAGACTTCCTTCTATAGAAGAGGGATATGTGTGACAGTGTAGACTTCTATAGAGGAGGGATATGTGTGACAGTGTAGACTTCTTTAGAGGAGGGATGTGTGTGACAGTGGAGACTTCTATAGAGGAGGGATATGTGTGACAGTGTAGACTTCCTTCTATAGAGGAGGGATATGTGTGACAGTGGAGACATCTATAGAGGAGGGATATGTGTGACAGTGGAGACTTCATTCTATAGAGGAGGGATATGTGTGACAATGGGGACTTCAATAGAGGAGGGATATGTGTGACAGTGGAGACTTCCTTCTATAGAGGAGGGATATGTGTGACAGTGGAGACATCTATAGAGGAGGGATATGTGTGACAGTGGAGACTTCTATAGAGGAGGGATATGTGTGACAGTGGAGACTTCTATAGAGGAGGGATATGTGTGACAGTGGAGACTTCATTCTATAGAGGAGGGATATGTGTGACAATGGGGACTTCAATAGAGGAGGGATATGTGTGACAGTGTAGACTTCCTTCTATAGAGGAGGGATATGTGTGACAGTGGAGACTTCCTTCTATAGAGGAGGGATATGTGTGACAGTGGAGACTTCAATAGAGGAGGGATATGTGTGACAGTGGAGACTTCCTTCTATAGAGGAGGGATATGTGTGACAGTGTAGACTTCTATAGAGGAGGGATATGTGTGACATTGGAGACTTCTATAGAGGAGGGATATGTGTGAAATTGGAGACTTCTATAGAGGAGGGATATGTGTGACAATGGGGACTTCTATAGAGGAGGGATATGTGTGACAGTGTAGACGTCTTTAGAGGAGGATATGTGTGACAGTGGAGACCTCTATAGAGGAGGGATATGTGTGACAATGGGGACTTCAATAGAGGAGGGATATGTGTGACAGTGTAGACTTCCTTCTATAGAGGAGGGATATGTGTGACAGTGGAGACATCTATAGAGGAGGGATATGTGTGACAGTGGAGACTTCAATAGAGGAGGGATATGTGTGACAGTGGAGACTTCTATAGAGGAGATATATGTGTGACAGTGGAGACTGCCTTCTATAGAGGAGGGATATGTGTGACAGTGGAGACCTCCTTCTATAAAGGAGGGATATGTGTGACAGTGGAGACTTCTATAGAGGAGGGATATATGTGACAGTGGAGACTGCCTTCTATAGAGGAGGGATATGTGTGACAGTGGAGACCTCCTTCTATAAAGGAGGGATATGTGTGACAGTGGAGACTTCTATAGAGGAGGGATATATGTGACAGTGGAGACTTCCTTCTATAGAGGAGGGATATGTGTGACAGCGGAGACTTCTATAGAGGAGGGATATGTGTGACAGTGTAGACTTCTTTAGAGGAGGATGTGTGTGACAGTGCAGACTTCTATAGAGGAGGGATATGTGTGACAGTGTAGACTTCTATAGAGGAGGGATATGTGTGACAGTGGAGACTTCTATAGAGGAGGGATATGTGTGACAGTGTAGACTTCTTTAGAGGAGGGATGTGTGTGACAGTGGAGACTTCTATAGAGGAGGGATATGTGTGACAGGTTCGACTTCCTTCTATAGAGGAGGGATATGTGTGACAGTGGAGACATCTATAGAGGAGGGATATGTGTGACAGTGTGGACTTCTATAGAGGAGGGATATGTGTGACAATGGGGACTTCAATAGAGGAGGGATATGTGTGACAGTGGAGACTTCTATAGAGGAGGGATATGTGTGACAGTGGAGACTTCCTTCTATAGAGGAGGGATATGTGTGACAGTGGAGACTTCTATAGAGGAGGGATATGTGTGACAGTGGAGATTTCCTTCTATAGAGGAGGGATATGTGTGACAGCGGAGACTTCTATAGAGGAGGGATATGTGTGACAGTGGAGACTTTTATAGAGGAGGGATATGTGTGACAGTGGAGATTTCCTTCTATAGAGGAGGGATATTTGTGAAAGTAGAGACTTCCTTCTATAGAGGAGGGATATGTGTGACAGGTTCGAGTTCCTTCTATAAAGGAGGGATATGTGTGACATGTTCGACTTCCTTCTATAGAGGAGGGATATGTGTGACAGTGGAGACTTCCTTCTATAGAAGAGGGATATGTGTGACAGCGAGGACTAAATTCTACTAGAAAGACCTACGTCTGGTGGTGGATACAACGTTAGAGACCTCCTTCTACAAATAAAAGATATGTGTGACGGTAAAACTCTTCCTGTTGAATATGTAGCCTTTACAGATGAGGAATTTAAAGATACCTGGTTTAGTATAGTCATACGTGTATAACACCACGCAGTATACATTTGTAGATTTCTAATGAAAGCGTAAACATTTTAAAAAAGATGTGGAATATGTGGTTACACAAAAGACTGAAAATATTAAATGGCTTTTCAGACCTTGAATGTGTTATACTAATAGAAAGGGCTTCAGTTGTTTAACAACAGGATGATGTAACATTTCCGACACAGTGTTTGTCCCGCTGTGGATATTTATAGAAAAAAAAAAAAAAAAAACTAGTGTGGCTATTCTTATTTCAGAATTTTGCTGTTTTGCTAGATTACTCTTGAGATTAGAGTTTATCATTGTTGATCTTTATAAAAGAAGTCAACAATAACTTTCGCTTTGACAAAAAAAAAAAAAAAAAATTTTACGCTCTGTAGCTGTCAATTTTAGTAAAAGGGATTACATCAACCGTTGACGAGTCTCTTTTCCAGAAAATGCGCAGTTCAAAAGTACACATCACAGGCAGACGGGAAAAATCAATAGACCGAAAGTACTGCAACTTAAAATTTAAAACAACAAGTAAACAAACCGAAAAGGTATGGGTAGAATAATAATGGATAGGAAAGGAAAACATCCGTGTCCGGAAAATGCCGAACATAATCGAATTATCTTATTGTAAACCAAGTACATTTTGTTAGAATTGTGTGACTAAGATTTATAGTTATAAGACGGCCAAACGCCTCAAGCTACTCTCTGTCGGTGACTTATTATAAAAAACTAAATTTTGGTGTGCTTAAAAATCACATGGACACAGAAATCACGACCATCATACAGCTGATAGGCGACGTCGGTAAGCTGTCCAGCGATCTAAGCTTTTTAGAATTCTCAAACCCAAAAATCCAAATACTATATATCCAACTTTTTGATCGTCAATTATGACTTGGCTTTAAGAGAATGGATAAACAACTAATATAGCGATAAAACAAACACCGGTAAAACGAAATCGATAGGGATTCCTGTTATTTAGCAGTAGGGGTTGGGATTCCTGTTGTTTAGCAGAAGGGGTAGGGGTTCCTGTTGTTTAGCAGTAGGGATTGGGGTTCCTGTTGTTTAGCAGAAGGGGTAGGGGTTCCTGTTGTTTAGCAGTAGGGATTGGGGTTCCTGTTGTCTAGCAGTAGGGGTTGCGGTTCCTGTTGTTTAGCAGTAGGGGTTGGGGTTCCTGTTGTTTAGCAGTAGGGATTGGGGTTCCTGTTATTTAGCAGTAGGGGTTGGGGTTCCTGTTGTTTAGCAGTAGGGATTGGCGTTCCTGTTGTTTCGCACTATGGGTTGGGGTTCCTGTTGTTTAGCAGTAGGGGTTGGGGTTCCTGTTGTTTAGCAGTAGGGGTTGGGGTTCCTGTTGTTTAGCAGTAGGGGTTGGGGTTCCTGTTGTTTAGCAGTAGGGGTTGGGGTTCCTGTTGTTTAGCAGTAGGGGTTGGGGTTCCTGTTTTCTAGCAGTTGGGTTTGGGGTTCCTGTTGTTTAGCAGTAGGGGTTGGGGTTCCTGTTGTCAGTAGGGGTTGGGGTTCCTAGCAGTAGGGGTTGGGGGATTCCTGTTGTTTAGCACTATGGGTTGGGGTTCCTGTTGTTTAGCAGTAGGGGTTGGGGTTCCTGTTGTTTAGCAGTAGGGGTTGGGATTCCTGTTGTTTAGCAGTAGGGGTTGGGGTTCCTGTTGTTTAGCAGTAGGGGTTGGGGTTCCTGTTATCTAGCAGTAGGGATTGGGATTCCTGTTGTTTAGCACTATGGGTTGGGGTTCCTGTTGTTTAGCAGTAGGGGTTGGGGTTCCTGTTGTTTAGCAGTAGGGGTTGGGGTTCCTGTTGTCTAGCAGTAGGGGTTGGGGTTCCTGTTATCTAGCAGTAGGGGTTGCGGTTCCTGTTGTTTAGCAGTAGGGGTTGGGGTTTCTGTTGTTTAGCAGTAGGGGTTGGGGTTCCTGTTGTTTAGCAGTAGGGGTTGGGGTTCCTGTTATCTAGCAGTAGGGGTTGGGGTTCCTGTTGTTTAGCAGTAGGGGTTGGGGTTCCTGTTGTTTAGCAGTAGGGGTTGGGATTCCTGTTGTTTAGCAGTAGGGGTTGGGGTTTCTGTTGTTTAGCAGTAGGGGTTGGGGTTCCTGTTATCTAGCAGTAGGGGTTGGGGTTTTAGCTAGCAGTAGGGGTAGGGGTGGGGTTCCTGTTGTTTAGCAGTAGGGGTTGGGGTTCCTGTTGTTTACCAGTAGGGATTGGGATTCCTGTTGTTTAGCAGTAGGGGTTGCGGTTCCTGTTGTTTAGCAGTAGGGGTTGGGGTTCCTGTTTTTTAGCAGTAGGGGTTGGGGTTCCTGTTGTTTAGCAGTAGGGGTTGGGGTTCCTGTTATTTAGCAGTAGGGGTTGGCGTTCCTGTTGTTTCGCACTATGGGTTGGGGTTCCTGTTGTTTAGCAGTAGGGGCTGGGGTTCCTGTTGTTTAGCAGTAGGGGTTGGGGTTCCTGTTGTTTAGCAGTAGGGGTTGGGGTTCCTGTTGTTTAGCAGTAGGGGTTGGGGTTCCTGTTATCTAGCAGTAGGGATTGGGATTCCTGTTGTTTAGCACTATGGGTTGGGGTTCCTGTTGTTTAGCAGTAGGGGTTGGGGTTCCTGTTATCTAGCAGTAGGGGTTGGGGTTCCTGTTGTTTAGCAGTAGGGGTTGGGGTTCCTGTTATCTAGCAGTAGGGGTTGGGGTTCCTGTTGTTTAGCAGTAGGGGTTCCTGTTGTTTAGCAGTAGGGATTGGGATTCCTGTTGTTTAGCAGTAGGGGTTGGGGTTCCTGTTGTTTAGCAGTAGGGGTTGGGGTTCCTGTTGTTTAGCAGTAGGGGTTGGGATTCCTGTTGTTTAGCAGTAGGGGTTGGGGTTCCTGTTGTTTAGCAGTAGGGGTTGGGGTTCCTGTTATCTAGCAGTAGGGGTTGGGGTTCCTGTTGTTTAGCAGTAGGGGTTGGGGTTCCTGTTGTCTAGCAGTAGGGGTTGCGGTTCCTGTTGTTTAGCAGTAGGGGTTGGGGTTCCTGTTGTCTAGCAGTAGGGGTTGCGGTTCCTGTTGTTTAGCAGTAGGGGTTGGGGTTCCTGTTGTCTAGCAGTAGGGGTTGGGGTTCCAGGGGTTGTTCCTGTAGTAGGGGTTGGGGTTCCTGTTGTTTAGCAGTAGGGGTTGGGGTTCCTGTTTTTTAGCAGTAGGGGTTGGGGTTCCTGTTGTTTAGCAGTAGGGGTTGGGGTTCCTGTTATCTAGCAGTAGGGGTTGGGGTTTCTGTTGTTTAGCAGTAGGGGTTGGGGTTCCTGTTATCTAGCAGTAGGGATTGGGGTTCCTGTTGTTTAGCAGTAGGGGTTGGGGTTCCTGTTATCTAGCAGTAGGGGTTGGGGTTCCTGTTGTTTAGCAGTAGGGGTTGGGGTTCCTGTTGTTTAGCAGTAGGGGTTGGGGTTTCTGTTGTCTAGCAGTAGGGGTTGGGCTTCCACTATTATTTAGCAGTAGGGGTAGGGCTTCCACTATTATTTAGCAGTAGGGGTTGGGGTTCCACTATTATTTAGCAGTAGGGGTTGGGGTTCCACTATTATTTAGCAGTAGGGGTTGGTTGGGGTTGGGGTTCCACTATTATTTAGCAGTAGGGGTTGGGGTTCCACTATTATTTAGCAGTAGGGGTAGGGGTTCCACTATTATTTAGCAGTAGGGGTTGGGGTTCCACTATTATTTAGCAGTAGGGGTAGGGGTTCCACTATTATTTAGCAGTAGGGGTTGGGGTTCCACTATTATTTAGCAGTAGGGGTTTGGATTCCAATGTTATTTAGCAGTAGGGGTTGGGGTTCCTGTTGTTTAGCAGAAGGGGTAGGGGTTCCACTATTATTCAGCAGAAGGGGTAGGGGTTCCACTATTATTTAGCAGTAGGGGTTGGGGTTCCTGTTATCTAGCAGTAGGGGTTTGGATTCCAATGTTATTTAGCAATAGGGGTTGGGGTTCCTGTTGTTTAGCAGTAGCGGTTTGGGTTCCTCCAATATTTAGCAGTGTTGTTTATCTATTACAGTTTTGATATCCTGTTCTTTTGACTTTCTTTCTGGATGATGAACCTATGTTTTAACTTACCATGAAAGTTAAATCCAATGCAATACAAACACAATGTCATGAGGAATTTGTAAAATGTTTACCTACAGGGTAATCTGCATTTAAAATAGGTGTTAACATGAATTGTCCTGTACATCTGTACCGCTGGTGTACTTACTGATATATCACGTGGTCATATTGCTCAAGCTTAGCTCTAGGTGGACTCAATAATTCCTCTAAATCCTGCTATAGGTTTGCAGTAGTAGAAAATATTACTAGAAAGGATGAAGTTTCTAGTAACGGTTTCACCTCAGAAACCAGTATGTAACAATAGTTAGAACACACAGAATGCTCAGCAGTTTATAGGTTATAAATTATATCATTTCACTGTACACGCATGTGCAGAGCTAAAGCCACACTACCTTGTAATCCATTAATATGTTGTAATTTGAGAAACGAATTATCTAAAACGATTGGTGCATTGATTGGAACACTAGTCACTTGTCCAGAATCCTGAGATACACAGATCATCAGGAAAATGCAATGTATGTATTGAGTTGCTGGCCGTATCCTTCTTAATTATTTATACATCCAGTGTGATTGGTGTATCAACTGGAGAAACAAGTTAGCATGAATAGCTAAAATTGAGACACAAAAATAATTGAGGTCTGTATTTAATGGAAGGTATGAATACAGAACTTTTAAATTGACACAAAACAACAATAACAAGTTAAAAATTATTTTATTTTGTGATTTTGTACAAATAAAAATTAAATTGATCTACAATTATTATGTCCTCATCAGTAAGCTCCCTTTCCCCAGACCATGAGAAAAGAGCCCCTGCTAGGCTCAATTAATATGCATTGATTATAAAGTAGATGTGCCTTTACAAGGCTTACAGAAACACAGGCATGCGGTAATGATTCCAGGTAAATATCCTCTTAACACTTTTTGTTGTTTTCCCAAAATAATAATTTTTGGCACAATGTTACCTATTATTTCATAAAAATAATTTTGTATGGGCACCTTACACAATGAGAAATCCAAATAAACCCAGTTATTGTATTACTACGTTACTATTATCAGTGTAACATTAACTCTGCTGTTTTTAATTTGATAACTTGATACCATTACTGCATATTGGTTGTTTTTAAGAGAGAATGAAAATAAATGATTAATAATCATAAAAGCAACAAGACATTTGAGCAATAACTTTCTACAAGAAAAACTTAGCTAATAATAATAATAATCATGTAATAAAAACAAATTTCAGACTTCTGAAAATAAAATAAATGGAGAATCTACAGCCAAAAAACAATGTATTAAATGTGTGACTACAAAAGTGCATCATGACAGATTTTGCTTAAGGCATAAAACTGCTCCAGTAAGTAAGACGCTAGTATTGCAAATCAATCAGGATTTCAATATGACTAACATAAACAAAAATAAATTTGTTTGACAGGAGAGAAGGTCCTTACTTTGACCCTTGAACTCTGTCAAAATTCTTGCACTGACTTGAACTTTCACAATTACAACTAAAATGAGCTGATGATCTAGATCCTCATTATCTTTCAGCATAAATCACAAACTGCTTCAGGGCCATTCATCATCTAAATAACAGACCAATGGACAAATTTAATTTATCTAGTGAATATGACGGACATAACACAATGGTGGGGCATTATTACTGTTAGCAAAGACATAACTAACAACGAAATTACACAACACAGCACTTGATGACAGAAATAAGTTTCCTTACTTCCTAGGATTATTTTCCAAAGGTGACAAACAGCTGTCAAAACATCAACTATTTCAACAATTTGCAAATAACTCTTGCCCTTTTAATTTACGGTGCAGTGAAAACCATATGTTCAAAATATATAACCAGCACATGCAGTGATCTTTACCATCATAAATATGAAGTAGGTGGCCTGGCTTTTAATACAAGTATACTTCATCACATGGTTTCTTTCTTCAGGTAACTTATGTTTACTTCCATATGAAATTTAGTGTGTTAACCAATTGAGAAAGGGAATTTTTTTTATTTAGAGTTATCTCCCATTCACATATCTTTCAGTACTTAATTGCTGCCCTTGGCTAATTTCAAAAGTCATCAAATCATAACTAAGCCATCACTAAACGATCATTCCTCAGAAAACAAGTTAACTAAGTAATCTATACACACTTTTTCTACATGTTTTTTGGTCACATTAATAAATTCTCCTGTGATTTATAATTTGCTATGACACACTGGCACTATTACGTAAACAAACCGTTGCTTGAAACATAAAAACAAAAGTCATGTCAAAAAGGTAAAATGCAACTTAAAAAAAATTGGAGAGCTAAAGTGCAACAAAAGCAACACATCAACAGGTCCATAGGTTTTGTTCATCTGCAACAATAATAAGCTATTCACCCCAATATGCATCAATTCATTTCTATTTAAACTTTCAGATATCAGTATCATTCAATGAATTAGGCATTAATGTGTGTTTTGCCCTGTAGGTGGCACTCCATGTACAATTATTGCCAACTATCCCCTACTTTCATGCAGGACTAACATTGACGAAAAGTTATATGCTCTCTGTGACAATATTCTCAATGATTTCCTTTGAATATCCTTCAAAGATTTCATAAAATGTTTCCATGACAACCTCTAACACAATCTTTCAGTATGTTTAGCATAACATGCAAATATTATATAATTAGGTATTTGAATAATCATTAACTGTACACTATTATTACAACTTAATTTATCTTTAAAAGATTTAACTCAAATCTATATGAAATCTATCTACAAAATTATACAACTCTTATTGCAAATCCCCCATGGATCCCAATTTAATTTCCAATCTGGTTTCAGGTCCTGTCTGTGGCAGGACTATAGCTCGTTTGATGTTGCAAACGATCAAACGTCAGGTAAAATTTATCCATATTTGTGAAAAAATGCACTGAAATTCATATGAAGATGGACTTTGAAGAGCTTGTGAATATCCCTAAAATAGACAACCAATCTAAGCTCGACAACATAGGATCACAAAATAAATAAATTGTGGGGCTGTATATCTAAAAAAAAAAGTAACAGTAAACCATGGTAATTTATTCCACCAGCTGAACTGCTTGTTAGTGATGAAAGTGGAAAGCTGAATAGTTGATAATCAATCAGTGTTAATGTACACATGTTGTAATCAACCAACTGAACCGCAGGCATGGGATATTCAATAAGTGTTAATGTACACGTTACATTCCACCAACTGAACCACAGGTGTGGCATATTCAATTATGGAGTTAATGTACACATGTTACTTTCCACCAACTGAATCATTGGCATGGCATACTCAATCAGTATTGATGTACATGTCACATTTTACGTACTGAACCACAGCAATGGTAAAGTCAGTCAGTTTTATTGTACACGTATCCCATTCATTCAGTGTTTATGTACACAATTGTTTCCATCAACAGAACCATTGGCATGGGATATTCAGTGTTTATGTACACAAGTGTCACATTTCACCTACTGAATGACATGCTCAGTATATCTAACCGGTTAAGTTACAGAAACCCACAAACTCATCTAGTGCTACAGAAAAAGAAAATTCCACTAGCACTGACTAGATTATGAAATCAGGAACTAGTTTCACCATGACAAACAGAACAGTATTCAAACATTTAGATGAGTTTACATGTCACTTAGTACAAGATATCAATGAGATGATGGCTAAAAATAGTTTTATTTATCATGATGAAATGGTACAGGATTATAAGTCTTTGTATGGATGTTGATAAATGTACGATGAATTGTTTATACATGGAGGATGAGTCTATAGGCACTGTAAGATCAGGTGACCACGATGGCTGCTGTAGCTGTTTATGTTATCGGCATAGCAATGGCGAAGTATGAACTGTAAGGTGTAGTGTGTCCCTCTCAACAAGGCTATCTGTCAAAGATAAACACAGTTTCAAATTTAAGATCAAAATAGAAAATGACTTCTTGTACAAAGGATAAAAAATGTTACTATTTCAAATTAATATTTATCATAAATAGACACAATAAAATTTCTCAATGTAATCCATTGCTTTCCTTTATACTTTTTCATATGAAATCTAAATAACATAAATACATAAGGATATTACTGATGTAAAACATTTTAACATACTGTCCTAGGAGAGATAACACTGATGTAAAACATCCTAACATACTGTCCTAGGAGAGATAACACTGATGTAAAACATCCTAACAGGGATATCCTACAGACAGTTTTACTGTCTGTCCTAGGAGAGATAACACTGATGTAAAACATCCTAACAGGGATATCCTACAGACAGTTTTACTGTCTGTCCTAGGAGAGATAACACTGATGTAAAACATCCTAACAGGGATATCCTACAGACAGTTTTACTGTCTGTCCTAGGAGAGATTACACTGATGTAAAACATCCTAACAGGGATATCTTACAGACAGTCTGTCCTAGGAGAGATAACACTGATGTAAAACATCCTAACAGGGATATCCTACAGACAGTTTTACTGTCTGTCCTAGGAGAGATTACACTGATGTAAAACATCCTAACAGGGATATCTTACAGACAGTTTTACTGTCTGTCCTAGGAGAGATAACACTGATGTAAAACATCCTAACAGGGATATTCTACAGACAGTTTTACTGTCTGTCCTATGAGAGATTACACTGATGTAAAACATCCTAACAGGGATATCCTACAGACAGTTTTACTGCCTGTCCTAGGAGAGATTACACTGATGTAAAGCATCCTAATAGGTATATCCTACAGACAGTTTTCCTGTCTGTCCTAGGAGAGATTACACTGATGTAAAACATCCTAACAGGGATATCCTACAGACAGTTTTCCTGTCTGTCCTAGGAGAGATTACACTGATGTAAAACATCCTAACAGGGATATTCTACAGACAGTTTTACTGCCTGTCCTAGGAGAGATTACACTGATGTAAAGCATCCTAATAGGTATATCCTACAGACAGTTTTCCTGTCTGTCCTAGGAGAGATTACACTGATGTAAAACATCCTAACAGGGATATCCTACAGACAGTTTTCCTGTCTGTCCTAGGAGAGATTACACTGATGTAAAACATTCTAACAGGGATATCCTACAGACAGTTTTACTGCCTGTCCTAGGAGAGATTACACTGATGTAAAACATCCTAATAGGTATATCCTACAGACAGTTTTACTGCCTGTCCTAGGAGAGATTACACTGATGTAAAACATCCTAACAGGGATATCCTACAGACAGTTTTACTGCCTGTCCTAGGAGAGATTACACTGATGTAAAGCATCCTAATAGGTATATCCTACAGACAGTTTTCCTGTCTGTCCTAGGAGAGATTACACTGATGTAAAACATCCTAACAGGGATATCCTACAGACAGTTTTCCTGTCTGTCCTAGGAGAGATTACACTGATGTAAAGCATCCTAACAGGTATATCCTACAGAGTTTTCCTGTCTGTCCTAGGAGAGATAACACTGATGTAAAACATCCTAACAGGGATATCCTACAGACAGTTTTCCTGTCTGTCCTAGGAGAGATTACACTGATGTAAAACATCCTAACAGGGATATCCTACAGACAGTTTTCCTGCCTGTCCTAGGAGAGATAACACTGATGTAAAACATCCTAAAAGGGATATCCTACAAACAGTTTTTCTGTCTGTCATCCTAACAGGAGAAGCCTACAGACACAATGTTGGCCTTATGAATACCTGGTAATTACCTGTATAATGTTAAACCTGAGTGTCCCCACTTGGGTTGTCTACTTGTTTCGTGTACTCTATTCGCTCCACCGAAAGGTTGGGGTCCATGTTTGTTACAGAGCGGATGGCTGCTGCCAGAAGCTGGAAAATTCAAACAAGAATCATAAGTTAGTGAATATTACCTTTGATTTTATAGTGGGATATTTGACAGCAATGAGGTAATCTGTAGTAATTCATTTGTTAAAAGATCATATTGCCCATCCAATTAAAAAACTATCCATTGTTTCAGAGTAACAATGAATTCAAAATATAATCTAACAAGACAAAGGGACATCACACTAGTTCACATACTTCGTCGTGGTCGATGTCATTGTCTCCATCCTCTGTGATGATAACTTTCTTCTCCATTCGTGTTTCGACAACACCATTTGTCTCGGCTCTATACTGTAAACAGAATAAGATTCAATCTTACTTCTTTGTTCAATATGATTAATATCTTGATAAAATGCTATTATTTTAGAGTTAGATTTCCAACCTGTCCTTGTTACAACAAAGAAAAACCTCACCCTGCTACAATTCTGATTTAGCACAGTCAGTTCTAAAATAACACAAAAGCCAATACTTCAAGAGCGTTTTCCCAAATAAAGCATTATTTCTTTAATTTGATCCTGCCTTTTATTAATTTGAAGTTACCCATTGTACTGATCAATTTTCTTTATGCCTCATTTCCCAAATAGTATATTAAAAGCGAGAATAATTCACCACAATTATGTGAGTGTTAAGCTACCATTGCAAAGTACTTTCAAGAAATTTTATTATTGGAACAAACAAGCAAAGGACATAGTATTCTCTCGATCTGTTGTTTAAAGTCTATCTGAACACAATGTGAAGTGGGTGGCAAAGGTTCAATGTGAACAGGGATTCACAAAGTCAACAACACATAAGGTTACAGGGTATTTCAGAAAAACATAAAACACAACTTGGTAGGAATAACAGGAGGTCATGTCAAATTTAAAATTTAAAAGTTTTATCTAGAGATTATCTAATGTGATTAAACTAATTCTACTCAGTTTTTTTTTCTGTATAGTTTTTTCCAATCGTGTAAATCATGTTTTAAATGGAAATATTACATATACACCAAATGATTACATACTTTCTATCAATGATTCACATGTAAAGCAAGGAAGGCAAGCAAAGGCGAAGCATGGAGGGTAGCCACAGTGAAAATGGATCACAAGCAGTCACTATACATATCATCTCCCAAGTCCAATTGGTAGAATTACAGTGTCAGAACAAAGACAAGATCTTTGGAAAAATTTGATTTTTTTTATCTGATAAAATACAGCCATCCTGACAACAACTTCTTTCTTATCTTGTATCTATCTAAATATATACATTTTGAAATAATTTCTAATTTCTCCAACATCAAAACCTATTTTTTTTCAATTCAAACAACTTTAACTATATACCCATCTCATAAGATTTCTGCTTATATGAAAAATACAGCTGATTTTAGGTAACATGCACAGCTCCTACTGATAGTCCATTAATGTCCTGTTCTTTTTACTGTATACATTTATCATGCAACTAGTTCTGTCAGTCATTCCAAATATATTAATATTAAATGCTAGATGGAAAGAAACAATTTAATTTATATCTAATGGTAAATGAATATTTTCCTTTCATTTCTACTCATAGTGAATGGTTTTAAACATAGCTATATATTCAATTACGTTGTGATAATAATAGCTCCAGATTAATGGGGAATCTTGATAGGGTTAGTATGAAGTACATATCTCTCAATTTAAAACAAAAATAAAAAGAATTAATATAATTTCTGTTAATATCTAGTTTATATATGTATATATTTACTTCCAAAACGTGACTGCAAAAGAAAGTGTAATACAGGCATATTTTATGAAGTGTCAATATGTTTATAATACAGATTTTGGAATCATTACATGCCCAAATATATAAAATAAAAATATTGTGTAAAAATACTATAAAATATCATGCCATGTCATACAAACAACTTTAATGTGACAGTGAGATGCAGGACAAATTGATCTTCAAATCCAACCACCGTAATACAAACTCACGAAATAAACAAAACCTGAAATCAACTATACCCACAGTCCAAACAACAGACGATGAATTCAAAATAACCAGCACAAAATGATTAGTATGGTAACGGGCGGGGCTTAAATAGCATGCCATTCCAATAAATCTTAGCGAATTATTCAAGATACTAACTGTTGTCGTTTCACTAAGCTGTGTTCGTGTTGAGTGTGACTGGGAACTTATCAATGTGATGTCCTCAATAGCCACTGGAACACCATCTTTTTCGTAAGTGACTGTTCGCGTTTCTGTTTTTACTATGGGGACATTTGTAGTTGCTATTGGTGTCTCCTCTGTTTCTGGGTCATACTTCCTGCTCTCGGTAGCTACTGTGGGTGGCTGCAAGCACAACACAGGGAGCACCGTGTAAGTAAATCCCTCATCATGATTGGGCAAGTGTTGCTGACCTTTCTAAACTTCATGGTCAAAAGCACCAAAGTAAATCTACCTATATTCAAATCTGATATGAACTGTTTTCATCAAGTAGGCTTTTTTAACAAATTAAAAATACTTTTAAGCAACAAAATACTGTATTCTTTTTTAAATTGAAATGGCAATATTCTAAGTATATTAGTCAATTTCTAAATGGTGTCTCATTACCACCATATATTCATTGAGCGATAATCTGAAAGACCTTTCCTTTTTTCTTCAAAGAATTGTTTTCACCAAAATTGTACACCTCTACATGTACCAAAATTTCACTCCTTTAAGTCTCAAGATATCCCAGATTTTAATCAGTTAATATGGTTAACTTCAGTTAGTCACCAGCACCACCAACAAACCATTACATCAACCCAGATATCGCCAATCTCAGCTTTCAAAGCTTATTATCTAGGAGACCTGAAAATTTTCTACATTAGTTGAATGATTTATCAAAATACTACATATATCTGAAAACTGACTAAATCATCTGGATCTTTGGTGAATGACACATAACATTGCATCACATTTCAATTAAGAAATTTTTGGAATAATTCAGTCCTATCTTTTATCACCTTATCCCACCGTATATGCATCAGTTTACACAAAACCTTTCATATCTGATGAAGACATAAATTCTGTAAACATTTAACTGACTTGATAAGATTTACAGGATTATACAGTTCCCAAGATATTACTATAAAGATTCAACCTAAACTTCAACTCAAATCATCCCTAAATGAGCTTTACTTCTCCACTCAGAGTTCCAAAATGGTAAACAACACTGAAAAGTGCTATAACTGTTACAAGAACAAAACATTTTCCTTCCTTTCATAGTTAAAGCAGAGAAAACAACCAAAGAATAGATGAAAGTGCAGATAAAGAAGGGCACACGCTTTAGTAAACGCAGCCTGGCTGTGATGAAGTGAAGAAGATTGTAGCATCAAATAAAGGAACCTTATACCAAATGACATTACTTTCACTTTCAATATATAAAGCATGACCTTCTTAAAGCGTATAGGTCAAGGCAAGGAAAAGCTGTGCTACCCTTTAAATGTTTTGATTTTAAGATTTCCTACTTTGCTGACTCAAATGTGATATTACTATTTCAAAATTCAACTTCTTGTTTCTTGTACTGACTAAAAAAATCTTAAAATGAAAAAAATTCTCCAGGTCTTTTATTTTGAAATTTGATATTTTTTAATTCATTCTTGAAATATCAGATTGCTGATTCTAATTTTGACCAATCACATTGGTTCTGGTGATACTGCTGTATGGGACAGGCATTTGTGACTGGGAAGGATATACACAACACACACATATAAAGGTATGTTAACGGTTGGGAATAATTAACTACTACATAAAGACAGTGGTAGAGGATAACACTAATCGTCCACACCAACACCAGATCTATATCCTGGACTAGTAACCTCCTCCATATAGATTCATTACTATTGATCAGCCCTGTATTACTAGCTGATCCTACCCCTACCCCCATTGACTGTATTCACAATAACCCACAATCCCTATTGATTATATCCATGATAGATAGTAACCCTACAACTGACCTATAATACTGAAATGGGATTCATAGGACATCAACATGGATGACTTCTTAATTTCAACTGAAAGTAAACTTGATATTACCATCCTTTTCTAAAAATAATTTGACAACTTAATTCATTTCTTCATCTATTGCATCCAATATTAGATTCCATCTTGTTACGGCTAGCTAAATTACCATCCAACTTAATTGTTTCTTCTCTTCAACCAAAGCTTTGTTTAAAATATGCTTCAGATGTAATTGAAGAAGTACCAATTTAACACCTCCTCATAAACCATTGCCACTCTATTCCCAAACCAATAAAAGCAATAAAATATAACAGATTCAAGTAAATATCTTACTAGAGCAGCTATTCTTTCTTCTTCTTCCATTTGTAAACGTCTATCTTCTTCTTCCTTTCTCAGTCTTTCTTCTTCTTCCCTTCTCAATTTCTCTTCTTCAACCATCTGGCTCAATCGTGCACTCTTTGGTGCGACAGGTGGAGGCACTTTTTTACCCAGAGTTCCTTCCTTTTCTGAGTTATCAGTAGTTGATGCAGGATCGAAAAATGGCATAGAACTATCCTGGGTATTTTGTTTTTCTTTTGTTTCCTGTCAATAGTTCAACATATGCATTTAAAATTTGTACAAATTTAATTGCTCTTTTTTTTTAAATGCTACTTGACCATTTCAGCAAATATGGAACACATAAGGAGTTGTCATTTGTATTGATTGCATTTAAATTGATAATTAAAAAAAAAAAAAAAATTAATGTAAAAGGCATTCCAACTGTTTTTGTCCAGAAAACATTGTTTACATATTGGTATAAACAGAGAAAAAGTGAGTTGTTAGTTGTGAAATAAAACATTTTATATAATTTTTTTTAAAAAATAAACTTTAAGATGAATAAAAACCAGAAATTATTGTTATGAATTTGGTATGAACAGACTTAAAGCAGTGAAAAAATTAAAAAGCTTTCTTAAAAGTATGCAATATAACATTTCTGAAAACATCCTAAATGAATTTTTGGGGAATTATTTTGAATATTTATCAGCATACATTGACTGGCATGCATAAGTGCAGAAGATTTTATATGACAACTGGATGACTACCGATTGCATGCTTTTATTTATTTATCATTCTACTTTGTATAATAAACATGGTGTTAAATTGTTAAATTACATGTATATAACATTAAATACAAATTAGATTTGATTTAAATTCAATCATGCTGACTTTATTGTTGCCATTTGATTGAGTTGTAATACAGTTACTTTTCTAGAATATTTGCTATGAGGAGATGTAGTCACTGTTAAAATTTTTACAATATTAAGCAAATGAATACAAGAACAGAAATGTCCAATTTGTTTGTCATGCAAGTGTTCAATTTGGTGCTGTGAAAAATATTGAAATTATAATACATCTTTTTTTTTTCACAAAACAAAACCGTGACAAGTGTAACATGTAGCTGTCATGCTCAGCTTTATGAATGACACAAAACTAAGGTCCTGACAGAATCGGTGTTCTACTGCTGTCAAATGGTTTCTGTTATTATGTGACTATGATACCCCATTTTTATCTAATTGCTTGAGAAATATTCACTTCAGGAGAAAAAGGAATAGATTTTGATGTCTTCAACCAGTAGAGCTCTACTTTATACAATCTTAATTAATGAAAGATTCGTAAAAATAATTTAAGAGGGTATACATATAAAAAATGTTCAAAATACTTAATTTTTTATCCTGTATATATTTTTTTCCCTTTATATTCCTTCTATCCCATATCATTACTGTACATGCTTCTTACTAGTTATCTTGTATGTGTCATCAAAACTTGCCAAAAACATACAATACATTCCATGATCACAAACAACGACAAATCAGCAAGGTCTAACATGTCGAGACCTGGCAACCTGACCTAATTTTAGTGTTAACTATCGCATGACCTTGTCAAGGTCATTACGTATGACTGTATGGGTGCTGAGGTATATATGGATACTCACGGATTGCTCTTCCTGTGTAATGTCATTAGTCAAATCATACGATAAATGAATTATTTCGAAATAAAAAATCAACGGTCTCATAAAGTTGATAAGAATTAATCTTAAAAAAAAAAGCAGGTTATTTTTTGGTATTTGAACTATAATTACTAATCATTTTTATATCAAAACATTTTAGTATTGATGTTACAGTTGATGCCTACCTTATAGCTTTTTAACACCATTCCCTGAACCCTTCTTTAACCTTCTTTAAGAAGTTAAAGATCAATGACAACAAAACTAAAGGTATCATGATTTTCTTAAAAAAACTTAAAAAAAAAAAAACCAAAAAAAAAAAAAAAAACCACCACAAAACAAAATAAAAAAGCCCCCAATATGATATAAAGAAAGTCTTGAAGCTGAGAATTCTTTTTAATCACATGAATGATAATCATGTTAAATAAATCTTTATGAAAAAATTGTTTTGAAATATAATGACGTATCTGTCTTTGTGTTTCAGTCCAGATATTGAATCTATTTTATCTTCTAGCTGTCACTCAACAAAAACATAACGATCAACAAGTAGACTTCAGTGTGCCTGCAACATTCCCTAATTGTTTGCAATTCACAGTTTTCGACAAACACATATTTGAAGTGAAATGTCGATGTTTAAAGCAAACAAATGTAAGCAAATAAAGACATTAAGTGTTTTCTGAGCATTTTCATATGTGTATTAATACTTCAGTCTCATATTTTACATAATAATAATACATTTCCTATAAAATGAATTCTTTAAATCATTCTGAAGGAGGCCAGTATTTTCTTTGTGCAATCAATGATTCAAAAGTGTGTCAAACTAGAAACAAACTGAATACAATGTTTATCGGTGAACAGAATTACAACAAAAGTGGTCTACACTGAGATTCGACTGTTACTTACAGTAGAAGGAGCTGTGACTGGGATAAATTGCATGCGTCGGTCAATAGAGCCCTCCTTTCCGTACGGCCAGTTACCTAGTGTAGGATCTTCCTCTGCATCTAGTCCTCCCTAAAACACAATCCACAGTGTGTGTCATGAATGATATTTATGCCCCAAATTGTCCAATTAGGTCATTAATCTCAGATTAGATAACAGCAAAATGATTGGTTAATTTAAAGCAATGCTGTAGCAAAGCCGTATTTCAAACATAATGACATTCAATCTTTATCCTAAGCATATATTTATTATGAGTAACTTGTTTTCATTCCGAAAAACATCCCACAACTTTTATCATTCCTAACTTCCATATGTTAAGAATCACTATATATAAAATTTATATCTTAACAAAAATACAATGTCAGTATTTTCTATCTTTATTATCATTATAGATACTTTAATATACTGCCATAAATGTAATGATTTGCTTTTGCAATACATGGGCAAAGTATGTTGATGGTAAAACTACACAAGTTAGTCACATGCAGATATGGTTCATACATAATTACACGGCAAGCTATGTTTATCCATGTAAATGAACTTCTGCATAGTAAATAATCAAGTGATGATACAAATGTTGTGATTCATCTAGAATAACACCAAAATGTCATTGCAATTTACTCTGTATGATGTTAGTATTATACTGTGGAAGAAATTAAAAAAAAAAAAAAGTTTTTCTGACTCAGACACATAATGAGTAAATTGTCATTAGTCAACCAATGTTTTGACCAAACGTACCTTTTGATTTGTTCAACACTGAATCACATTTTTTCTCATACAACATTTTTGACACTGAGCAGAGCTTCGTGCAATCTTTCTTAACAACGTAAAAATATTTTATATCCAATTCACATATAAACTTTCAACAAATATCATGCTGCCTTACAAAGATTTCAATTACATAAAAACAAGTAATCACATGCTTCTATGGTCTGTTGTATATACATAGATTAAATCTACTACACAATATCACTTACATTATCATATCAACTCAGCATTCCACTATCAACACACCCAACAAATGTGAAATATTGGGTTTGTGTTACGCAGTTATATTTAGCTTAACCATTTACTGTCAAAACTTTCCCCATAAAAATGTTAAAGCTTGTGCAAGAAAGCTAAACACAGGTATTACTGGAATTTATCTCCCGGAAACATTTAATGGAGAGTAAGACTTGTCCCTTTCTCTGTTAGTGCTTAATTCAAACAGCCAAAACCAAGCTTTGAGCACACAAAACCAAGCCCTGAGCACAAACCAGGTGCGTGTGAACAAAAGGGTTATGCTCCCATTTTATTGAACAAAATAGAAATTTCTCCTTCAACAACGTACGGAGAGCCCCCGCCCCCAACCCCACCCCCTCCACCTTCTTCACTCCCAAAACTAAAAATGCAAACCATTTAAAATGTATCACTCTTTTAACATAGTAAAACACAAACTTGAAAATGTTGATGACATGTTTATACCCCATTTCTAAGTAAACTTGAATCTGACCAACCATTAGAAGTAGATTCAATTGTTCTATTGTATCATTACGAATCAGAGCTCTTGAGATATGACCATGATTCAACATCAGACTCCAATGAATGTGTAATGCTATGTCTCCCTTCTTTTTGCATGTCACAAGGGAACATATTTGTTTCTCCTTATGAAGTACATTCTCATAGACTTAAATTAAAATGCACTTACATCTCGGATTAACAAGCTTGGTTAGCATAGTCATTTCTCAAAAACAAATCATGTACAATGAACATGTTAATTATTTCAATAGTTTTAAATGTTTACCTGTACAACAGGTATAAACATCAATTATAATAATTCTATATATTCATGCGAATATTTTGAGTTCTGCACCTACTGCAGTTTTGTTAATGAATTTCAGCAATAATATCAGCAATTTAAGCTAACCAGTCAGAGAGAGTATTGCATTATTGTACAATTTTGTCAAACAATCAGTTAAGAGGGTGCAACAGATACAAAATGAAAAGAAAACTGATAAATTTGCATCAAGGTTTGATAGTATACACAGAAAATAAATCACAAGTTTGTAAAAGTAAACATGTCATAAAGAATATATACACATGCATCTAACTATGATAAGGACCAACTATCAATGGTCATCATATGCATTGTACCCTAGACACAATGATCTACAGTTACCATGTAAACATGTACATGATCATAAGAATCACATCTACAACAGGTTGTGTTCACAAGACAGTCAGTAATTGAGATGCAATGCAGTTAAGTCTATGTGCTGCCAAAGTCACAAAAACTGTTATAAGATTGTGTAACTTGGTCCCAAATGGACCAAAATCACACAAAATTGAGACGATATTGTTGGGAAATCAGTGCAGAAATCAGGTCCAGTGGCTATTAATAGACCTGCGTGCTGCCGAAATTGAATTTCAAGATATCAGTTGAAATCAGTAAAGAAATCATATGAAAACAACGGAGAGGGACCAGGCAGGGTGTTTGAATTGGACATGCACGAAGTTGTGTAAGGGTCAAACCTCTGAACTCAACCCCTCCGAAAATTCAGCCAAGGGAGCACGAGGCTCCTGCGGAAAGTGTTCACCCTCTGTACTGGTCGCAGATGAAGATGACGAGGATTTTGCTGATGAGGTTGACATAGACCTAGGCTGTTCATTTTCTACAGGCTGAAGGAGAACGAAGTGCGCCATTTATTGTCAAAAGTTTCTCTGGTCTATTCTTTATACTGTTCATACTTTATACACTACCATTTCGTGATGTCAGATATATGAAACATCCCATTAAGCAATGACGGTATACAACTATATCAGATGCTTTATGATATGCAGTACTTTCTGACATAGTTTCGATAGCTTTGAGTTAAATGCACATTAGACAGTTTAGGTAAAGCCTGATACCTAAAACAAGAGATCATAGTTGTGATTCAGATAAAATAACTAGCAATTTATGTAGTTTTTCCGTCCATAACCTATAAACTAACTATATAGCTAAAACCCTGTAATAGAAACAAAATACAAGGAAAGTGAAGGAAATAAAAAACCATCTCCAATAACAAACTGGGCCTTACCGTTAGAAGCAACACAAGCTTTACTGAACACAAGCTAGGTCATCTCAAATCTGTTTCAAAATTATCAGAATTCAAATGGAAAATGCAATGTTTTTCAGTATCTATCAAGCAAGTCCAATTTCAGACCATTGAATAACGTAAATTTTGTGTGAACAGTAATGGTGCTTCAAACAAGAAGACCTAGCATTCAAACAAGAAACAAATTTATAAACAAAACAGCATGGTATATGAAACAGCAAAATATTTCATATCAACAGAATCAACCAATAAAACTAAACATTATCAATCCAATTAAAAAAAACTGCATGAAAGGTTAAAGGTCAAACTGTAAGCATGCCTCTGGAACTGAAAGAAAAACTGGAATATATATAATGTTAGTGAATTATGGTTAATTCATCTGGGATGAGTAGTAGCTACCTTCAGAAAATCATCAGTAACAGACACTAGACGACAGTGGTACAGATTTGTACAACTTTTAATTCATATTTGGTTAAGAGAACTGTTAGTAATGCAGTATCTTGAATTGTAATTTTTTTTAAACTTGATGCAAAACATGCTTTGTGAATTGATTGGCTCAATTTTCATATTTTTCATCTTCTATTAAAAACCATACAAAATTACACACAAAAAACCCCCATTTTAAATCAATATTAAATTATTATCCATCAATACCCTATTTCTCTTTAAGGCCTAATTATACACTGCATTCTTAACACAACAGAAATCCTCCAAGTTCAGAGTCTACTATCATGCTATCTTTGAATATCTCATAAAACTACGAAATAGCAAAGGTAGATGTGGACAATGTTCCCAAGCTGACAGATCCAGAAAACCCCCTATATCCACAAACTTTAACTTAAGATGGCTGCAAGCAATGGAATCATCATGCCTAAGTATGCAAAGTAGATCAAACCTTGGCTGCAGCAGCAGCTTGCCTCTCTTTCATCTCAGCGAAACCGGGCAATGCCCATCCTAGGCCAACTCCCCTCTGAAATACAACTTGTCTGTTAGTAAGCATTGTTACAGAAAATGAACCCGTCACCTGAATTTTATAGGGCCAGATCATGAAAAAATATTACACTGGTATCTAAATGAAACATTCCCTATAATTGTTTTATAGAAATATCGCAAATAAACATTTTTTCAGTGAAGAAAGAAAAAAAATATGAAATATAAGGAAGAGCATGTAGAATGAAGATACACAGTGAATGACGATAGTAAAAGTTTAGAAATGATCATGACACTAGAGATATAATTTTTCTTTGTCATATTGAACAGATGCAATGGATGTAGTTATTATAATGTGTACCAGTTATACAAACATATTGAAAAGTTAGTCAAGAGTTAGATAACATGCTTTTCTGTTACATAGAAATTTAAAGTTTAATCAGTTAAATTTTCAGTGATCCTTCATGCTATAATTATGTTTTCTTCATTTACACAAATATTAGACAAAGACAATTTTGATTCAATAAAATTTGTTTCATTTCAGGAATCATTTTTACAGCAAAATTACTTTACACAAATTTAGCACAGACAGTTTTTTTTTTTTTTTTTTTTTTATATAAAATTCAATAAAACTCTTCTTTTTATAGTAAAAACTTTCTTCTTTTTATAGAATCAAATTTATAGAAGCAATACTTTAGTTTATAACCAATATTTTCCTCTTTATCAAAACAGATAACGATCACACTATAAGTAATAGAATGATACATCTTTCTGAATCTAGAAGTTTTTCTATAGGTACAGAAATACATGCTGTTATATACAATGTTAGAATTCAACACAAAAATTAAAGTTGAATGAAGGAAGATGACTAACTAACTATCAGGGCCTACAATGTTAACAAATTGTTATTAAACCAAATTTTTCAAAATTTAAATTTTTAAAAATTTCCTGAAAATTTACGAATCATTTTTGTTTTTTACATTTGAGTGATATTTTTAATTTTTCAAAAAAAAATCTAATTTGAAATTTCAAATGTTTTGAAAGTGTGTCAATTTGCTTTTTTTTTTAAGGAGGGTTGGGGGGTGGGAATGTTAATTTATGATAATCAGACAACTTCAAACAACAGGCTTCCAAATGTTGGTGTTAGAAAAAACACAAAAAGGTATATTAAACACACTGGACTGACATCTATAACAGAAAGGTAAAGAAGAAAAAGTTAGATACGAGTAAATAGGATGTCTGAAAGTAAATTAGTGCTATCTATAATATTGATAAGTCTTATTGAGCAATCACACAGCTTTCTATACTAATTCTGAAAAAAAGGATAATTTTCATTACAATCAACAGACATCACATCATTCAGAGGGCTGCAGTCAGCAGGCAAAAAATAGTAAGGAGACAACCTGCTTTGGACTCACATTGGCCTCCTCAGCTTCTGCTGGTTTAGGTTCCTAAAAAATGAAACACAACACATTGACCTATGAAAAACCAAAATCTTAGAAGTAATATGAAAGATAAAAGTGGCTATGTTCAAACTGCTGGACAATCTTGCTGGAGAGGAAGGGTGTGATACTTGAAAATTTTAAAACAGGTTCAGCCCTTTTGAAAAAAAAACTTCATTGAAAGTAACCGTAAGTTAATCCAATAAAGAAATGACTTTCATATAAAACTCTCATATTTCAATATCTCTTAAGTCAATCTCGTATATTAAGGAGACAAACAATAAAAGGAATAACAACCTCTGACTCCTTTGGTTCTACCGTGACCCAAGGTTCTGTTGGCATCTCCTCTGCTGGGGCCTCCTCTACCTCCTCTTGGTCACTATCGGCTTTTTTAGCTCCAATGAAACTAAAGCAACCAGTTGTACTGTCTTTCTTTTTGTCTTCTTTTTTAGGTTTTTCCTTTTTTTCTTTTTTCTTCTTTTTTTCCTTTTTGGCTTTTTTACCTATTTTTGTTTCTTTTGCAACATCCACCTCTACAGTTTCCTCTTTTGTTTCCTGAACCGTTTCTTCATCAACCTCAGCTGTTGCAGCTGCTTCTTGAGCTTGGTCCTCTGTGTTTTCTTTTATTTCTTCTTTGTCTTCTATCACTTCTTCCTCTTCCTTGCCCCTCCTCTGCACCAATGCAGCAGCTAGCTCAATCTGTACAGGGTCAGCCTTGGCCTCTGCTTCTTCCTTATCCTCCTCCTTATTTTCCTCTCCAACTTCTTCATCCTTTTTCTCTACTGCAGCAGCAGCAGCTGCCATTGCCTTCTTTTCTTCCTTTTCTTTCTTCTTTCTTTCCTTTTCAAGTCTTTTTTGTTCTTCCTTTTCTTGTTTCTCTTTCTTTTTCCTCTCCTTCTCAATTTTCTTCTGCTCTTCTTTTTCTTTTTTCTTTTCTTCCTTTTCTTTTTTAATTCGTTCTTTCTCCTTTTGTTTTTCTTCCTTTTCCCGCCTCTTGAGTTCCTGCTTGTCGACCTGATCATCTGCCTCTTTGCTTTCTGACACTTTACTTGGACCAGCCTCTGCTTGATCCTTGGGCTGATTCTCAGCCTCCTCATTAGTTACTACCACAGGAAGAATTATCTCCCCTTTGACAACCTCATGGATAACTTCATCTGCTGTTTCCAAACTTTCTTGTTTTTGTTGCTGGACTGCAGTTTTGTCTTCTTGTACTACATGTTCCTCTGTGTTGTGTGGAGGTGAGTCCTCCACGGGCACTATTGTCTCCACACATGCCACCACTTCTGTGACCTTTGGGTCAGGTTGCTCCTCTTCAACTGGATTTTTCGCCGATTCCATACAGACCTCTGGTGATACCGAAACTTCCTCCTTGGCTGATTTTTCTTGGTTAGTCACAGGAACAGTTTGTTCTGTCGGTCTGTTCTCTGCGACAATGGCTTTTTCATTTGTGTCTGAAGCATCTGTCACAATATTTTCTGTAGAAGATACTGTTTCTGCTTTTGTTACTAATGCTGCCTCAACCTTCTCAGCATGTTCTGCTTCTGTTTCGAAAACTTCATCTTCAATATTTTCATCTGGAATAATCTGCTCCGACTTTTCCACACTTGCTACAACTACAGCTGGTGGTTCTATTTGAACTTCTTCTGCGGTTCCTCCTTTATTCATCTCATTGACAATCTCTTGATCAGTAACCTTGACATCATCTACTGTTTTGACCTCTGCTTCTGTTTCCTTGACAACCTCCATGACAACATGCTCCTCTTCCTCTAGCTGAGGAGGGGCAGCCGAAATAATGATGGTGGGAGATGTTATAGGAGTCTCCTTAACTTCTACAGAGGTATCTGCCTCTATTGGGACACACTGATCAAGAAACTTCACTTCTTTCTTTTTGTCGTTTTTGTTGTCACTGTCCATGCAGGATTCGTTGGGGACAGGGTCAACACTACTTCCTTCATCTCCTGCATCTTTAGTGTTGGTTTCCTGATTAACATAGAGCAAAGGTCACATAATGAGTGACACTCTAGGTCACAGGGTAGCTATCAGTGTTGGCCATGCTATCTACATCAACGGCACTGTCATGCTGGGGATTCTTCACACCACAATGTCACACTGTCATGCTAAGGTCATTTTGACCTCTGGAGATTATCCTCATTTGGCAAGTTATCATTCTGGTAGTCATGCTGTGGTGTTTACTGTACCGTGTGGTCACTCATGGTTTGAAATATTCATGCTGTGGGATTGTACACAGAGGATAATACTTCCTGTTCAATCACTTGACATAGGTGACTATGTAACTATCCACACTCTGTATCAGATTAGCTAGTATCATCTGGTGGATTCACAATGCATGACAACAACACAGTAGTGTCTCCATTCCCACACACTAAGGGGTAAGTAGTTGTATCTATAATCTTATATCATCCATCTCCTTAAGGATGTGTATAGCCATGCTGATTATCAGTCTAATGTTTCCTTAATTAAAAAACATGTCAATCAATACAAAGACAGGTACTTGATAATCTGCACAGTCTCACAATGTCATGCTTTAGGCAACACTTGTGTAGTACCTTGTAAACACACACATTACGGTCTTTGTTAGAACAAGATTCTTGTTATAAACTATCAAATTTCATACTCTTATATCTGTATCCAAACCATGCTGGTCAAAGGATGGTTTTAATTTTGTAAGCATATATTCACAATCCTTGTACAAACTTCGAATGGCTTATCATAAAATTGCCATTTTCACCACATCGTGCAGTGGCTGGGTGGGAGTCGGTGGGTTTCATGAAGCACAGCACAGCATGTACAGCTATTTCCTGTCTGATTACATGAACACACAGGATTAATGTCACACTGGGTATTGTTTTGATATGTAATATTGAATCATTCTGTTCAACATGCAGGAATAAACTTGAATAAACTACATCTTAAAGAAAGACTTCCAATACATCCTTGTTTTAATATGTTGATTGAACCTTAAGCAATGTTCAAATATTTGTTGTCTTCAATCAAGAATTTTGTCCTGGTAATTTTAACATAAAACAGAATGAAAAAATTCTGTGCAGCATTCCCGTAATAAATGTATACTGATCTTTGTCTCCCACTGAAAGTCTTAAAGCTTTGGTGCATCAGTCTTAATATGATAAGGTTAATAATGCATGCTATAATTTCAAACTTCAAGTCAAATCCACTCATGCCAGCAATTTGACTTGATGCATCCATGATTCAGCAAACTCCTTTGCTAAACAAGAAACAATGAAAATTCTTAATTGTTGCCAATGACTAAAATGCATTAAAAACTACATAACACGAGTAAATATGTATATGTGCATGCAGTATACATTTTTTAACAACATACAGGAGTGCTGAAACAAAAAAAATTATCATTAAACATGTACACGTTTACAATTCTTCTGTAAAACAAATCAGTGAATCCTGTCTTAAGTAATCCTGTAAATGAACTGTGTCAGTGATTCTGTAAGTGAATCCTGTCCGAAGTGAACATGACCCTGTCCAATCTTGTTGATTCTAACATGGTAAGTCAGAGTTCAACTCCTATCATTACTTATACATGTCATATCAAATCCTTTTTCTCTTTGATATATCTTCTACTTCATATTTGATAACCTGTATCTAAAAAGAGCAGCCATAACTACAACAGTACAGAATTATATTGTACATCCTCCAAAAAAAAAAAACCTGTCATATCTTCCTCCCTCTGCCAACCCTCCAAAACCAAACCTCTCATATCTCCCTCCCTCACCCAACAATCCAAAACCAAACCTGTCATATCCCCCTCCCTCTCCCTTCCCTCCCAAACCAAACCCGGTCACAACTTGTATTTGTAGAATGAACATATGTCCCTGTTGTCAAAACAAATCTATACTGTAGAAAGATCATTTGTATATTGAAAGCATGCTTAAGCCAAAAAGGCAAATTAGGGGAGAAAATAAAAATAAAATTGCTGATATCATAAAACCACCATCACCATGATGTACATTGAAACAATGTACATGAAGCAGTAAGGTTAAAAAAGGCTGTTGGAAAACAGCTAAGCTTGCCTATTCAAGTTTTCATTTTTAATCCAGTACAAAATATGTGAAAAAAAAATGTTTTGAGCACACATGAATTCAGCTAGTCAATACCCTCATTCACGACTTTTATCATTCTGGTAAAAAATGTCTTAAGATACTCATGAGTGTATAATTCTTTTAACCAATATTTCAAAATAGTGATAGAAAAATATCAATCTGTACACAATTGTATATCTTGTTTGTACGACTGCGACAATGTCCAACTTCAACAGTGCCAAATACATATTACATTTTAATGAATTTCAACATTTTTAGCCAACTTTTTCCTCAATGTTTGCTTTCATTGAGTTGTCATACTAATTATTTTTGTACAAGAATTTAAAAATTAAAAATTATACTGATTTTTGTTATGTATTTTTAGGGAAAGGGTTTAAAAGGCTAATCCTGATACTTTCCATTTTTTGCATATATCCTAAGCACATATCATAACTTTTTTTCTAACTCTACCTTTCATACTAGGAATAATGACAACTATTGAACTTTTCGTTTAATCTTAAAGAACTGTTATTAATGTAAGTTATTCTGAATTGTTACACCTTGATACTACAAAAGCTTTAGGGGGGGAAAAAAGGGTATACACACATTTTAATTTGGAAGTCACCATGTCCCACAGAGGAAGAAAGAAGCATTACATGGGATCTAGTAAAAACTCCCATAGTTGTTGAGAAACCTTAGGTGCTGGTACGCATAGAGAATATACTATAATAATGCACTATATTTGCCAATAAATGCCACTTGTCAAGCAGATAAATTACAAGGATTAATCTGTCCTTTTTCAAGCAGATATCTGACAAAGATTAACCTGTGTACTGAAGGTGCCCTCTGGTGTAGGTGGTTCTACTGTGACTTCAGGGGGAGGTATGCCAGTAGGTGATGAAGGCTCACTTCCAGAGTGACGGTTTTTGGAATCCTTTCGCTTTCGTCCAAGAAACCCTTTCCCTTTCTTGTCCTTATCTTTATCCTTGTCTTTCTTATCTTTATCTTTGTCTTTCTTATCTTTTTTACCCTTTTTCCCTTTCCCACCAGGAGAAACAGGTTCTTCAACTTCAAACTCAAGTTTGTCCTTGTCATCAAGGTCATGTTTGTCCTTGTCATCAAGGTCATGTTTCTCGTCAGGAACATTCTTATCCTTATCATCATCATGTTTCCCTTCCTTATTGTCATGTTTATCTTTTTTGCTCTTTTTACCCTTTTTGTCTTTCCCGCCAGGAGAAAGGTCATGTTTATCTTCGTCATGTTTATCCTTTTTGTCCTTCCCACCAGGAGAAAGGTCATGTTTATCTTCGTCATGTTTATCCTTTTTGTCTTTCTTACTTTTCTTCCCTTTCTTTCCCTTCCCACCAGGAGACACTGGTTCCTCCATCTTTATCTCATCCTTGTCATCCTGATCTTTCTTATCCACATTTTCTTCAACATTATCCTTTTCATTTCCCTGTTTTTATTTTTGAGGAAATTGGTTTTATATTAATCTATTTTCAAATTAATTGTATTAATTTCAAATGCTATCAATATATATCTGTTCTTTGTTATTGATTTGAACTTGTAATTCTATAAAAAAAAGCTTGTTTTTTTAGTCCAATGAATAATTTATACTCTTTATACTCTACAAAAATTTTAGTTCTTTGTTTATGTATTACAACATTTTTTGTATATATTCTCAAGGACCTGTCAATAATTTAATGATATAATGAATAAATAAAGAAGTATGTTTGGATGTAATAAATGATTATTACAGTTTTCTGCATCTGTTCTGGTGAATCTCCACCTTCATGGGGAGGTACAGCATACATCATTCCCTCCTGTGTAACAAGTAGGAAAATACACTATCCGAATATCAATTCTTAAACTTTAACAAAATGAAGTAAAACTTTTCCTTAAATTTTACAAATATTACAATACTATTGTTATCTAGCATCTAACATATTTACTGATATCAATTAAAATGTTTCTGTGAACTAGCAAGTACTGACCAACTATATATCTAGCTATTATACCTGCTACATGGCTATACAATAAAGAAAAGACATCTATTTACCCTGTAACTTTAATTCTATGTTTGCTGCATTGATACCACAACAAAGGGCAAATATAGCTCTATTAGGCCCTTGACCTACGTAACCTCTGAAGATCAGAGGTATGCAGTTTGACATTCCCTTGCAGTGGCAGTCTGTTTTACACAGAAAGCTGAGAAATGGACCAGACTGTGCTGTCATGGTTGTGTCCGCGGGCAAGACACTCCAATTGTACTAGATGGCATGTTATAACAGGACTTCTGTTTTATGTTCAGTGAGGTAGACACCAGATACTATAAGGAGACTCTGCCTCAAATTGACCGCAATTGTACACAGGGTGACACACCCAGCAAACAAGAAACCTTTACACAATATAGCATGGTCTTGCTCCATTTGTTTTTTTCTTTTGAATAAACATTGTAATTTTTAAAGTTTAAGACTCTACTTAAATATAATGAGACTAACAAAAACAAATGAAATATTTTACATTCTTTAAAATTCTAGATATCTTAAAATTTATCTTATTTTTGTTTTTTGTTACTTTATTATTTCAAGTAAAAAAGTTTTTTTCAAATTCAAAACTTTGTTTTCAAATCCCATCACCTATCACTGTAAATGCATCCAAATCACCATGAATTATAAGGTTTATGACATGATGAGAAAAAAAACAGATATTTAATTAGTTAGTGACACAATCATTGTCCACAACCAATCCATATATGATTAAACAACAAACCAAACCAGATCCCAGCATATTCCAACTCATGTAAAACACCACATCTCATAGCAATTCTTATGAAGGTAAAATGTGAGTAGCACAACTTTCTTTTCAAAATAATTGGAATCTATTTGTTTCCAACCGTTAATGAAAAAATCAGGATGAAATACACTAATAATAACAATAAGGAAAAAATTAAGAAGAGAAGGTAAAAAAAGAGCAAAAGTTTAGACAACGTGAAAGTAGTGGACAAAAGCTAACAATTATAGGGACTTCAACACATGGTTGCTCTCTAACCTGAAATAAGATGATTCTGAAAAAAGGACTTTGACAAAAAAAGAAAGATCTGAGGAATGTCTTTGCCATGTAGAAACTTACCCTTGGTAGTGTAGCAGCATCTCCATAACTGTCTCCTGGCGCGGTTTCTGTAGCAACTCCTTCACCCTAAAATGACCGCAAATATACATCTGTTATCATACAATCTACATACTTTACAAAGTGTTTTATTCTTTTTATAACAAGCAAAGTAGACTTTTGCTATCTCTAGATATTTCCTGTCAAAAAACTGCCAACTAGTAAAATGTAATGTTAAACACAAGCATCTAAGGAGACATTGCTTAATTTCTCTATATCTTTTGAATAAAAGTATACACATCTCTGGAGTCTTAAAACAGTGGTGATTAAATCTATTACTGAGTCTTGTCTCCGTCTACTCACTAATCTATCACTTCTGTCTTCTGATGTTGATTTATTGCCCTCTTTTTCTTTCTTCTTTCTTTCTTTTTCCAAACGTTTTCTTTCTTTCTCCTCTTCCTTTTTCCGTTTCTTCTCCTCTTCTTTTTCTCTCTTTTCCCTTTCCTTTTCCTCCTTTGAACGTTTACTCTTTCTCCCAACGTTTGTTAGGCCTACACCAGCATCAAGTTCTGCGGTATCTCCAGTGCCATCAGGGGCAGTCATAGTGGCGACCTATGACAAAAAATTGAGAACAATAATAGAGGTAGGCTTAAAGGGGAAAGTTAAATTTTTAATGTGAGTGGTAGTTTTGTGGGTAAAACTTAATACTTTATGAAGAGGCAACCTTGTGTAGAAAAGTCATAATTTTGACAATAGATGTAACTCTGTGGGAAAACGTTAACACTTTACCAATAGATGTAATTGTGATTGTTAATCATTCTGTATCATGCTGTGTAGAAGTCACCTGGTATTAACGGTCATTTCTTTAATGAACTTTAAGATGAAGACAAACTAACATGTATTTGATTCTTTTGTTAATGTTAGAGGCAGAATATTACCAACACTGACAAAGTAATCTGTAAAATTAAATGAAATAAAAATACAAAAACATTTTTAGACTTTTCTCTACCTAGAGTTACATTTCTGCATAACAAAGCTATGTTCTCATTATCCTACCTTGTCCCTTTCCTGGTCAAGTCTGTCCTCGGACTCATCCCCTGGGGGTCCGCTTGGGCGGTCTGCATGTGTTTCATCACCTGGTGCTCTCTGGCCTTGCTCATCCAGCTCTCGTGAGGAATAGGGAGGTGGCCCTGCATTGGCAATGGCATCAGGATCACCATACTTTTTGTCCATTCTGTCGTTCTCGTCCAGTGGATGGTCAGAGTTTTTCTTGCCATAGTCTGTACGTGGTAAAATCAGTAGTCAGATACTCAAAAGTGACCAGTAAAATATTCAATTTTGTCTCAACCTTAATACAAGCACTGGCATATTCAAATGAAACTTCAGAGAAAAAAAAACATTGGAAGATGAGGTTGTCTCTAAAAAGTGACCTAAGCATTAAATTAAAACATTACCTTGGACTTGTAAATACAGAATATGTCTCTGTATATTTAAATGGGGCAAGGAAAATCAGAATTTAATATTTCTGTAACAGAAGAAATCTGAATCCAAGGATATTATCTCAGAGATTAGCTACATGGTTTTAACCAGGAGCTTATTTTCAACAGGAGAACCCAGAGGGATCTTGTCATCCGCCATCAATGATATCAAATCATTTTCATAGGACAAATGTTTCAAGAAGACTTCTCTGATATCTCTGAGATTTAGCAATATGACATTAAAGGTTTAAATCTAAAATGGCCACTGATGGACAATTTGAGAATCCAATCATTCTGAAAATGTAGTATCCACAACAAGAACACCTCCATATATTTTTAAAAATACTATAATCATTAGATTCTGTGAACTCAATGGCACTTAACTTTCACATGTTGACTATGACAGATTTTATAACACTGAGAAAATATATTTGTATTTCCCAGTTGTGAGAAATACCATTACTCAGACACCAATGGAACTTAACAGAAATCCTTATGAAATTAATAACAAATTTAAAATACTGATGATTTACAAGGAAATCTGTTCTTCAGTTATCAAAGTGGTAGGGTGGAGCAGTTGTAACACATCTCACCCTTTCACCCAGGAACCTGGCTTCCAATAACCAATCAGACATGAAAAGGTGTAGGGGTACCTGTTACATAATTTATGTGAGTTTTTCCTGGGTACTCTGGTTGCTGCCTACATTTCAATCCAGAGCAGCAACAAGTTATAAGCTTGTTTAAAATTTGTTTTCAAATACAGTTAGTACAGTAAATATTAGTTTCTTGCAAATGATTTCAAAAGAAAATTATCAACAAGTATAAAAGACTTTTTTTTTGACAGAAAAATGAAGATACTGATCGGATTAATTTTTTTTTTTACAAAAATCATACCATCACTATCATTTAGTTTTGCAGATTTATCCTCTGGATATGGCATAGATTTGTTCTTAAAGTGTGTCCTTTCAAACTCAGGCTTTGGTCGTTCAACAAGATCTGTTCTGTCCTTCAGCTGTTTCTGTGTGCGACCAGAGTATCTGAACTTGGAATTGAAACGAGGGAATAGAGTCCCTCCTTTAGGAGCTTCAGCTTCTTTTAACCTGTAAAACACACGGTAAAAATCATCATATTTTACACCAGTTTCCTAACTTTTACAAAAACTTCAGATAAGAAAGTGTGAGTGATGTGGGTTGTAGAAATGAACATGTAACTTAAATAAATAAGTAGTATTTGTACACTAGGCTTTATTGTTTAATGTCAAAAACTAAAGTTACACCAGAACATGTGTTTTTTCACTAAGCTCATCCTTTAACATTAATGATAATTTCAAAACCTGCTGATTTGTTTACTTAAGGTTATTTTTAAATTACAATTTCATACTGAGAAGCTATCATGAATTGTCCAATCTCTCTCCTTTGTTTTGGTACCTATTATACTTTTTGCCTAAAATTTATGGACATTTCATTTCAACTTTGACATCCTTATATTCATAATGTAACATCAGTCAATGTTGATTATCAAAGAAATTTATTTAAAAAAGGACGAAGAGGTTTTTTCTAGTCAAAGGGAGATAACTGACAAGAAACCACTTACCTGAAAAATGTGTGGTGTTCAACACATGTTTTCCATAACCGCTTGGCCATTTTATGGTTAACTAACTTAAAACATATCATGTTTTCAAATGAATCTTTCTGAAATATGAAAATAGAAATCTGTCTTAAAATGTTATCATGTTATATGTAAAATTGTTTCATGAATTGCTAGGCTATATTCAAATATGGTACTTCTACAGATGTATTTCATATCAACAGTTCGATTTTCAAGTTTTTTCTTTTTATACAAGAATAGCACTTCAGTATAAAATGTATATAGTTTAGATATACCAAGTAAAATATCTGGTTTTGAAAATTAAAATATTCTTTACCTTTGGAGAACAAGCCAGAAAAAAAATTGGATGAATTTATGCCTACAATAATAGTTTAAAGGACAAACATAAGTGCTGATACTAGTACTAACCTCTGTTGGACGAATTTTGATGTAGAAGTTATTGCGTTTGTATGACAGTTTGAGAATTTTCGGCCACACAAATCGGTTTATCCTAAGTTTGTCTTTGTACACCATCAAACCACTGGAACATACGCCTAATGCAATCTCCACCTTTTCTGAATCCTGTGGAACATAAAATTAATGTATCATGGGTCATATGTCCTCAAAGATTCATCCAATCAAAACAGGTCACATTTGTTTCTATGCTGAAATCTCCCCAAAAAGAATGGCAGCTCTGAAAGCTATTAATGTCCCTAACTCCTGCTAAGTTTTATATCAAATAAGAACTGAGAGCTATCAAGTTTATGGTTGGACATAGGACCCAAATTCATAATGTGACATACCAACATCAAGGGTACCATTATGGAAAGTTTAGTAATTATATGTGAAATTGTTCAACAGAAATGAAATGTATTTTTTCATAAACTGTAAGGGGCTATACTTTTGCGAAATTAATTACTTCTCTAAATTATCACCTGTCAAATATACTTTAATTTAAATTAATTTCACTGAACAAACACTTATTTCTAAATCACTTACCATAGCTTTGTGAATGTCTACCCCATACATTGCTAACTTCTTTGCATTTTCTAGAAACATTCCTTCGGCCTCTTCTGGTGATTGTCCCCTGTAAACAAACCAGAGAATGTTGTATAATACATTTCTTAGTAATCATTAACAGTAACCATTCCAGTGACTTTTGACTACAAAGTACAAAGCATCTAATGGCCATAATGACTATCTAAAGATAAACTGTTGTTTCTTTTTAATATCACCCAATAAAACATCAGAAACCGACTGTTAAACTGGCCACGGCATTCCTGACAACCAAATATTTTTTACTTTACTTCAAATCCATTTTTCCATAAATCACTTAAAAATTATCTTTCCACTTATATCTCAAATTGATTTAACAAAAAAATGAAGAATAAATCACCCCTTTCTGAAACCAATTCAAGTATTTGTACAATAGCTATCCTGAAGTAGATCCAGGGGACAAAACGTAATCTCTGCCTTCAGTCATAGTGTGGGTTTAGTAAACAACAATGAAATAGTTTCTGATAGTATTTATCTTGTAAACACCAATACATACGGATATATTTTTTTTACTAGGGATAAATAACTGGATAAATATGGTAATATAAAAAAATTCACTCCAAATGTATTTCACTTTTTGTGATGCATCCTATGAAATAGCAACTGACTGTAACTATCTTCTAAACATTTAATATATAGGGACGGGATTATTACCAGGGATAAATTACTGGATAAATACGGTAATATAAAAATTCACTCCAAACATTTTCCAGTTTTTATGATGCATCTTAAATATCTCTACTGTAATCTAATACAGGGATAAGCTCATATATGATCTTCAATATACAGCCTGTGATGTTTGAAATTTAATTTAATCAATGTCTCTATAAATGTTTTAATGATGCCATCCATTTTATAGTGACTTATCAGTCATTGATATTCATCCTAAATATAATCCTATACATGTGAAAAGCCTGTCAGCATGTTCCCAACCATCAAGCTTCATGGATGACGATCAGTTATCATGATATTCATCTCACATTCTTTAAATGTCAGTTATAATCTAGCTCTAAAGCTACGTTATCTCCACACTATTACTACACAGTGAAATGAAATTTTAGATATGTAGAGAAGATTCGACAGAACACAATTTGGCATTTCCATTCTTTCAGAATTATAACATAAAGACAGAATCAATTATTGATGTTATGTTTATATAAAACATATGTAAAGAAAGCTATCTCTGGTAAGGCATCAGAAATGTCAAGTCAGATCACTGCCTGTAATAAGTCCACTTTCTACTATAGGTTTGTTTATTGGACTTATCGCCTTATGAACAGAAAGGTCAGGCCGGTAAAGGGGGGAGGGAGTGTGTGTGCATGTGTGTGTACGCATGCGTGTGTCTGGGCGTGTGTGGGTGTGTGCGTGCATGCATGCGTGTCTCCTTGTAGTAGCTGCTGACTAATATACTGTGAACAACATACAGGAGGCCCATCACATGTTATCATGATCAATTAGGTTAATGTGTTTTATCCCAGTACACAACCACCACAGTACAGACTTGTCCATTGTAACATAATTTGTTTTATTCCTATCCATTTGAAAATTGAGGACCAAATGTTCATTTCTCAAAAACCTATATGTTGCATACTTGTGTGTTTTATGGAGTTCATGTATCTTTTTTAGAAGATCTGGAGTCTGTTTCTGTGCGAAGTCAAACTCCTCCAGGTAACCTTGTGCACATTCGACTGGATCATAATCACCAAGCTCTGCCTGTACTGTGTAGGACCCAAGCAGTGCATGTGTTACTACTGAACATGGCAATCTGCAAGAATAACAACTTGTTAGTCAAAAAATACTGCAACATTTTCAACCATGAAAAACAGAATTTTGTAATACATTTGTTCTTGGACTATTTTTTTTTTTTTAATTTGGAAATTAAAACGATGATGTAACCTGATTATGTACATTTAAATATCATATAAAATAGTAAAAACTAATTGACTTCATTCATAAAATTTTCATCACAATCTTGTGAGAAATGTTGTCTAAATTCAGGAAATATTTATTGATCAATTGCAATTTTACTGAGTTCCAAAATCGAAATACGAACTTATGATGACAGTGAAACGATATGAACGTTACTTACTTTCCATTATATAAGTCAACTCTGACTTGTAGGCATAACTGGTATCTACAAACAACAAATCACATATCAACTCAGTGGTACTGTACAACTACATAATCTGAAATCTTACAAGGTACATGTTTTCTTACATAATTCTAATTTTTTGAAAAACAGTGTCTATCAGTGAAAATATGAGTGAAGAAATGCACTGACAATCTTGTGAAATACTGTATGAGCCAATATTCTGAATACTTTAGGGGAAAATGTTTTTTGAATATAATGTAATCAAATTACTTTGGATTATTAGGAGACTTTGATTGCTGAATTTATATGAACTTTTATTATTCTAAAATGAATATTTTTCAATTTAGTTAAGGAATACCCCTTTAAATATAGATAGTTTAAAATTCAATCAAAAATTATGTTTGCTTCAACAAAGAATGGAAACAGAAAAAGAAAAAAAAATTGCCAAAGAGCATCATCTTTTCTTTGTTTATTTTGAAATTCATACAATTTTTCTTTCTTTGAAAAGAATGAAACATCTGTTTATCAAAGATGATAACATTTCAGCTTCTTGTGATATACATTGCTAATATCATGAATAAATAGGAAAAAATATCTAATTCAAAAGTAGATGAAGAACATCAAAAATGGCTATCTGTATGCAGATTTAGAAATAGTTTTATACCTTGTGATATCTTCTGTTAACTGTGATGGTTCTGGAGGATAAAATTTCACAGCAAATTCGAACACCCACCGACATCCTGCTGAAATTTTAAAAATATGTAAAACATTAATGTAACATTCAATCATTTTACAAGCTAGCTTACACAATACACAAGTATAATGTAGGAATCCACTGACTTTATGATGTAAACAAAATAATTACTAAATTACAAATTAAAAATTGTATTTGCCAGCTATTTTAAGTTTTCTGTACACTAACACTACAACAAATGCGCAATAAAAATTCACACCCCGAATATCAAAGGACAGATATGGCTAAGTATACATACATATATTTGTCATAAAGTAACAAAAACATATCATGAAGCCCCATTTCAAAAGTCATTAAACAAATTTCTGTTAATGATATAAGTACTATGAGGATTGTTTATTGTTTGGCAGGTTCAGTAATGATGATGTCTAGTAAATGTAAATACATCAGAGTTGGTGCAGTTTAAAATCTTTATACTCGATCACATTTTTCAATCTGTTTCCTAAGTAATCAAAACATAATAGGGTAATTTATATGAATGAGGAATTACAAAGTAACCGCTAGATCCATTAACATATAGAGTTGTGACTTGTAGCCCGTCCCAGTACCAAAACCTTATGTATACAGACATGTGTTTAGATTAAATAACAAATTTTGTCCCTGTGTATAGCTGATTCAGGTGTGTGTGTCACAGACATTCCCGGTATAATAGATTACTGAAAGACATTAATGTATGGTAATAATAGTTTGGCCTGGTCAATTACCAAGTGGACTTATACTGAAAGGGCAATACCCTTACACAATACAATGACCTTGAATGGCAACAGATTTAAATCAACTACCTTTCCTGTCCAGATATTCACTACATGTTTATTGACAAATAGTCTTCAGTGCCTCGTCGACTGAAACTGGAGATGGGATTAATACCTCAATACACCTCACAAAGAAAACCTAATTTTATCAACAGATTGTAAACTCTTATCAGTTAGGAAGACACCAAACCTTACAGACTGTGACCTACCTCACATGAATACCTATAACTATACAACAGGTCTCACTTGACTGACCACTAACTCCCTGTCAACACCTCAATTGACAAGGAAATGAGCTAGGTCATCAGATGACCAGTGGTCTGGTTAGCTAGCTGAGTGATCTGTCTTATTAGTTACTTCCGCCAGCTACTCACCCGAGTACATCTTTCAGATGATGAGAACATAGCAAACATATAACCATTTCTTACAGATGATACAGAAACTAGCCTATTGAAAGTTAAACTCTATTACATTGATATTGCCATAATTCTATCGGAGAAATTTGGTATTAAGTGTCTACAAGTGTACTGTAGCAACACACCAAGGAATACATATGAAACTGCAGAAAAAATTCCTTGAAATTTTGTCCAATTTAAATGAGGCAGAAATATTCAAGGGACATAATCTGCAGGTTTGTCTGTATAGGACTAGCTTTACATCATTCAGTGATAGAACTAAACTTCAATTCCACTCAAATTGATTATTATGTAGAGATGTCTTTTGAGGGCAGATATTGTAACCTCTCTGAACTGACAGAATGGTATACTTTTAAGGATGATAATTAGACTTCACATCACTTTTCATCAGGTAGCGAGACAAAAAGGAAGAGTCTATTTATTACAACAAAGAAGCACACCTGTACCTGTTTACCAGGTACTTTTTCTTATGCACGTGTCTTGTATATATACACGGCAAACATTCTGCTAAGAATTGTTGTGCATTGATAATAATTCTGTCAGTGCATGCTTTAGAGTAATTTAAAAAGAAAGTGGAAGATGGATGTGAATACAAAATATTAGTATTAAGGACTTTAAGATATCCGAAGTCATGTTTAAATATTTTAGTTATTCATAGCATGGTGTATGCCACCTATTGAATCGACAAATATGTATCCAAATCGTAGTTCATAATATATTCAGATACTACCACTTCTTCATTGTCATAACTTATTGAGTTAGGTACTTAAATTCAGTAATTATTGTTTTAATAAAAACCATCCAACTTGGCTTTCATTTTTGTCAAAAAAATTATTAAATAAAGAACAAAACATCAACAGATTGTGTCATTTTAGAAAACCGTCCATCTTAGCTAGAGCTTACCGGACATTGTTTCTGGAAGTTTTAGGTAAAAGGATGTAAGTAAAGAACAATGTAATATATCAATGTCTAAGTTTCCTGCCTTAAAAGAAAATGAAGCATTTTTGTCCGACTTGAATTTAAAAGTTGGCCACCTATATATAAATATATATAGGATTGTTAATGAAATTCTTTCATACAAGATTTTATAAGTCTTGGAAGCTTTTATGATTTTGCCAGTCTGTGAACAAAAATTAAACTTCACAAGTTTTATAAATCTCATATATGTGTCATTTTCAATATATATAATATCATTATCCATATAATTAGTTTCAATTAATTTCTGACTGGTACAGCCAATGTAAAAAACTCCATAGTATATAATTGATGTATATCAAATTATTGACATATGCAATTCACTGGATAATGGGCAGATTATGTGATAAGTCAATATCTAAAACATGCCTTAAGAGGCCACATATGTGTTAGCAAATCATTGTCCATAAAGACTGCCTATGTCTATATTCCTCACTTAAGAGCCCAAGGTAAATACCTGTTTTTACAGACTACGTGAGCAGCTGATAAACAATGTTTTAATGTAAATTCCTTTCCTAAAATGTACATCATTAATCTTTTATAACATCAAATCTTGCTTCTTGTTCCAATAATTAATATGTCCGGTTGTACCAACCTTTCAATTGTTTTGCAATTTTCTTGTCTCCAGCCAACCAACACTACAAAAAAAAGAAAAACAGAAAATTTAACATAATGTACACTCTGATTCATAAATGTGACCTAAAGCTTTGCTTTATCAGTTAGGAAATTCTGTAAGACATGAATGCCCCAATCCAATGCATATAAGTATCATTGTTTGATGAATTTGCGGAGGGTTCTAAAGATATAAAGTTGGTATAGGATCGCTCATTACTAGGAAGATGGGCATCAGTACCACTGTAGGCCCACCATAAAATGGTAGGACATAGAAATAAACCCAGTGTTGGAAATATATATTGAGGTACCTTCTGGGTTTTGTTATGGTATTTCCTCCCTGTGTTGAATTTGTTGGATTTTTACAATGAGAAAATGCATTTATAACTAAGTACTCAAAATATTCTTCAACACTGATTTTATAAAGAAGATTATGTAAAACAAATGGTAAGGATCAAGATGTGATGACTTTTTCAGAATGAATTATTTTATACATATTCAATGAAGTTTACAAAACCTCAACAAATACAGACAGTCATTGGAGGTGGGGTGGGTTTCTTTCTAGCATTTCTAGGGGTCATGATAGTTCAATCAGTAGAGTTGTGCCTATGTAACTTCAGGTGAAGAATTGAGGTGCACTCTTTCCCTGGCAATTTGTGTTTCTCAGTAAGCTAAGAAAAAAATCAGTCTGTACTGACGTGGTGGTAGTGTCCTTGGGCAAGACACTTTACCCTAACTGCTCTAGACTTCATGTGATGAGTCTCTTGTATGTTGTTCAGTAAGGTAGCTTCTAGATTCTACAAAGAGACTCCACCTCCAAAAGACCCAGGCTGTCCATAGCACAATAAACTGAACAAACAATTTAGCATTTCTGATTTACCTTTACATCCTTGTCAAGGTAGGTCAGTCCAAAATATTCTACTTCTAGAAGGTTGAGCTTTGTACACACTTTATCAAATAACACCTGGCCGTTTGCTCCTTTCTGTAACACACAACAGAATTGATTAGACAATGTTACATTTAGTTACTGGCATATACAAGTTTACAATACATCAAACTGTTCTTCTTATTATTTTTTAAATTAAAACTGATCGTAGGACCCTAATATTTCTTTCATTTGGGGAAAATGAAATTCTTCATTTATTTCAATCAGCATATTTTAGAACATGGCACAAGGTATCGCTCATTGTAACTGTGACAGTTGCTTCTCCATAGATAGTACATATTTCAAAACATGGAATGGTTAGTCTGTTCTCTTTTACAATACATCTTCATACTTCACAACAAATTATCTTTTCCAAACGATACTTACATCAAGCTCTATTTCTAAAGTGGATGCATCAAGCAAGGTGACCCGACACATCACCATCTTGCCTGTAGGTTTGGAGCGACGCTCTACTTTGGGATTTGTTTTAGGCTTTTCAGGTTCTTTTTCCTGTGAAAATAAAAGAAAACAAACAACATAAAACATTTGAAAGTACTTTAAATATTTGTAAGCGGATCCCCACATTGAGATTTATGTTCATTTCATGTTACATTTATCAATAAGATTGAAGGATTAAAAATCTCAATCACACATGCAACATCATTTCACTTTATATATGGAAAGTTGATGTTGTAATATCTGGTGTAGAATGCATAAGAATCGGGACGATAGGAGTTTAATTGTTTTAGTACCAAATATGGGCAGTAACTGATAAATGTAACGTTACATTATTTTGAAACATAACCATTATTACAATGTATATCAGTTTTATAGTGTTGGTGTATAAAACCATGAGATATGTGATGATAGTAAAACTACAATTAATTAACAATGTTTCTTTAATCTTGATCAATGCCCTGATGCAAAGGAATACGATAGTGAAAGCAGAAGCCCGCCAGTTCAAAAAGTGAATTTCACACTAATCCGTCGAATGACCTTTGAACGTTAAAAGGTTAACTCATCATACCAGTATAAAAGATACGTTTCCTGCCTTTTCGTTCGGTTATTTCACGTCTTGCGAATCGTAAAGACTTCAGACAAAGGTTGAATAATGCAAAAAACACTTATATCAGCTGTCGCCTGCTAATATTTCCCCGTGGCGTGCCCCAAGCATGTCTGGAACACAAGCTTACATACCCGACATCGTACGTAAACAATACACACACTTACAGTCGTAAACACCAAGAGCCTAGTCTGTCAGTAGTCCAAAAAAGCATGTAGATAACTGGTTAACTTTGACTTGAATATCCCGTTCTTGAATTCTAAAACCGGGACCCGATCTGCGTAAATCGGGGTATCTTTGCATGGCTACCGCCATAGCACATTCAAAAACTCCAATAATATCTAGGTCACATTACGCCGAAGATCCTTTCACAGAAACTAGACAAAATCGATGTGTCTGTCGTCTTGATCGTTATAAACACTTTAAAATAAGTAGACTCTAAACATTAGCAGTACTTACCTTATATTTACTTGTCTAAAAAGCTAGGTCTCACAAAATTTCTCAACATGGGGACAATTCGCCGTGTGAGCCTATGACATCACACGCACACACATCCCAGAATTCCTTAGAAAAGCTAAAAATATCCGCCAGGTAGAGTAAACAAATCTTGCCACAGGTAAAATCACCTGATCGACAGAAATTTCGGGATACAACGTACCTAATAAATAGGATTTTCGCTTTACAGCCTCTTAACACATCGTAATAAATCAGGCGAGAAGTTTGATCCATCCATTTACTGGTAAGATTGTCCATGCACAGTAGGCGGCACGATCAGTTAAATTACTTGGATCTTATATACACTGATGATGTACGTGGGGTTTGTCATGTCCCGGGAAGATATTTGATATAATTCATAACTAGTTTTGAAAAAGAAGGTAATTTAGAATGACACGATTCGAGTAAAAGGGATAAAAAAATACGCTCTACATATCAGGATTATATTTGATTATTATGTCTGTGAATGATCACTCAACAATATTAATGATTTTGAAGTAAAATTGAATATCAATATTTTATATTAAATAAAATCGAATACATTCTAATGTAAATATGAGTATAGATGCATTTCTTAAGTATTAGTATTTTATTTTAAAAGGTTTAATTACTTTTTTTTGCAATGGTTGTGTATTTATGATAAATTCTGTTTTTCCTTCCTGATAATGATTGTCACTGTAGAAAGGGAGAGATGAACTATTAAGGGACATATCACAAACCAATGTGGCCCTTGTATATATAAGTGTATGGAAACATTACAGGGAATTGGATGAGGAGAACCCTCTGAAGCTATTTTTACGAACAACCAACAAGGACAGTGTATGATCTATAGAAGTATATAGACACTATTGTAAAACAAGATGATATATCCGTGTGTAGGGGTCAGACTTGATTGTGTATAACATACCTGAGCACAGCATACAGGTACACAGTATATATTGTAGGTATGTGTATAAATACCAAAGACCCATCGAAGCGAGTCTGATCAGTGAGATAGATAGCTCTATAGACACTAAACACTAAACATACTGACGAGTCAAAATATTTATATCATGCTAATTTTCTTTTCTTCCAAACTAAAAAAAATTGCAATGAATTATGCTGATGTCCTTAAAATATGACCCTTCAAAGGAGATATTTTTATTGAAGTTGATTTCTATTTGGAATTAAGACAATGTCTTGTCTGTATAGTGGCATATAGGTCACACTGACATGCCAATGTTAAAAATTGCCATGCTTGCAAAAACAAAAAGTGGTTAGAATAATGAAGAAGATATGATCTATGCACTACAGACATTTTACAGCACAAATTTGTGCCCAAACTATTCTCAGTACAAACCTAAATCACTGACCTGAATCCCAAATCCTCAGTCTATCTACCCAGTATCCATCCCACGGTACAAACTGGGAATCTAAATGTACTCCAACCCATTTGATATATCTATAAGGACCAAAGTTTCCCCTAACACCTAGTTAGAGCAAGATGGTCATAGCATTAAAATACCACATAAGCTATATACCAATTAATCATATGCGTACAGTCAATTACCTGGGTAAGATTTAAAAATTGGTCTGGGTACAAACCTCAAAAAGCACTAAACACTTTCTGTTGAGGTATACTTACAACATAGACAAGTTTATGTATCTGGCATATACTATATCATAACCTTCGAACATTTATATATTCTACTGCAACAAGCATGATAAATTATCTTCTAGCCTTAAGAGTGTATTCCCGTTAGCCAAATAGGGAAACTATTCAAAACAGTTCTAGGATGCAGGGCTTTTCACTGAGTTGGGTTTGACATTTTGGAAAATTGGTTCCATTTTTATTGTAAAAGTCTATTACCTTAGTGCACTGGATATATACAAATGAGATTTAAAATGCCTATATCAGCAGAAAATTAAAATTTCTAATTCTATACGGTTGGAATTTATAATAGACAAATTTTTACTTCATTCCAGGAAGGTATAATACAGAAGATTATATATTAAATATTATATAAAAACAGTCCTGTACAAAAACTGGAACTCTTCGTAAATGGAGATAGAATACTAGCTGAGACTTTCTACTTTAACTCAATAGATAAAATGCTATATCCACTAGGCATACATTATTACTGTGAAGCCTATTTGCTAAGTAGTGTTTATATCCTCATTATCAGTCCATTATCAGATGGTAACCCTTACTTACATAGTCTGGGTTTTACTATGCACTAACCAGCTATCCTTTACACCCCTAAGGGGTCTGTGGTCAACAGATTTTCCTGTTATGTGATATGTAGGAAAAGTAACACCAGGAAGACCCTAACATTGTTTGATGGACAGAAGCAGTCACCACTTGTCTATAGACCTCATGCCAGGAGGTCACATGCATGGTCAAGTTGACTGACCAGTGGTATCTGTCATGTGGTATTTTTCATTATCTGATTTACCCACAGGGATTAACTTTATGATGTGTAGGAATTCCATTTCTTTTATATCTACCTCTTATCAAATACAGCAAGGATATACAGCCATACCATGTTTCACACATAATCTTGCGATGATCTTGATACAAATGTCTATGCATTGAAGTCTGCGGTTTTTAATGCATAGGTTGGTTTCAATATCTGGACATTTAAAAAGCCAGACCATATGTTTTTAGTATCCTACATGTGTATACTTGGGAAGCTTTTAAAAAAACTCTGTGTTAGGAAAGGAGCTTTTAAAAAAACTCTGTGTTAGGACAACATGCTGAAATCACACTGAAACATTTACAGCATCATATTATTGAGATGTTTTCATTAAACGATAAAAATGGTAATTCTTTACAATAAAGTTTTCAAAACATTTTTTTTCATGAAATGACTGAATACGTTTTCCTTTCAGAAGAACATTAGATATACAGATTAAAGAGATCTGGGTACAAAAGATAACAAGGATATCACACATTCCTTGTAAATGTATCATACACTGGTTGTACTGAAGCATGCACAGATGTATCAATTATAGTACTGGAGTTTTTTGGAGTGTATGGTCATCAACTTTATATTAATCTGTGGGAGCTGAGTTTTAAATTGACAGGTATGACAGGTACAGTACATATGTCAATATTTAGATAAAAATATCTAACTATATAGGCTATAACACGAAAACTAACATACATGTACACATAGGACATTATGTGGCACCGGACTATAAAATGTAATTCCACAATGAAACAATTCACAAATCTATGTTTTAACACTGTCATATAAACCGACATGTATGTTAAATCCACAATATGTACGCAGGTAATCCACATTTGATATAAATCCAGTCAGCGTCCAAATACCCAGAAAGCATCATGATCAAATGAGACACTTATTGTCAACACTAGATAATCATTGAGCTTTAATCACATGGATGTGTATTCCTTAGGAACAGTGTACACTCATTCCAAACTGAACAGGACATATTCCATTTGAAAACTTTCACTGCTTCTGTATTCCACAAGAAAGTTGCACTTAAATTTGCTGGAACAATCCGCAAAATCACTGCATGAAATGTTGATTACTGTTTAGAAAAAGCACAAATACTGCTTAAAATTTACACTATTCCAAAGATTCTGTACTCCAGAAGGAATTCTTAAACTTCATATGTAGTCTGTCCACATTATTTGGCACTGGTGAATATTTGTATACAGTCCACTGTGAATCCTTTTACGAGAATAATCCATATGTCCATCATCAGGTTGTTTACCTGTTCTTATCTGTCTTCTAGTTGTGTTATTTCAGCCAGATACACTCTAAAATGTAAACCTGCTTATTGCTATAGAAATGGGCTTTTTGCTACAACACTGTCTTATACTATGAGCATGGACTTATTATCAGATATATGGGCTTACCTTGAGACACCGGCTGATTATCAAACATAAGACTAATGACTCATTACATTAAGGCCATGGCACATATTGCTAGACATAAGGCCA